TCTGTGGCTTCGCCCAAAGCTTCAAAGTCACGTTAGCAGATGATCGGCATATATATAGCATATATATTAATTATTGAAAATTTGACGTAAAATCTAACTTTGGAAACACACCTTATTTTGCCACAATACTTTTATATTAATTTATTGATAAATTAAACTATTAAATAAAATAATTTAACATAAATTGTCAGGACATTTATTGCTTGGAATAAAGCTTCAAATTTAACGTGATATCACTTATATCATGATCGGCAAGTGATCGACATTGTGATATAATGCATGTCCGCCCTGTTGTCTAGGGGCGGGTAGGCATACTTTCTTGCTTCATTCCTCCCTTGAGACACCACTATCCCATTTTATATAGAAAACCAACTCCTTTATCATTTATAACTCAAGAATACGATAAAGCCTTACTTTGATTTTTTAAACGTGTGTGCGCGTGTTTGTTAACTGTTTTTATTTCACATGATGAATTTTCAGCTGGGGCCCCCGGCCGAAATATTATTTTATTAATAAAGAACGAAGGATAAAAAATAAATACAATGATTCGAGACTCTGCTCGTGATACATGACGTTTACTATGCTAATATATATGATTATTTTTTCGAATCAGGTTCTTCATATTCTTCGGAATCTTTGTCCAAGCCTTGCTTCTTATTAAGTTCGATAGCAAGCGGCAGTTCACTCGCCTGGGAAATTTCGCCCGGACTATAAAGCAGAAAATGCCAATCTCTGGCGGTGATCACAATACCATGCAGGTAATCGAAATACCATTTAAAAAACATGTCAAAGATACTTTATACGAATTGTTTTGAAGAAAATTTTGGGATCTACACTATTTTCCAATTATTTTTATTACAAAAAATATTCTGTCATGAATTTAAAAAAAAAAATACAATGTAATTATTATGGTACTATATTTATTGCTTTTATGTATGAGAAAGAAAATTTTGTAGGACATCTACTAAATAGAACTTTAAAATTGCAACATTTTTCGAAGTTTTAACTTTGAAACATACCCAAAATTTGTGCTTCCCAAGGAAGGAATGGTCCGTCTAAAACCTACGCTTAAAAGCTATGTGATTGGATGATCTACAATCACACGTAATTTTACTGCGCCATTCGTCCGGATAATAAACTTTTTTGGATATTTTAGTTTAGATCTAATAAATATTGATACTTCCATCTTAAACGGGTTAGTAGGTAGAATAACATATAATTATTTTTTTATATGTTATTATAAATTTTATTAAAATAATAAAAGAAATGCGCGTTACTAACAAATATATATATATATATATAAACTTTTTAGTTTTTGATCATCACAACAAAACATTAATACATTTATTAAAAAAAAAATAAACTATTGTGAAAAGTATGTGCTATTCCCCTAAGGAAATCAATAGTAATTTTTTGTATTTATTAAATCTAACAAAGAAATACGTGTTACTAACAAAAAAAATTCCCTATTTCATATAAAGATATATGTAAAATATTTATAAAATTTTTACATTTAATTTCATATATATGTCGGTGAAACATTTTTGTCGGTGAAATGCATATGCGCTAATCTATACCCTAACCCTAAATTTTTGAGATAACCCCAAATTTTGTAAACCAATCATAATGATAGTCAAATCACCTGACATTATGGTAACACCAATGACACAAAATTTTTTATATATTGTTTCGATTTTTCTCTTATAGCAGTAAAGAAATATGATATTGAGACTCGTACTGAATTTTAATTACCGTACTTATCACATTTTTGTAGATCCGTTGTACAATTTTTTATATCATGTTAATTTTTTTTAACGCGTCAAAAAAACTGTTACTTTCTAAATGTCAAATTCTAATCAGCAAAGACCTTATGAAGAAGAAAATTACCCTATTTCACCTGAAATAATATACTATGGTGACCGAAAATTTGTTTATATTGTCATTCAAGAAGGTATCTACCCACCGGCTGTGAATTATACTGAAGCGCCTAATTATTTTCCTATACCTGATAATTATACTATTAAAACTACCTGGGGTCGGGCTAATAACAGCCGTACTATTCAATGTTCTATTTACTATGTAGAAGAAAAACCTCATTACTTAATTTGTTTTGGAGATAATTTACAATATCAAGTTTTTTCAGCTCAATCACCATTTGATGCTTCTGTTGAACTACACAAAGTAAGTTATTATATGTTTATTATTTAGAAAATTTTAAAAAAAATCATAAAAGAAGGTATTCTAATATATACATACTTTATTAGATTATAACACCGGATAGGAGAACTGCTGTTTCTGGAGTTCATCTTTTTGGACTTCAATTAAAATGCATTAATAGAAATCGCAAAGGTAGACCACGTGAATTGAAACTTCATAAAGAATCAAGCAAAACTACACAAATTAAACGTGCAAAAGGTCTTGCAAAAAAAGAACAGGTGCACTTTGAAAATACAATTAAAGATTTTTACAATCCCAAAGATCGTGTAGTTTTAAAGGCTATAGATTTTACTGTAGAAAATAAAGAATACCATGTAACATTTGGTGATGAGAATTATGTTAAAAAAAAACAAAAATTGCAATCAATTGCATATGTACAAGACGTAGAAAATATACCTCGTGATGCATATCGTCATCTTGCAGCTGTAGAATCAATATTACCACGAGAATATGCTATTTCTCAAACCCGTCAAGAGATTAATGCATATATGGAAGAATTAATACCCATTAATTTCATTGATTTAAATTCTACCATTATGCAAGAAGGATTTTCGGAAGAACCTGATATAACTGATCCATTAATTATTGAACAAGTTATTAATGCAACTGGAAAAGGTGCTTACCGAAGTGTTAAAAAAATTCTTGAGTATATAATACCATCATATGTTGAAAAGGGAATATTAGATCCTGCAATACCAACTATTCATCTTCGAATATCTGGTGATGGGCGGAACGTAGGATGAAAGGTGAAGCATGTGATGATTACCATAGCACTATTGGATGATTCAATAAACATTTGTAAGCCCAATTACCATTATACAACTATCTTATTTCCGGGAAGTGAAAATTATCCAACTCTAAAAGTTGCAGCAAATGCTCTTACTCAGGAATTGCAAGAACTGAGTAATGTAGGAATAGTTATCAATAATACTCTTTGGAATTTTGAGTTTTTTTTTAGCTCAGATTGGAAATTTCTCGCTACCTGTTTAGGTTTTAATGCTGCAAATTCCAATAATTTTTGCCCATGGTGTGAAATAACAAAAAATCAACGCGGAAATGGGCAAAATGACTGGACAATTAGTAAATCAATGAGTAGTTTAAATGAAAATCCAACAGCATACCCTGGTCATAAATTACCTCCACTTTTCAATATGATTTCACTTAAAAATCATGTTCCAGATAAACTTCATATAATGTTACGTATTACTGACCGTTTATGGGAGTTAGTTTTACAAGAAATCAAAAATGAGGGATTATTTAATGACATAACTCGGAATATTATAATTAAGGAGATGGAAAATTTAAAAATCAGGTTTGAGTTTTGGAATATTCATGGTACTAATAATTGGAATTACACTTCCTTAATGGGTGATGATAAGCTTTGTGTTCTTCGAAACTTTAATTTGACAAAACTTTTTGATCCAGAACGAGCCGCATTAATTAAAAGTTTGTGGGATGGATTTGCTGAATTATATGATCTTTTAGGAGAAAAAACAACAGATCCACAATATTTTCGTTTAAAAGCAAAAGTATGGTGTGAATTATTTTTGAAAAAAACGGTAATAGATTCCAAAACTAATACTATTTTAGAACAAGGACTTTATCGATCATCAGATATAACCCCTTATATACATGTTTTAGTATCACATGTTTGGGAATTTATGCTTATCCATAAAAGGTGGGGATTAAACGCATTTTCGTGTAGTGCTGTTGAAAAAAAGAATCACGATCATGTCTGTTATTTTTTTAAGAAAACTCTCAAGAATGGCGGAAAATTTTAAAATAAAACATCAGCAATTTGTGAAATTTTGGAACATGAAAACCGACTTTTATTTTATACTCAAAATAACATCTCTCTTTCCTATCCAAAACCTCAATATATTCACATTTTATAATTTCTTTTAATACATTTTATATACATTGAAAAAATTGTCTTTAATTAAAAGAAAAAATTCTAAACATATGTATATAATTTTTTTTTCTATTACAATAAAATTTTAGATTTGTCTCACCCAAAAATGTATGTATATAAATCCTGCTTCACAATAATTCTCTTTTGCATCTTTTTCACCTTTAATTTTCCATTCAATAATAACTTCTCCAGGATTATATCTAGATTTGCGTCTATGAGTGGCTATACTTTCAGTAGCACAACGAGTTGCAATAGCCAGTGGATTATTTTTCAAATGCTCAGGTGGATCATTAAATAAAACAACATAAGTTTGTTGTTCTTCATCATAAAATTTTCGACCCCACAATGGATTATTCAAGATTTCACTTAATATTTGATATCCAGCAGATCCTCAGAAAATACACTTGTAGACATTTCTATTGCTATGATGATGGATATACCCTTTGAAAATATCAAAAAACTGATGTTCAGTACATGCAAGCGACACTAATTGACGACCTCCCTTTTTAAATCCATGTGGAAGTTTGCGGTGAATTAAATAAACCAGAATACTTTTGAATTTTTCATTATTTGTTTCTGGTAATTTATCCAAATCACTATGTGAAATATTATATCTTTTCACAATACTCAAATGCCGTGAAAGTCCACCTTGTTTCTTATATCTTTTTTGACAAGTAGGACAGATAAATTCTGATGCAGAAGTAGTAAAAGACGTTGTAAGTGTTGACATATTAGTAATTGAATCTGAAAAAAATATAAAATATTTTAATAAAAATAAAAAATAGTTTTGCAAAAACTAATTTTATTTACAACTAATAACTGGTAACATTCGAAATTGCGAGATGCCAATTGCCTTCTACTAGTCTTCCACTACTCAAACTCATCGGTTTTAGACTGCGCTCATCGGTTAGACGCGTTTTTTAATATGTTATTTTTTTTTTAAGGGTGCGTTCGCTAAATTTGATCATGAGAATTTTTTTTTTTACTAATTGTAGCTGTGTAACGTTGATCAAAATTACTATATAAAATTAGGCCCAATTTTGATAGTTAGCCGATATGGATTGTCAGTGAAGGTGAGTTAAACGCGACCCGTGCCCGGGTGCCGTGCCACAAGTTGACGATGTGCCTCAAATCAACGATCGGCTCCCACCTTTATAATGCCTTAAGAATTTTCTAGAATTACTTTTCACATAGTAATCATCAATGATTATCGTCAATTTGGAGCATATTGAGATTTCGGGCAAAACATTAACATGCAATACTTAAAAAAAGCTCAATGTAATGTGAACAATTGATACGACAGAGTATACCCAACCTGCCAGAAGCATTTGGACGGCACTTTTTCAAATAATGGTGGTATTTTATAATTCTGTGATTGACAAATAACAAATCCCTAAATTAAAAAATTTTCATCTATTGAAGTTAGAAACATGAAAATATCGTCATTCGATGTCACATCATAAGTTCATTCAACGTCTTTGTTAATTCTGCGTCCAATTAGTAAAACATCATTAAAATGTATTGAATTTCAAAAATCAATTTTTAACATGCAAAGCGTAAAAGCGTTACATCGTAGAAAGACGGTCCAAAGCTCATTAATAGATTTGTCATAATGAATGCAAAATACATTATATTGAAGTGTATACTAATATATATTTTTATTATTTGATTTTCTTTTTCTTAATATGAGTTTTTCTAACATTGCGCAAAATTTTCAAAATGTTACACAGATAAATCCATCCAATAAAGTCAAGCAAAGTATGGTCACGTGGTTTTCAGGTAGCACACCATACGGTTTAATTTAAGTATCGCTAATAGTATATTTAATTATGTACAAAGGCTAAATGTAATTAATCATTTCGATCATGCTTCTTGAACAAAAAAAACTAAACAATAGTAAAAATGTATGTAGTGTATGCGTTTTTGGTTAAAAACAAGTATACATATATGAATTTGTGGAATTTGTGGCTTACATATAGTATGGAAATTTGATCGTACACTACATATACATAACCCCGATGGTACGTGATTTGCCTAATGTGTAGTTTAAAATGAAAGTCTAAAAATGGTGTCAAAATAATATCATTTTTGCCACTTTTTATTGTATTTTCTATTTTTTTTTCTATTGTTAATAACCTTTTTTTTTTTTTTTNTATTAAAATATTATTATAAATACTATTTCTTAATTATTCAGATAATATTTTACATAGTATATATATATAATCAAAATATTAATAAATAATAAATTTTAAATTTTTAAATAATAAATAAAATATATAAAACTTTTATTAATATTACTTAATTAATATTTAAATATTATAAATTTAAATTTAAATAATTTTAATAATACTATTTTAAACTTTTTGAAATTCTAATAATTTTAAATCTTCAAATAAAAAATTATTAAAATAATAATTTTTAATTTTATATATATATTAGAATTTAAATAAATAAAATTAATTTTTAATAAATAAAATTAATTTTTAATAAATAAAATTAATTTTTAATAAATAAAATTATTAAATAAATATATATAAAAATACTTTTCAAATACAATAATTTATTAAATTAATTTAAAAATTATATACTTTTTTTATTATTATTATATTAAAATTAAATAAAATTGATTTGACTGAAATATTTTAAGTAAAAGTAATATTATAAAGAAAAAATAATTATTTAAAGTTATTTAAAGTTATATTTAAATTATTTGTTAATAATGAAAAATTTTTATATAAGTATTTTATTATTTAAAAATTTTTTTTTGGGTATTGCTAAATATCACCAGTGGTGATCGTCACCACATGTAAAATATTTTTTGAATTTTCAAAAATTTTTGACTGAGATATTATTCTAATTATAATATAAATATCATTAATTTATGGGTAGAACAAGTTTGCCTTAGATTATAAAGGCTGTTGTTTAGATAGTTTTTGAGAAAAATAGGAAAGTTTGATTTTATAAGCAAAATACAATTTTTTGTTTTAAAAAAGATTTTTTTTAGTCAAATTTTCAAAATTTTAGTGTTATTAGTATCTACTCAGGTTTGTTTTACACATTTATTATTTAAATTGAAATTTTTGAAAAAAAAATTTACGATGTGTTTTTTAACTCTGGCCAAAATTATAATTTTCGGCCAGAATTAAGTGGTGTGATGACGATCACCACCGGTGATATTTAGCAATACCCTTTTTTTTTTAAAATGAAAAATAATAATAATAAAATAATAAAATAAGTTATATAACGGATTACAAAACCATAAAACCATAAAAAAAAAATTTTTTTTTTAAAAAATAAGAACTTTGAACGTTAAGAAAAAAAAATTTAAAAAGGTATATACCGTTTAAAAAAAAAAACCGTTAACAGTTAAAAAGAAAATTTTCTTAAAAAAACTGACGTAAAAAAAAAATTTTAGTAGTGTACGCAAATCAAAATCCACCCACGAAAATACCACAAATCCGCTATGAATTCACTACAAAAATACCATTTTTCAACCACAGATTCATTACCAAAATACCACAAATCCACCACAAATCCGTCATATACCTACTACAAAAGTACCATGAAAATACTACGCCACAAATCAACCTAATCGATCACGAAAATACAACAAATCTACCACGAATCTACCACAAATCTATCACAGAGAAAAATTGCCAACAATTACTTCTTTATTATTAAATAATTGAATTCTTTAACAATAATTTATTGTATTTTTATTTAATTTTTGATAAAAAGTAATAATAAATAACAATACTTTATTTTTCCAACAATATTTATTAAAAATGATTTTTTTTTTTTGCATAATAAAACAGGGTAAATTTTTGGTACGAAATCTAAACTAAATCTAAACAATAATATGGATTAAAAGATGAATTGCAAAAAAATTAACGACGAATTTTTTTAATTAGCAACATCCTATTTGCAATTTGGGTATCTATCCAAAAACCAATAATTAAAGTCAATTTTCATTTGATAAATTCAAAAATTCAAAGTATTTAGAATCGTTTAAATGAAATAATATATTTTAAAGCTTATAAATGAATAATATATTTTAAACCTTATTTATTCAAGATTTTTTGCATTTTAAAAAAAATTGTGAATTAACTAAAATATTATCTTACGACTCAATATCACTCAAAAATTTTCTTTTAATTTACCAAATTCATTTTTTTTTTCCAAAGATGATAGTGATCTGCTGCGTAACAATCACCTGCAGCGGGGACCCGCCGAAAATCTGCAGGTTCCCACCTGAAACTACTGAAACTAACGCACTTTGACGTAAAAAATGCTTGTAACGATTCAGGGGGTCGGGTTCCAGATTAACTTTAATAAATGTACTACATTTACTATATAACAAGAAAATTATTTTATTATTCGTCTTTTAAAGTTGGGATAATTTGATCTGAAATATTCCATAAACTCTTTTTTGGTAATTAAAAAGATAGACATCATTATAATATTGAAATGCATTATAATATTGAAATGAAATGTGTGATAAAATATAAAAATAATATTTTAATAGAAAAATATAAAGTTAGAAAGAAATAATTTAGAATACAAATAATTTTAGGTTATAAAAGAAATATTTTTTTTCAATAAAAGACTTTTTTAGGTAAAATGTATTTGATTAAAGTTTAATTATTGAATTTAATCTGTTCGATCATTATTGGTTCTCCTCTAATAAAAAAAATATTTATTCCATATTTTTATTCCATATTTCCGCAAATGTATCAATATTCACGGAATAACGGAATTTTATAACCTTGAAACATGGAAATTATCCAAGTTACTTAGATTTTTACTATAAATGTATTAACACTCAGAGTTTTTTACGGAAATTGCGGATAAAATTTTTTACAGGGTCGAACCAATGCTCGAGCACTGTCTGTTTAAGCTCCATCAAAATTGAGTGGATTAATAATTTATAATTCGGGTAAATGACATATGTTCACATGATTTTTAGCCAATAAAATATAGCTCACGTGATTAGTCAAAGGTTGATCATCGATCAAAGCAATTTTGAAGTCAACTTTTTGATTTTAAACTTTATCTTTTAATATCAAGGATTTTAATCTCGTAATGATTATGTTTCAAATATAATATCACAAAATACTTATTATTCCAATTATTCCAATAGATTCAGATAAATAATTCTGCAATAAAATTCGAGCGAAGAATATCTTCAACGGACATGAAATAATAAGCTCGTTAATTATGTGATACACAAAATATACAAACATGATGCAAAACATTATTTGTATTTTGATTTCATAATGTATTATTATATGAATTTTTTTAAAAAAAATATTAAGTTAACCTGTAATCGAGCGTGGGACCATTTTTTTCTTTATTGGATAATTTAAACTAATAAAAAAAATACATGAAGTTGCGACAATGGTAAACAAACGAAAAGGAATCATTTGAAAAAAAAATTTATTATATGGGATCAGACGACAATTTTTTAATGCAAATATGAGACGAGACTGGTCTGATTGTTAATTTTAATGGTATCACTTATTAATAATTAATACTTCATAACTTAAAAATTGATTTTTGTGTAATTTTAAAGAAAAATAAGAATTAGAATATTTTATATTTTATTTTATTTTATATCTTGAAAAATAAGAATTATTATATCACCATTATAAATACTTTCGATTGTTAACATATACAGTACATACATTAATGAGAGATGATGAAATATTATTTCAGATTTAAAAACAACAATATAATTTGTGTTAATTTTACGTAGTTATTATTAGCCAACCATTTTTAAATTCATAAAATTTAGTGTAATAAATAATAAATAATTTAAATAATTAAATAATTCTAATAATTTTGGATATTTTGAAGGTAGAAAGAATTTTTCAAATAAAGAAATTTAGTCTTTCTTTTTTAGAATTTCTTTTTTATATAAATATATACATTAAAGTTAACTTTTCGGTAATCAATGTCGTACCAATCAAAGTCAAAGGAAATTATATATTTTCAAAAGGGAAATTTGTGATCAAATTAATTTAATTGGTAACACCACGCACTTAATTTCAATTTCTATATGAGGAAACTATCATCCATTGAAGATATGAACTACAAATGTACAATGAACCAATTTTTTTCCGTTATTGAATAAGTGTACGACAAAATTTGTAACACGTAATCATCTAAAAAGGAAATCGTGTGACAACAAGTTGAAGATCTTTCAATAATGCACGACAGAGAATTACAAATTTAGTAATAAAAAAGAAATTATGAAGGGGTTCCATGTTAATCATATTAATATCAGGACTTCAAAAAAATTTTATTCGTTATAGAATCTTATCATTTAATTGTGTAACAAATTGAGGTATTTTATTCCAGTATACTTTTTTCTTGGCTATATTGTGTAATAATTAGGTATATCAATATCATCGAATAGTTAAATTAATTTATGTTTATTTTGGCGCTTAAATTAATGTTTTTTCTTACACAACATAATATTATTTATTATAGTTCACATAATATTTTATTTTAATATTCTTTACGTAAATAAAGAAAATTACTATATTCAGACTTGAAAAAGGTTCAATGTAAAAAATTTATATTGTATTAAAACAAAAAAAATATAAAAATGTTAGTTTCCTGACGGACTTTTTACTTCTCTGTTCTCAACATTCACCGTAAAAAAAAACAATAATTTTTCAATTGCCTTTAATCAAAAAAGGGCAATTCCCTCATTCTTTTTATTATAACTTCATTATTTTCCCCCCTATACTACATATACCACCGTATCCTTTTTTTTCGCGGCCAAATAACAATGGCACTCCTTAACAAATCGTTCATTATTATTACCATTTTGGTCGCCTGTATGTTGGCGGATGTATTTGCTGTAAAAGTAGATACTAACAATAAAGATGTCTGCAAGAAATCCGACTTAGATATAGCAAAAGGGGATCAAAATAAAGATGGTTCATGCTCGCAGACATTTATGGGAGAAATTCCAGATATTGATACCATGATCTCAACTTTAATCCGTTTCCCTGAAAATAATGAAGTTATCCGTGAAAACGAGCCATTCACAATTAAAGCCGCAATAATCAATTTAGATACTGGATTTTTCAGTGACCCCGCAACAACTTATTATAAATTTCCACAAACCCTTGATAATAGTGGAAGAGTTCAAGGACATTCTCACGTAACAGTTCAAAAACTCAACGGAAGAGGTGTTCCCGATCCAAAAGTTTTTGCTTTCTTCAAAGGTTTGAATGAAAAAGCAAAGAATGGTATTTTATCAGCAGACGTAGAAAAAGGTTTACCAGCTGGAGATTACCGTCTTTGCACCATAACTTCTGCATTCAGTCATCAACCTGTTCTTATGCCTGTTGCTCAAAGAGGTAATTATTTTAAACAAATATGAATTTTATTTACTGTATAAATTTGATAGAAATTATGAAAACTAATATATTTGATTTTTTTTTTTTTTTTAATCATAGGCGCACAAGACGATTGTGTAAGATTTAAAGTTATTAAAAAGAAGAAAAACAGAAAAATGTAAAAAAACTTATTAATTAACTGAAAATTACATCCCAAAGGAAAAATTTCGTCACTTTTTAATAATTCACGTGAATTGATTTATGTGAATGTATATTATTTTAAAGTCTCATAATTTTCACTTTTAGATAGAGTACATACTTTATAGACTTACATAGTGAATTTTTTTTTTTTTAATATAATAACTTTGAAATCTTAATTTTATCACCTAATAAATCAATGTTTGCATGTGCTTACTGCATGATTTTAATTACGCCAGTCAAATGGGGTTATATGTCGTGTTTAATAAACCGGCATAACGCCGGATCAGCAACATGCAAGTTTTTTCAAATTATGCACGCCGAGATATAAACAAAAGATGGTTTTTTTATTGTAAACAATGATTTATAAATCCAATGGAAAATTCGATTCAATATTAAATGTATACGTTTTATATCCCTCATCCAATGATTGAATGATTGAGTTATAGTTCGGTTATTAAAAATACTGCGGTGACCAATAGGAATTAATGCTATTAATTTTGATTTCAATATTGGATTTTCTAATAAAAATATCGGTTATTAAAATCCCCGTATAATTCCTAATCGATTGAACAATAAGGACAATAAGTCTAATTATTATTTAATAAAAAACTGAAAGCTTCATTTGTTCATATAAAAGTAATACAAAGATATAAAGATATTTATTAAATGTATAACAAAATAATACATTTTCATGAACGAAAATTCGTTATAATTACGAAAACAAATTTTTAACGGAAATAATACGAATAATACGAATAAATACGAATAATACGATAAATATTATTTTTTTTTAAAAAAAAAAAATTCTTCAAGAAATTTTAATATGACCATAAAAAATGAGCACATGAATTTCATGAATTTTTTTAACGTAAACAACTTTATTAAACAGTAATTATATAATCACTATTTACAAAGTATTTTTGTTTTTTTTTTTTTTTAACAAATTTTACGGAAATTTTACATAATGGTTAACAATGATCAACAAAAGTAGTGTTACCATATGACATTAAGATTATTTATATCCAAAAAAATCGTTCGTCTTTCATAAATTTTTATTTGTTTATTGTGTATTTATTTGTGGTTCACATTTTTGTAAAATCCTATTTTTAGAAAAAAAAATATTATATATTATATATTGATTTTTCTTAAAATTTACGCTTTTTAGAATTTTTTTTTTTAATATTCTGAAAGGAAACAAAACGTAATAAAATAAATATGGGGGAATACATTGCAACCCCTTTATTATATGAATCATAAATCGTTAAATTATTTCTTTTTAAGGTTAATAATATATTTATTATTAAATAGAATTTTTTTTAGTACTTTGCATTATTTAGTATTATTTATTATGTTGTAAATCTTGGCAATATTTATTTATCGTAGTTCTTATAAAAACTTTTTGTACATTGCATTATTTAGTATTGTCTATTTATTAAATTGTAAAAACACTCAGGATCTTGGCAATTCTTATAAAAACTTTTCAGTACATTGCATGATTTATTATTTTCTATTATGTTGTAAAAACATTCAGGGTCTTGGCAATATTTATTTGCCATAGTTTTTATAAAAACTAAATTGCAATTGGTAATATATGAAGGACAAAATATCTTATTGTTAAAGAAAATTTAATACATTAAGATGTCGGTTGATGGTGATCTTATTGGCCGAAATAATATCTATGAGTTAAGTTATCATAGAAATATTTTAAGAAAAGTCATTAAAGTTCAAACTGCGTAGTTTAGTGTAACATCACATGATGAACCAGATTTTTTACTGCGTCAAAGTGGAATTTTGTGTGTGATAAAAGTGGTTCATGTATTATGTGCAAAATTTTATGCAATTTTGATCATTTTTTCATTCAAATTAATTTTACAGATGACCTTCTAAAAATAATTACATATCACATGCATATTCAGGGTCGATGATATACTATTAAAATAAATTATGTGAATTTTAGCAAATTTGATAAATTTTATGCAATTTTGTGGAGATCAAATTAATCATTTTTCGTTCAAATTAATTTACAGGCGATCTTTTAAAAATAATTATATTCAGGGTCAATGATATACTGTACATAATTAAAATAAATTATGTGAATTTTAATAAATTTGATAAATTTCATGCAATTTTTGTGGAGATAATCATTTTTCGTTCAAATTGTTGGTAAATCTTATAAAGATCAAGCAATATGGCTACATAATATACATGTCCAAAGGTGATGAACTTTGGTTTTTATGAATATCATGCCGAAATGATCCAGAATTTCTCTAGGGGCCAAAGCGGCTAGGGTCACTATCCCTTAGTTGTATTAAGTTACAGACGATCTTTTAAAAATAATTACATATCACGTCTTTAATCATATTCAGGGTCGATGATATACTGTACAGTACATACATAATTAATAAATTATTTGAATTTTAGCAAATTTGATTAATTCTATGCAATTTGTGGTGATCAAATTAATCTTAATCATGTTTTAATATGTACAGTATATCATCAGGTCTGACTCATTTTACCGACAATCATTTTACTAACAATTATCTGATGGATGTTTCACCGACATGATCATTTTACCGACAGCCATTTCACTGACAGTTTTGAAACCCTAATCCACTTACCCTAACCTTATCCTAACCCTAATCCTAACCCTAATTTCTTAATCCTAATTTCTTAATCCTAACGATTGTCGGCGAAACATTTGTCTACGAAATGACCCTGTCGGTCAAACGTCTGTTGGTGAGATAATCGTCGGTGAAATGATCGTCGGTGAAATGAATGTGACCCATATCATCGACCCTGAATATGAGTGACTAAAAATGTGACATGTAATTATTTTTTGGAAGGTAACATACATACAACACATATAACACAAGTATTGGTAATTATTATATAGTGTCATAATTACTACCAGTATTGTATTGTGTTGTAATTATTAACAATTATACAAACATGTATTATGGTATATCAATCATTTCCTTTTTTGGTGGTAAAAACTTATTTTTTGTAATTTTTTTATTTTCCAAAAAAGGATTTTTTTTTTTTTTTGAAAAATCATTATGTAATAAAGTGTTGTAATATTACGACTTCAAAAGTAGTAATAGGCAATCATTTGTTATCATGTGGTAGTTGTGGTACGTAAATCAAGTTTTGTACGACATGACAAATATCAGGACATGATTTTCTTTCCCAAATATTTTTTTTTTTTGAAAATGTATAAACTAGCTATAGACGTTCTAAGAAACTTTTTATTCATGTCTTTCAATTTAACAAGACTTGGTGTAAAATAATTGTTCCAATTTTTATATAAAAAGGAACAAAAAGTTGGAATTATTGTTATCAAATATAATTATTTCACATTTATTAATAAAATGAAAAAAAAAAAAATAATTTAAAAAAGTAAAGAAATCGATTTTTTTTAAAAGAAAAATGAACCTTTATATAATTATGTAAACATATAAAAATTTAGAAAAAAATTCAAAGGATTGCTGTGATATATATTATTTATAAAAAAAATCAAAAAATTCAATTACTCAAGATATAATATTTAAATTTTTTTTTATTAATGAAAATACTTTAGAAAATGATTGTGCTGATTTAACAAAGTTTTATTAAAAATAATGGTGAACTAATTGAAATAATTATTGATGAAAAAATTTTATAATGAGATTGAGAATAGAAGAATTAATTATATTAATTATTCAAGCTATTTGTGACCCATTGTTATAATTATATCTTTTCAAGAATAATAATGAGTTGATGGTTTCTTGATCATCAAAGGATGCTAGTTTTCGCCTGATATATTTTCTAATGTAACATACCGTATATATGAAAAATTGCATAATTACTCCTAATTCGTCGTGGAGCACTTCGTCCATAAGGCGTTGGAAAGTTGCGGGCGCGTTACATAGCCTGAAGGGCATAACGGTAAATTGAAAGGTTCTTAAATTATTATTTAGAAGTAGTAATATTTTTAATATTTTGGAATTAGTAATGTGATTAAATAATTGTAAATAATTAAATGAATAATATATTTATAATGATAAGTAATTGGAATAATTTATTTGGAACGTTAACCAAATCATCACCAACTCATTTATCATTATTGTGCAACTCCCGAATTAGGGTCTTTAAAATTATTTTGATAATTGGAAAGGTAGACATCATATGATATTACGGTTCAAATCAAAGTAAAATACAAGACCCACGGTAATATTATTACAAATAAAGTTGTAACTCGTGTTGCAACTAATGAATCATATAGTTTATAATTTTATGGTCGTTAGTATAAATCAATAGATTTGTAATTTACAATTACTGTACTCGAAGATTTTTTGATTATTTACCAGGATTCAAGTCAGGACTAAATATTGCCGTAGTTTTATTTGGGCGATTATTTATTGTTTTTCCATTTTACCAAGCGTAATACTTTTTTTTGGTAAATGAACCTATATATATCGCAACGTTTTCTACTTTTTCAGCCGGCGTTCCTAATCATGCGATCCAGACTCGAATCAACACAAATTTAATTATGGCAATAGAATTACAATTAAAATTTAGATTTTAACATTTAAATACAATAATAATAAAATAACCTGCGAGACCCTAGTGGTACTATAACAATACTGTAGTGAATTACGAAAATAAAATTGACGATAAATAAATATTTATTAAAAGAAAATTTTATTTACATTTTTAATGAGGAATACAATACATATACGAATTCTTATACAGAGATAATATATAGAATATTAATATATAATATATAATAAAAATCGAAAATAGCGAGAATATTATACAAATTTTAATATACTGATCATTTAATATATTGAGAAATTTTAAATATCAAATCCAAGTTCTATAGAACATAACCTGTATAATAAAAATAATAATTAGTTTATATATTTATTATTTTCGATTGTAGATATTATTTACTAACCATCATTATTAGATTTTCTAAAATTAATAATATCAGATTCATGTGATTTGGGGTGATTTGGTTGAATAATCTAGAAGACAAATTTACATCACGAAAGAGGATTTTAAATCAATAACAGCAATACAGCTAATAAAATATTCTTACCTAGTAAACTCATAATAGATTCTGCAGATTTTATCATTTCGCTTAAAAGACTATTTTTGTGTAAATTATTTGTTGTTATAGGTCCAATATCTGATGATCTCATAATTTTAGTTTTACTACATGGCTCTTTAACCGAAATATTCTCAATATTTTTTTGTAATTCAACAGCAGTTGGTCTTTCACTTGGATCAAAATGCCAACATTTTTGCATTAAATCAATATAACCTTTAGGTGCATTTGTATCAATTGGAGGACGAAGTTCATGACATACTATTTCAATAATAAGTTCTGTATCATGATTTCTATCCCAAAAAGGTCTTCTACCTGTCATTAATTCCCACATAATCATACCAATACTATATATATCTGAAGCTTTAGTATATTTTTTTATTCTTAATACCTCAGGAGCAACATATGGCAAGTTACCATATATCTCATCATCATCTTCTTCAACTAACGATGATTTACTTAGTCCCAAATCACCTGTTATTGATTGTAACCAATCATCATCTCTTATATCTATAAAAATGTTACCACTATGATAATCTTTGTGAAGTATTTCTGCATCATGCATAGCTTTAAGTCCAATTATAATATCACTTAAGATATTTAATTTTATTCCCCAGTCCATGTTGAAAAAATTATTGGTTATATAATGTGACAAATTTCCGGATTCGTAGTATTTTGTGATTATCAAAAAATTCTCGGTCTCAGGACATTGGGTAATTCCATAATATGTGTTGATTTTGTTATAATCATTAGAATTCAAATAGCTTGGATATTCACAACTCAAAACAAAATCGTTAAATATCTTGAGCTAAAAAGAAAATAAAAATCATTAATTTGCCTATTATTTATTTATTTAAAATTCAGTTATAATAAGTTATTTTACCTCATTCAAATGTTTAGAAATTACATTTTTAGAGTTAGCAAGTTCCTTGAGAGCAACTGTCATCTCGCTCTTACATTGTTTTGAATCATACCTTGGACCATTAATCCAAATTGCTTTATAAATTTTACTGAATCCTCCTTCAGCAATAAAATTCACATCTCTGAATTCGCTATAGGGAACATATTCCATTCTCCCTTCTTTTCTAGTTAAAGTATGTTTTATAAAATCATCAATAACTTTATTTCCGCTTTGAATAATTGGTTTTGATTGGTTCATAATTCTTTTTTTCTTTTTTTTTTTTCGTTAAAAAGAATTAATTTTATCCCTCCCAAAAATTATCCTTATATATACAAAATATATTGAATAAAAACACGTAGTTAGGAAATAAAACAATGATTTCTTTAAACGTTAATTTAACTGCGGTAGATCGGTAACTAGATTTGGAACTAAAAAAAAGAAAATTACTACAGTAGATCACTAACAAAATTAAAATTATATTTTATTTTTTTGGCTAAATTTTTTTTTTTACGTTACAATGCTTTTTTCTTTGTTGCATAATTTGCGATATTTGTAAAAAAATTCAATGTTGTAATTCATTTAATTTAAACCGAGTCCTTATAATGGTATTTTAATAATTGTTTATTGAAAAAGAAAATTCTCAAGTCCGTGTAACATCGTCACATCGTGTTTAGAATTCCGGAAAATATAAACATATTCCCAATAATAGTTTTAAAGTTTGATTCTGGACACCTTTTTAAAATCATTGAAAGAGAATGGTTGGCGTTTATTACAGGAATTTCAACTTTGAATTTTTAACAATTAAGGAAATTTTAAGTTCATATAATTAAAGTTTGTGAAACATGATAAATAAACATTACGATAATTTTTCTTATTTTTAGAAATTGGGTGACGTGTGTTTCAGTAATTTAACGTGACGCGAACAACCAGTAAAATTGAAAAAAAAAAATTTTTTTTTTTTTGAAAAAAAAAAAAAAACCAGCTGAAAGATAAACCCATGTGATTTGCCTATACAAAAAAAAAGAAGCTATTTTGAAGATTGACACTTGTAATACCGTTTACTTTAATAATTAATACGATAAATAAAAACGCCCGTTACATAGACAATATTTTAAAAGGTCAATTCCCCATAAAATATAACAAAATAATATTAACTAATACCCTATAAAAAAAAATTTCTTTAAAATGTACTTAAAATATACTTAATATACTTAAAATTGCCATTTTAAGTATATTTAAAGTGTAAAATTTTGCACTTAAATTATACTTAAATTATATTTAAATTGCAATTAAGTAATATACTTTTAATTGCAATTTTAAATATATTTTAAGTATATTTAAAAATTTTAAGTACATTTTAGATATATTTTAAAATATATAAGTACATTTTAAGTATATTTTAAAATATATAAGTACATTTTAAGTATATTTTAAAGGAATTTTTTTTCATTGGGATATAAATTAAATAAAATTAAAATTATTACCTGTTACAATCGCAATTATCCTTAAGTCTTATTAATTCTTATTAAAATTCCTTTAATTAATTCCTTTTTTGATTTTTTCATACAATTATGTAATCTGCAGATCATAACTTTTTAAAAAAATCTTTTTTATAATAAGTGATTAAATTAGCATACGTTTAATGTTATATTCGATAAGCCAATTTATATAATATAAATTTATATAAATTTAATTCAGAAAATAAGAATTCGAATATATCTAAATAATTATATGAATAGATTATTTGTTATGTAATGAAATAATGTAATTTTAATTATTATTATTATGCAGTTACCATTCGGTACAAGCGTTAGATTTGATTGATGATGTAATTTTTTAACTAAAATCAATCAAAAATTGTAACATACCACTAGAAGATCACATTATAACCTTTTTCCGATCGATTCGATCGATTAGAGCATTTTTTCTGATGATATCATTTCTATTATAAAGGTCCCATAATTCTTAGCGATCCCTTTCAAAGGCTATTATGCACATCTTCAAAAATTATTAATTAGTCGATCAAATAATTATATGTGAACTTAAAACAGAAAATTTTTGACAATTTTTTCCTTTTTTCTTTGAAAAAACCATAATTTTTTTAGGAATTCTATTTTTACCTCTGGTTCGTGTACTAGATTAATACAATATTTTGTAATTTTGATATTCTAACAAACAAGCCACTGCTACCGGAGTGTTACCAGCAAATAAAAAAGAAAAATATTTTTTTCTGGAAAATCCGGTCATAGAAAATCATTACGTAAGAAAGCGAGTTGCACTACCGGCTTAAATTCCTTAATAAGATAATTGATATTTCTTGATTCAGTATTAGTGTCGTTTCACCCGTGTGTGTTTTTCGTCATTTTTTTGATTGACAAATATTTTCGGGCATGTGAATGAACTATTTTTACCATCATTTCAAGTAATCGACCGGTAATAAAATTTTTTCATTCGCCTCATTTTTTTTTTCGCAAAAAAAAAAATATTTGTTCACGTTTTATTAGTAAGCTATGAGAATTAAATTAAGGGGGGGGGATGTATAAATAGTATTATATAATATTAAAAATAGTTTCGAATTGGTGGTAACCTTTATTGGAAATTTTGACCCTTGAAATAGTAATAAAATGCCTTTCATGATTTCCGCTTAATCAAATATAAATATCTGTTGGAGTCTTTAGACACCCTCAAAGAAATTCAGAAACTTTTAAAAACTTTTTAAAAAATAAATTTTTTTTTAATCCTTGATTTTATTAACGTAATCCTCAAATTTTAAAAAATGGGCGAATCATCAATACAAGTTAAAACTTCATTCCCACCAAATGATTTTAATTCTGAATCACCAAAACAAAATCAAACTCTTCAATCTCCGTTATCTTATTCACCTCGAGAAGATAATTGTTTATCACCTACTTCTAATAAAAGATTATCTTACTCACCTCAAGAAGATAATTGTTTATCACCTACTTCTATTAAAAGATTATCTTACTCACCTCGAGAAGATAATGGTTCATCACCTACTTCTAATAAAAGACCAACTATCTCAACAATTTTTTCATTTTATCGGTCTTCTCCAAGAGTCAAACCTCATCGTTCTGAAACTTATCAAGGGAAAGATGAATATACTAACGGATGTTTTGGTTACTTGCGAACATCAGGATCAAAATTAAAATACAAAGTAACTAATGTTTGGAAATTTGTTAAAATTAATTGCAAGAAGAGATTTTCTAAAAATAAAAATTATTTGTGAAGTGTGAACATTAGTGGACTTAATTATAAAAAAAAATTTTTTGAACCATTTCATTTGGACAATTTTCATACTTTTTTTTTTTTTTTTCTTTTTACATTACTGCAATTTTGATCATTTGTATATTTTGAATCATCTCTCATTTGAACATTTTATCTTCTTTTCACTTTTTAACACTATATGAAAAAATTATAAGATTTAAGTTGATATTTAATAATTTATATGTATAAGTAGTTACGTCATTTTTTATCAACGTCCGGTCAGTAGCGTCACATTGTCGTATGACACCATAAATGACATTTTTTTAGACTTTTAGACTTTACATAAACTTTTGGCGTAATTACTTTTAAATTTTTAAGCTTTATTTAATAAACCTACTTTTAAATTTAATATATTAAAAATAAATCATATAAACTTTTATTTTTTATTTTTATTTTTATTTGAAAACTGCTTTTAACTGTTAAGTTTCGAAATTTAACATGTCGCCATATACTACTACTAAAATTTTAGAAGATTTAGACAAATCCAATCTTTCAGAAAATGGATTGCGTGAAGAACTAAATATACCTAATACTAATAAAGAAGTTAATAATAATATAGAATTTAATCCTATTAAGGCCATTCCAAACTAATAATTAGTTTAACGTCCTTTCTGGTTGAAAAATTTGAGGGAGAGAGGGAGGGAATAATTTAAACAAACATGATATTTAAACAAATTAAAATTTTTGGAAGTTTTTGGTAAAATCGGAAATATTCGGTACACCCAATTTCAGAAAAGAGAGGGGGTGCTTTAAACATATGTGAACATATGTGAACATATGTGTTTAAATTATTTTAAAATTTTCAAAAATAGAGGGGGAGGGGGAGGACGTTAAACTAAAAATTAATTTGGAATGGCCTAACATAGTTGATGTTTTAAATACTAGATTTATAGAGTAAATTGTTTACATGCTATCATTATGATTTTATATCCTTCGTTTATATACTAGTAATAGTAAAATTGCTTTTAATTATATATAAATAATAAAAAAAAAAAATTTTTAATTTTAATCAGATGGAAAATTCCTCCCGTGATGAATAAGTGGGGACAAATAGGATTTTTGATAACAAAAAATTTCCAAGTCCCCAGATTAATTAACAAAATGAACACCGTTGGGATGTGATACGTTGTAATAAATAAACCTAACCCACTAACCTAACCCTAATAAATATTGGGGGAGGGAATTTCCCTCCGGTTAAATGTAGTTATTTCATAAAAAATACGCTAATTTATTTAATGTTTTAATTATTTAATTATTTTTTTTGATTACGTCATACGTCAAAACTGTATGAAGTTACGTCCATGATGTTACGTCACTTGAGACCACAAAAGTTTATACCACTATTTAATAATAAAATTATGAATAATGTTTTTAAGCAAGAAAAATTTATTTTTAAAATTTCAAAAAAAAAAAATTTTTTTTTTAAGATCGTAAACTTCTGACATGCGTCAGATGTCGATACTCGATAATACGTTAGAGAATGATTAATGTTGGCCAACTTTCTTAAGGCATTATAAATTTGGAATAAATTATGAGATTTATATTTTTAATTTTTTTTTTTGGATTTTCTATTTTCTTATGTTAATTTTTTTTATAATGTTAATAAATCATTCCTAATGAAATCCTTTTATTGTATCGGTGTTTGGAAATGACACTATTTTTCGGATTAGGAGTCATATGTTGGCATTTGTCATTTCACAAATGACACCGAGAATGTAATTTGACCGTCATTTGCATCATCATATGGGCCAATTTGACTCCTCCTCAATTTTGTCACACAGATCAACAATGTGATTATTGCATGTACTATACGATATTTATTCAGTAATCGTTGTACAGTAGTTTTTCACGTCCTGATGGAAAACCCGTTGTCTATTTGCTGTAAGCTTTGTTTTAAAGCTTTTACAACTTATCAAAAATTATTCGTTCATGAAAGAAATAAACATTCGCACAATAAAACAATACCCCATTTCTATTCTCTTCCTCGTCCTACTTCGGAACAAATGTCTCAATACATAAACTCCTTTATAATTCTTATTAAAAAAAAACTAGGTTTTTCTCGACATGCCATTGGGAAAAAACGCTTTTCAATCGAAACATTTCCAGAAAACATATTTGTATATCTATTTAAAGATGAAGAAAAGTTCAAATACAGTCCTGCTAAACATAAATATCAATGTTATTTTGGGGGTTAACAGGAGAAAACAGACTTAAGCAAATACTTCACTATGATCAGTGGAGTTTCCGACAAAATCCTCTAACTAATACTAAAGGTTATGTCTTACTTGAAGATTATGAAAATACGTATCAAGTTAAATTTATATGGAGCCAGACGGTATTATTAGAGAATAATAGAAAGTTCACATTAGGAAGAATGACATGTAATTTTATTACAGACTCTGGAGAATTTCAAGAAAAGTAATGAGTTTATTATTATTTTTTTTTTAAAATTTACATTTATTCATAATTTTTTTATTATAGTAACATAAACCAAACACCTACACCAAATTCACAATTTTCAATATTTCAAGAAGATACATCATCTTTATCCAACAATTTAAAACAGCCTGTTAAGAAGAAATTCCGTTACATTTTACCTCGGCCACTTCAAGATATGAATCAGAGTAAGTAAATTCCACTTTTAGTCTTTGTTTTCTTTGTCCCCTGCATCAATATGTCGCATCAGAATTTCTTGCGGCGTATTATTTATTAAATAATATAACTGACGATTTTCAAACTCCATAATATCATATACTACAGGTTTTCCTCTGGTTCCACCACCCATAGTTGTTCCACAAAAAAATAGTCTAACCTAAAATTTATAGATAAAAATAGAGATAACGTAATTAGTCAAACAAAATGATTTAAAAAAAAAAAATAAAAGTGATATACCTGATTATGGTTTTTTTTTTCAATGCTTGAAGTAGAAAAAACCCGCAATCCCATATTTTTTTCCTTTAGATTTCGCAAAAATTCTGGAATGTGCTGGGAAAAAACATGCATATAAGGGGTAACATCCTCTTTTCTATATAAACCCGGTATTTGTGATGCTGAGTTCATTTGCCCCTGACTTGGCCGACAAAACAATTTAATCCATTGCTTTGCTTTATTTTCGAAATTATCAATTTCTGAATATGTTAGATTAGGACTTCTCAAAACTAAGTATAAATCATAAAAATCACGCCATAGTTTTTGAATTTCTTCACCACGTTTTCCTGAAATAAAATTAACAATAGGGAAATGTTGCAAAACCTTTTTCTTGTCAGGTCCCATTAATGAGGTCCAGTCCCACTTGCCACTATTTGATCTTGATTTAAAAAATTCAAAATGAACTTTAATTGACTTCATGGTTTGTTCTATTTGATTTTTAATTTCTCGTTCAAATTCCCTTTTTTTGAATAAATCATTAAAAAAACATTCCATTAACACATCTGAAATACGTAATAATAGATGTAATTCGTCTGGAATGTAATTTTCTTGCTTAATAGCAGGAAATAAAGGTGGTTTTTTTTGACCTGTTAATTTAAAATAATGTTTATAATTAATTTAACATAAATTATTTTAATAAGTTTACACTTACACTTTGTATTTTTATTAATTGGCCAACATAAATCTACATTCCAACGATTACTTGCTTCACAATCACAATATAGGCAAAAATATCTTGCATTTGGTGCATTTAATCCCATTATATTATACATAAATTTCCAGTCACCAGAAAAATATAATTCAATTGGCCAATGCACACCATCAACAGATATTCCATTTTCTTGAAGATCTTGGAGCTGATACTTAAATAGATTTCCAACTTTAGCTAATGTTTCATATTTTTCTTTACCTATAAAAAGGCAAATACTAATTTCTCATTATTTAATAAATGTTCTAAAAAATTACAAAATTAATACTACCTATACTGATGATCTGGTTTTAATACTTCATCTTTTTCATTTAATAAACAAATAGTTAACATCACATGATTCTGTTTGCGGCCCACATTTCTACCGTCTCCACCAAGTTTCAAATTAATTGTATCTCCTGGTTGAAGAATTGGAGGATTTGATTCATTCCAAATAGGAATAAATATTTGAAGAAGATTTCTAATAGATCGATAAACACCATTACCAATTTCTTGTTCATCAACCATGATTCCATCAGGATTGCTTTGATGTTCATCATCATCATCAAGTTGATTAACCTCTTTATTAAGATTAATTGTTCCGATTGGTATTTGTTCATTGATTAATTTTGTAATTTCTATTCTTCTTTGTGCAACTTGATATTCACGTGTCAATCGTGCTTCTACAGCAGCAAGCCTTCGGTAACCATCACGTCCTAATAAAGCTTCATCACAGGCACGCACATAGGCATCTAATTTTATATGATCTAATAATAGATTGTATTTTATATTAATAATATGATCTTCATATTCCAATTCCATATTACGTAAGTGAATTGGCTCCCCGGACTCTGAAACCATCCGATGTTGTAAAATAAGCTGTTTGATTTTCTTGTGAGCATCTCTCCCAAATGATGCATATCGTTTATTTTGTTATGATACTGATACTTCACTAAGGGGTCGCTTTCTTTTGTCAATATTAGTAGTTTTTGCTATAGTTAATTCTTCAGTTCGTGCTTGATGTAATATTTCAATATCTAATCCAAAAACATGTATCCCAGAAAGTCTAGAATTTTCTCGGCTAATTCTCTATAAAAATAGATGTTACATTTTTAATATTTTTAGAAATTATAGTTAGACATAATAATTAATACATTAAATAATTTCTAATTTCTAAAAATTTACCTTTAAAAAAGCATTTATTGCCCCACTTGCTGATCGTTCACTAGATATTGAATATTCTGCCCGTCCTTCTTTCCATATTATAGTGTATAAAACCTTGTTCACATTAATAAATGATTTTGTTATATAACAGATAACAAATTACGCTTATTAGTTTAAGATCATCACTCACTTTATTTACCGGGATGTATTTCGTTTCACAACGTATTGCTTTGTTTGCAGCTTCCGTTTCTATGATGTATCCATCTGGAATTTGATATTGAACGATGCTCCTACTACTTTTTTGCGTGTATTTAATATTTTGTGGATAGTATCCAAGTGCTATTACCTTATACCTTGAATGAACATTTCCGATAGAGTATAAGGCATCTATGTAAGGATTATTAGGATAATCATGACAAAAAACTCTGGCGACCTATATAAATTATAAGAAATTTAGCAAAAATCTAACAATAATTATATTATTGCTAACTCACCATGGTGCAATTCTTTTATAAAATGTGACTAAACTTCGTTTTAAGTGCAACTATTTATAAAGGTTCGTATAAGACTACTTTTTATAATATTTCTTAATTTTGTTAATTTCGAAATGAAACTGATCTAAAACTGATCTGAACTTGCGATTTCAATAGCGAAAAGGTTATGTCCTGTGCGGTTATTGGATTTCTTTTTTTTTTCACGCGTTTTTGGTACTTTTTTGGTGGGAGTTTTTTTTATCACACATTTTTGGGTGGTACACCAGTGGTACAACTCACGATCTTGGGTGGTACAACTCGTCAACATCACATAAACTTATTTAGTGAGATGAGCACGATCAGCCCATATGTTTGTCATTTGTCATTAAATACAGAAATATTATTGGACAATCTAACATTTACCTCCCAGTACAGGGACGGTGATTTATGGCATTTTACAATATATCACAAAAGTCACAAAATTTTGTGATAAACACAAATTTTAACACTTCCTCCAGAAGATTCTTTAACCACCTTTGGGAATCTTATGATACCCTTCATTACCATTTTTTACATTCATCAATAATCACACGGATTTGTTGTTCATTCCACTGTGCGGCCATTTTTATGTTTAAGAAAAGTTTTATGATAAGCAATGAAGTGAAGTAACAGAGCAAGCGAAAAAAAGGACCCGCTTATATAGGACACTGCGATTCTCCATTAAAATAAACGTAAATCATAAGATCAATGATAACATAAAAATAATAATAGTGATACAGGTTGGTATGGACCTTCTGATCAAAATCTGATTAGTGGACCGCCTCGTGATTTATGTTACAGGGATTTTTCTGCTAATATGTAGTTGGTAATAAATCATGTGATACGATTTGTTGTTTGACCACGCGAAATCGCGAATCGTGCATTTGACATATTCTCCGTAAACTCGATATCTTTGAAACAATGATTAATAGTAAGTGATATAAATACTGATAGTGTAAAAAATATTTAATAAATCAATCTGCAACCTTTTTCTCTTGATAAAATTTAAAAATGCCATTCGTAGATACTTTCTCTTATTTGAACGCAACAATATACGGAGTGAATATAAACGCAAACTTAGACATGAGGATAGAGAATATTCAAGCTTCCTCGGGAGTAGCCAAAGTATATTTCACAGACTCGGCGGTAAATTTTGATCTATTTTTTTATAAACTATAATTTATATTAAACAGTACTATAAATTCCAAGTTCAATTTTGTTATTCTATCGATAGCTCCCGCTCAATACGAGTAACCCGATACCGCCCCCACCTCAATTAACGATAGTTGATTCTCGCGGAAATAATCTGAAACCAATAGTCATTAATGGGATAACATGTTTTGGTATCATAGAATCCCGCGGATATACATTCAGATTGAACGGTCAGGTCTTCTTCACGTTAGGAACGCATATCCAACAATGCACAATTGTTGCCCCTAGCATGACTCATTTCACTATTCAATTTTAAATTTTAAATTTTATTTTTTAAATATATTTGCTTTAATGAAAAGTATTTGTAAACAAATTATAAAACATAAATGATTCCGGTGAAGTTTTGATTTCATCGCATAATACACGTACAGTGTGTATAAACAATTAGAAAAATGCCAAATGACATTTATTTTTTCATTTTAAGTAATTTATCGAACAACTTGCATAATCCGATTTTAATAAGAATCAGAAATATTGGTTGACAATGAACGAGAAATTATTTTTATAAAAAGAATTTTAATTTGGAAAAGGGATTGATTTATTTTTATTTATAGTTAGTTATTCTTAATATCACGTCAGAGAGCTGATACTTGAAATATTTAAATATTTTTTTTTCCCACCACGTAAATAAATCGACAAGCGGAGCTGATTGTGAATTAACAATGGTATGAACTGACAAAGGTAACTCATAAACAATAGCAATATTTTTTTAAATTTCAACGAACTAATAAATAGCTTTCAGTTTCTAATTTAAATATATTTTTCTTTTAAGTATAATATACTTTTATCAATAAATACAGAATGTTGTATGATAGACTAATGTAAAAAAGATTTTCTAAATAAGTTAACATGAATCACCGTGATATTGATTATCATCTGACTTCATTCAAATTAATATAAGAATAATAATAAAAAAAATTTTATTAGTGGAGGCCATTTAATTTAAAAATAAAGTCATTTTTTTTATTCGTCTAATAATGTGAAAATAATTACCGTATCCTTCCGTCTTCCGATTAAGCACCACCCGATTTAAGCACCAACCCGACCTTCATATTAGGATTCTTTTTTTTTTTTTAAATTGCACTGCATTTCTTTATTGATCTTTTACGTATTACGTAGATACATAAGAAATACTTAGAGGCACATGACCAAAAAGTCCTGTGACCGCAAAGTAATCTATCTAATAAGAACCAAGAGCGTTCTAACCCTATGTATCAAAGCGTGCAAAAATAATTCCCAGATCAAAAACTAAGCTCCCGTAATATAAATAATCATCCCATGAACTAAAAATTAAAATAAAATAACGAAACTAAAAAAAAACAAAAAAAAACGAAAAAAAAATCAAGATCTACCTACTACTATACGATTTATTACGCACCCTTTACTTGCTTAAGTTCCCCGTCCTCTATTCTCTAGCGTTTCTTGAACTTCTTCTCTGGAGGACTGTTCTTTACTCTTTTGTCCCCTGTATCCTTACCGTCCGTCGCTTTATTTTCGTTTTTTAGACGCTTTGTAAAATTTTCGTATAATGATTCAACGTCTCGCTTTGTTCCGCTAAACTAATAATTCTGCGTCCTAAATTATTGTACTAATCTCCCGCTTTGACAATCTTTGAATTCTTCATCCGTCTTAAGTCCATTCGCATCTTTCATCTCTTCAATCGCTTCTGTTCTTATGTACGCCCATTCCATATCGTTAGAAGTTGCTGAAAAATATCACCCAATTCATCAATCTTTTTACTAATTTCCACTAGATCATTGTTGTCTGATTCCTTGAAAGTACGTACTTTATTTTTCGTCCACCCGGTATTTATTTATGACTTCAACTACTCCATCCGTTGGAATATTATCTTTCTTCAGATTCTTTTTTTTTGAGGTTTCAACTTTGTTTTCTTCTTTCTCTTCTTCCAAATCATCTCCTACTATCCATTTCTTAATCAAATTCACTACTTCCTCTTCATCTATCGGTTTATCTACCGATTTCTTTTTAATTCTCTCATCCGCGAATTTGTCTAACTCAACATATCGTCTATTTGGCCTATTAAGATTCTTTTATTTTTCTTCTTGGTTTTTCTAATGATGGTGATAATGGTGGCCATGTTTAAGTTTGTGTGCCATGCTATTTAATTATTGTTAAGGTTGGTTGCCGTAAGTAACGATTATTATATATCGAATTACAACCTTTAGTGGATGTAATATTATAAACGTAAGCTGTAAATTGGCTGTAAATACTACATCATTGTGGTTAGCTAAAAGATGGAAATTCTGATTTAAAGTGTTGACAAATTCTTTAATGCAAGCTTTATGCTTTTATCATATGAGTCATTCTTCTTAATCGTGCATATTACAATAGTCTGATATGATATACTACACCCTTCAATTTGTATTTACATGAAGAGCGAATAATATTATTTTAAATCAACATCCTGAACTAATAACCTTTGACATTTTCCAAGAAAATTGTTTTTATTTCAGGTGACACCTCTGGTTTGATGAAAATCCATTCCCCATAAAGCCAACGTTCTGAGGCAAGAAAATTTTTACCATTTGGATAAACTTGGGCAGACTCTCTAATTATTAAAATTTCTTTTATATAAAATTTAGCCATTTTAGAAGTCACTGCAATACCATCGTTTTGAAGTTCTATAAGCCACAAATTTAAACTAGCTTCAAGATATTGTGCTTTTCTTCCTGCGCAAATGCGTCGACTTCCCCCTTTTTGCAGACTTGAGTTTATCTTCCTGATTTTTCTAACGCGAAATCATTGAATGATTAATAGAAAAAATAACGTGCAGTTGCTCTTTGATCATGATTTTTTGCATATTGCAAAACCCTAAGCTTTTCAATGGCAGAATATGATGAGCTTTGAATTTTTGGCATCGCGTGTGAAAAAAAATGTATTTAAAATAGGGGTAATTATATAGATTTATGTAATACAAAATTTTTCGAAGCACAAAAAATTTTTTTCCTATGTATGGAAGGATACGGGTGAATCTAATTGCGATTTCTCTGATGTATTTGAGTTTTATTAATTGTAAGATATAAATAAAGAGATTATCTTTATCATCTATGAATACCCTGATAAATATTGTAGTCTTGTGGCTTGTGGCTTATGTGGCTTAGGTCCGTCCGGCACGTAACGTCGTAACGTCGTAACGATGTACAACAATTTGGGTTTATAAGTTATAACAATCCCTATAAAAAATTTTTTCCATGTTTTTTTTTCTTGTTACTTCCGTAAATGTATTGAATCCACGGAGTTTTTACAGAAACTATGGATAAAATTTTTTTACAGGGAAGCAGGGAATATTTAACGTACTTTCAGCCATGAAGATAATAAAAAGAAAGAATAAGAAGAATAATAAAAGAATTAAAATGATGACCAAATTAAATATAGATGTTCTATAAAAATATTCTTCATTCTGCCTTTAGTAAATAAAACATTGAATGAGATTATTTTTCCAATTCTATGGAAAAATCCTTGGGAATATCTAATATACCGAAAGAGGAAATTTCGAGATTTAATCATTTTGTCTTTATCAAGTAAATCAAGAAATAAATTAAAAAATCAATATTCGGGTAACCTTAGATATAGAAATGCTCTTCCAGTTCCTACTTATACTAATTCTAACAAATAATCCATAAACAAAAACGGGTTGAATGCAGTGTTGGCCAGTGACTCAAATGACCTCAAATGACTCAAATGACTGGTCACGTGTCATTTGGGTCATTTCAACTTTAAATGACAAATGACCTAGTCATTTAAAAATTACATCATAATTCTGGCCAGAACTATTCATATAATTTCACTATTTCATGGATAAAATTTTCACATGATATTAGAAGTTCATAATTCTGGCCGGCATCATTAACTTGGCCTGAATTATAAAGCATTAATTTTAAATGACTCAAATGACAAATGACCTAAATGATTAGGTCATTCTTAGGTCATTCGGAGGTCATCTCAAAATGGGCAAATGACCTAGTCATTTGCCATCACTGGTTGAATGGGCATGAATGATGAAACAGATTTCCAATTATACTGTAACACCATAAAGCATTGTGCAAGTCAAGACTGGAGTAAAATATTCGATTGGAAGGTTTTGCAAAAAAAAAAATTCTACTGTATTTTAATTAAATTTTATTAGCGTTACATTTAATATTAAAAACATGATTACTATATGATAGAACGAATCGTAATATTCAAGTATTTATTTTACAACCTATGCAAATTTATTAACATTATTTCCACATGTATTTCGTCTTCAATTTTTTTTGGCTTGAAAATAAACAACGTAAAAAACAGTTTCGATTTTAAATATAAGTTTGTGATCAACGATATGTATCGAAAAATTCAAAGACTTAATAAACAATCTATTGGAGACTTGAATGCTGACTTTGAAAATTTGAAACTTGCTCTTTAAAAAAAAAAAAATTAAAATAAAATAAAAAATTCCGAGTTTTTCTCGCTATGAAAATCTTGCTACTACACGTGATCGTACCTGATGAAATTTTCAATTATGTAAATAAAAAATTTATTTTTACTGTTTATTTACGTACGTCAAATTTTTTTAAATGAAATCAGAATATTTTCTATTTAGAAAAAATTAAAAAAATTTTCTTCTCCTTAAAATAAACTTTCTAAGACGGTAATTAGTAATTACCCTTTTATTACTTTTATTAGGAAAAAAGAGAAATAAGTACTACGAAGAAAGATAAATTAATATATTTCCTTATTCTGTTCCATCTATTAAAAAACACCTGAATCCCGAATCTACACAATTTTTTTTGTCTTTGTTTTTAACATACTACTGAACCAAATTTTATTAACATTTATTATTTATATTTACGTAGTTGTTATATATATTTAATAAAGTTCTTTTGTATACAATACGCGATAATAATACATTCCAAAATTGTTTTCATTACATTAAACATGGCAGGGAGCTTTAAATATTAACGAATGGTATTGAGATGAGATTTAATTTATTAAATTTATCTTGCATTTGTGTTGAGTATCTATACCAATAGATTTATTATTAATATTCTATGATTGAAATGGTTGATTGAAATGGTCTCAGATGATTATGCCATTTGACAAAGAAAAATTTTTAGATAATTACTAGCAGTCACCCATTTCTTCGAAGGTGGAGGCGTGCTGCGCATTACACAATTCAAATTAATTTATTCAGGATAATCTAAAAATCACAAATTTTTTTTAATTATATAGATTAATAATATGTTTGATGATATAAGTACACAATTCAATTTTATTTCGTCCTTCCTTGCTTGCATTTTATGAAATATTTCTTTTATTTCATCGCTAATTAGTCATATAATTGTCCCAAATCAATCAATTTAAACAAACGGTACCACCCAATTAGGATGTGCTTTAAACATATGTGGACATATGTTTTTAAATTACCTTTGAAATTTCAAAAATAAGGGATTTTGATTGGCAATTTTAGTCGTATCCTCCTGATCCTCCTGATCATAATTTTTACTATTAAACACAGTCCAGATGATCGACAAATCAAAGAATGTGGTTGCGTTTTGTGGCTAAAAAATTTGATAAAATAAATCCTTTAAAAAAATAATTAATTAATTAACTTCATATCTGCTTCAAAGAATTTTTTCGTTAAATTCTCTACTAAACAATTATAGTCTTTTTAGTGCATCCTAAAGACTTAAAAGATTGCATGTACGACAAACATACTACTTAGCGTTGTTCTCGTGATCAAAATAATTGCACACAATGCATAAAAATGCATTCTTATTTGTTCTGAAATCCTGAAATTCGAATACTCGGCTGCATTTTGAATAATTATTATTAACTAACAACTATATATACGCCACATTAATAAAGGCGTTTACTGTACCATACTGATTAAGATATTGCCTTTTGAGAATACTCCTATTTTATAAGACCCGGGTATTTTAATCAGTGCAGTACGGTAATAAATATACAGTATACACACCGTCTTTTAGGAAGAATTTATATAATGGCGCACAGCAATGATGAAGGTAAAAAGTATAAAGCATGCATATTTGATACAAATTAGAATTATTCTAAAATTTTTAAAAAAATTTGCAACATAATAATAAAACTAGTATCAAATAGTACAAAGGAATCTGAAGGTAAAATATCTAATATAAAAAAAATTTTTGTAAATAATTTAATATTATCTCGTAAGTTAATAAATAGTTAAATTACTTATAGTATTTTAATATCTTATTATATTCTATACAAATAATTCATTTAATGATTAAAAATGCTATAGTTAGTATATTTTTTTAGTACATGAAACTCGAATGACTAATTTCTTTATTTAGTAATTAATGATATTATAGATGGTTAGTTATTACTTATTAAAGCCTTTATATTTATTTAATATTTACATATAATTCATACTAATTATGTTTTTAAATAATTAGACTGTAAGTGATATATTTCATTTTATACTATGCATTCTCTTGTATAATATTTATGTCTAGTTTAATGTATTACAGGGTGTAAGTTATGCGTTGCTTATTTTTCTGACATTTTATATAATTCAAACAAACTAAATCTTTATTGGAAAAATTAATAATAATATAGGGGGTAAGTAATTTATTTAATTCTGTTATTAGTAGTACATATTTATATATATTTTAATTAACTAAATTCTTTATTCAAATAATTTATTTTAGTTTGTAAGTTATATTAATTTTACTGTTCACTTAATATTTATAATATTTACATATGATTTAAGCTAATTAAACTCTTTATTTTAAAATAGTTATTAATAATATTATAGATGGTAGGTTATTTAATTCTCGTTATATATTCATATTGTACTATTTACACAAAATTTAACTAACTAAATTCTTTATCTAAAAATTATTTGTTAATTTTTATTAGATAACAAGCTAATTTATTATTATATGTATTTTCTGGCATATAGTTTATACTAACTAATTTATTTTAATAAATTATCTAATTAGTGAGTAAGTTATTCATTAATTTTATTATTGCATATTTTATGATTTTTAACAATTAAAATCATAGATTTGAAAAAAGTGAAAATGCAATTATGGATAAATTTATTTCTGAAAAAAATCTAAAATGGTTTCCTTATAATAAATTTAAAAATGTTAAATATCTTGATAAAGGAGGATTTGATATATAATATAAAGCTATTTTGTTAGATGAAAACAAAGTTATAATTCTTAAAAGTCTTAATAACTTGAATGAGAATTTAAATGAATTTTTGAATGAAGCATGATATATACAATATTTATTTTATTTTTGTAATTTTTAATTATAATTTATTTATACTATTAATATCTAATTTTATTCCTTTATAGTGGATATATCATGAAAGTTGTTGAAATTATTAATTTAGATGGATTTACAATGGATCCAGATACTTTGAATTTTATGGCAGTAATGGATTATGCGAATAAAGGGAATTTAAGAGGAAATTTAACAAAAGTAATTAAAAATAATTGGAAACAAAAATTATACATTTTGTATAAAATCATTTTTGGGCTCTATAAATTACATGAACAAAATCTATTTCATGGTGATTTTCATGATGGCAATATTTAATTCATAACTTTAAAAAGATAAAGAGAGTGAAGAAAATGAAGTAGGTGAAGAAGATGAAGTAAGTGAAGAAGATGAAGAAAGTGAAGAAGATGAAGAAAGTGGAAAAAGTGAAGTACATGAAAAAGATGAAGAAAGTAAAGAAAATGAAGAAACTGAAAAAGATGTAGTTTATATCAGTGATTTAGGATTATGTAGACCTGTAAAATCTTCTTTAAAAAAAGATGATATTTTTGGAGTTATACCATTTATGGCACCTGAAGTTTTAAGAGGTAAATCTTATACTTAAGCTTGTGATATATATAGTTACTCTATGATTATGTGGGAATTTACATCTGGAGTTTCACCATTTAATGATAAAGCACATGATATACAACTTGGTTTAAATATTTGTAGAGGTGAACGTCCTGAGATTATTGAAAATACTCCATAATGCTATGTAAATTTAATGTTAAAATGTTGGGATGAGGATCCACTAAAAAGGCCATCTGTATTTAAAATGTTAAATACTATTAAAAACTGGATTTTCCGTCCTAAATTTAAAGATATTAGCGAAGAATTAAAAAGTAACATCATGGAATTTATAAATGCACCAATTGAATATAACAATCTTACTACTGAATCTCATGTTATACAAACCGCTTTCTCAACTTTAATAGTGGAAAATTAAATGAAATTCTGGAAAGTGAATGCTTGGATGATTGTTTAATTGATGAATGAAGCTATTGGATATGTAATCTTATATCAAAATATTAAATTATTTTATATATGATTAGTTTATTTATTTAGTTAGTGAAAATTGATTATTATAAAAATGTTTTCGTTTATAGTATAAAGTGATATTTGATATTGTACATTCAACAAAATTTTTTTTATTTTATTGGAATTATTTAAACACTAAGATTAGAGTAGTAAATATTTTACAAGTTTCTTAGTTTGTAATTTGAATAGTTCTTTCTATCTAATATTAAATATAATTTATTAAATTAATTTTATTCAAAATATTAAAAATTACAATGTATTAATTTTAACTAAAAAGATTTAATTTGATCGCTTGACTAAAGGATAAAACAAATGAATTTAGCAAAATAATATACATGTTTTTATAATTCGTTTTGTACTTAGGGCTGCAATTTAATCCATATTAAAAATAAAAATAATATACTGTGTATTTATAATATCACTCTTTAAAAAAAAGCGCATCATGTGATAATTTCAAAAAGTTCAGTATGTGAAAATAAAATAAATTGGTAATGTTCACGAAAAATTAAGACTCACTATTCTGTAAAGTTTTTATTTTGTTCAGCTAGTAGGTAAATAAAAAAAGATATTTTATAATAAAATATGTATAAATTATATATTAAGTGGAAGCTTGCAGAAGTGCTTGCCAAACTAATGAGACAATTAAAAACAGATAATACCTTACATCAGCAAAAACCATTCAATTTCCAATTTATTAAAAAATAAAGATTTGGAGGAGTTACATAGAGTGTGATGTGGATGATGGAGATTGATGATAGTAAAAGAATGAATGTGAAAATACAACCAAGCTGTGCACGCACTCTTAATCGATTTGATATTTAAAGCCATGTATATAAACTTTGGATTCTCAAAATTTCCTTTATAGTATAGTTAATAAAACCAATTTTCAGGGCTTTTATTTAAAAAAAATCTAGGGAGTAAATTAGTAAATCCAGTAAAAGTATTAATATTGTTATGAATAATGAAGTTGCTTTAATAAAATTAATATTTGAATGGTTCCATATCTGCTGAACAGTTCAAGCCGATTTCATTTAGCAAATTATTGAAAAATATGTATAGTTATTTCACTAAAAACATCTAATATTTAAGAACATTAATAAAAATTAACATTTATGTATTTTCATACTTGTTAAATGACACACTCCTTTATTTAATTGAAGTGTTAAAATTAATATTAAGAGATCCATAAAAACATATAAAAATACAGTTTTATAGCAATATTTCACATCTGAGTTCTTTAAAAATATTTATTTAATAGATTTCTAAAAAATATTTTTTATATGATAAAAAGAGAAAAAAAGTTTGTGGGAGAAATAATTTTGTTGTAGCTGTAAACAACAAACAAGTAAAGCTGTTCATATCACAAGATTCCATGTATGTATAAGGTACATAATGTAAGATGAAAAAAATTTTATGTACTTTATATTGTTATAACAAGTATCATTACCACCAATCTTCTGCATATTCAATTTTATTTTTATTTATCCTTGTCCATACCAGAACTAAAATATAATTATTTGTATCGGGATTTTGAGATATCCCATACATATCATATGTTGAATATTTTTTAACCTAAATATAAAAATAAGGTAATAAATATATTATATTAATAGTATTAAGAATATTTTATAAGAATGTTATACCTCATTTATTAGAGAGTCAACAGAATTTAGTGAGTTATATAAATATTTTAAACCAACCATTTTACTTGAATCTCTTGTATATCTATCAAAATTCCAACCAACATAACATAATGGACCATTCTTCCAAATTGCGTAATATACTGTTAAACCATCATTATCTATTTCTTCAATTTCATCAAATTGATCATATGGTATCCATTCAAATACCACATCTTTATGGTTATTCATTTCTTGAATGAAATCGTCAATTTTTTCATTTCCACTAATAAAATTTGCTAAGTTCATGAAATTATTTTGAACCAAAATATAATCATTTGTATCTGGGTTTTGAGAAATTCCAAATAATACACCTTTTTTTGGTAAATATTTTTTAGCCTAATAATAAAATAATAAAAGAAATTAAGAAATTAATAATATTATTAAAAGTAAGTAAAATATTTATAAAAATCTTATACCTCATTTATTAGGAAATCAATAGAATTTTCTGAATTATGCAGACATCTTAAAGAAACTTCTATACTTGAATCTCGTGTATAATGTTGATACTGATAATTATAAAGTAATCGACCATCCTTCCATACTGCTGAATACATTGTAATAGAATTAGTATTTTTGCCTATTTCTTCAATTTCATTAAATTGATTGTAGGGTATCCATTCAAATACTACATCATTATAATCATTAATTTTTAATTGTATCTCTTGAATAAAATCATCAATTTTTTTATCTCCACTCATCAACATAAAATTTTTTTGAACTAAAATATAGTCACTTGTATCAGGATTTTGAGATATTCCATATATTTTAGTAATCTGTCTGCCGAATATACTTGTTAATTGCTTTTTAACCTGAATTGTGAATAAAAAGATAATTTAATTGAGATAAAAAAAAAATATTAAAATATTAGAAATATTTGTAGAATGTCTTACTTCATTTGTTAGAATTTCAATAGAATTTTGTGAGCTATGTAAATATTTTAAAGCAACATTTGTATTTGGTTCTCTTATATACCTCTTATTCAAATCACTGTAAAATAATGGACCATTCTTCCATATTGCTGAATGTACTGTTGTAAAATTATTTTTGCCTGATTCTTTAATTTTATCAAGTTGATTGTATGGTATCCATTCAAATACATCATCATAATGATTCATTATTTTTAATTGCATTTCTTGAATGAAATCATTAATTTTTTCATTTCCACTGATCCAATTTGCTAAATTTATGGAATTATTTTGAACCAAAATATAATTATTTGTATCTGGATCTTGAGATATTCCATACAATGTAATAAATGCATTATAATTTGTTGAATACATTTTAGCCTAGATACAAAAAAAAAATAGTAAATATATTAAATTAAAAAAGTATTTAAATATTTCAACATTTACCTCATTCATTAGAAAATCAATGGAATCTTGTGAGTTATGTAAGCATTTTAAAGCAACCTTTTTATTTGACACTCTTGTATATCCATTATACCAATTATAGTCAAATAATATTGGACCGTCCTTCCATATTGCTGAATATAATGTTATAAGACCATTTTTATCTGTCTCTTTGATTTCATTAAACTGATTGTATGGTATCCATTCAAATACTACATTATTTTTGTTATTGAATTTTAATTGCATTTCCTGGATGAAGTTATCAATCTTTTCATTTCTACTAGTCCAACATATAAGATTTCTTTTTAAATAATTCAGAATGTTAGATGACTCTAAAGGATTTTTTTGGGGAAACATTATATAAAAGTGCAAAAAAATTTTATTAATAATAAACTATTTGATCATTATATATGTAACTAAAATTCCAAAAAAGGAATCTTGTATAATACAACTTAAATAAGCTTATGTAAATATTACATAAGCTTAGTAATATTTTTCAAAATGGATAAAAACGATGTCAATCATGTAACACACAAAAATCACATATACGAAAAGAATTTAAATTAGTGCTTCGACCCGGATGAAAACCATCATCCGGATTACACAAAAAAAAATCCAGATTTTATCCGGATTGATCCAGATTCTTTATCCGGGTCAAAAAATCTGGATAGAAAGTAGAAACCGAAATCCGGATTGGATTTACACTGATCGGCAATAATTCTGGCCAGAATTCATAACTCCGACCGGAATTACAAATTTGTGTAATATTAAAAATTTTCGTGCCACTATGCTTAGCCGATAAAAAATTTTTCGCCCGGTGCTAAACTATTTTATCGGTGCCACGTGATATTAATTTCGGCCAGAATTACAAATTTGGCCAAAATTATCTAAAACCGCAAAATTTTCATAATTCCAATTTTATTCAATACTTTTCTTTAAAACAATTTCATATTATTTCAGCATTGTCTCAAACTATTGTTTAACATTCCTTTGTAAATTAACTAATTATGAAATTTTGGGTAAACAAGATATTTTTATATACAACAATAGATTTAGGTTAGTAAGGCAATTTTTAAAATGTTAAAAAGGATTTATTTCTTCTTTCAAAAATTAAAGAATCATTTGAATCAAATTATAAAACGCTAAGATTTTAATTTTTGAAAAAGGTTGTTATAATTACTGTATATAAATTTTAAAATATCTCAATTTTTTGTAATTTGATCTGATAATTATTATTTCATTGTAAAAAAAATAATATAAAATTTTTTTCTTTTGAACATTTGAATGCGAAAAATGATTCTTTGTTTAGTAAATTATTACATTTTAAACTTCAGTTGATCAACATGCGTAAGTGTTTTAGGTGTTTTCACTTTCAGTACTTAAAATGTTTGTCTATGGTCGCACTTTAATGAAAAAATTTATATACTTATTTCTATAAATAATTTGTAAATCTTATTGTATGAAGTTACGGTGCTATGCAAAAAAAATAGGATATTTTTCATCCGGATTATAATCTGGATGAAAACCACAAAATCCGGATATCTGAAAAAAAAATATCCAGATTGATCCAGATCAATCTAGATACGGGTCGAAGCACTAATTTAAATTTTTATAACTTTGAGCAAAAAAAATTTTAGATAAATACACACTTTATACCATATATATATGTTTATAAAGTTAAAGTTTGACAGGAAATATTTAGAAATTAGAGGTTTAATGAATACTGTATAATTGAAAAAAAAAAAAAAACTCTTTCCCGTGGGACTAAAAATTATTAGAAATCCGCAGTAAGGAAACTAAAATTACAAAAATATAAAATAAATTTTATTTTCTTATTAAAATACTAATAAAAATGGAGTCATACCGAGGGCAAGAGGAGTTCGAGGAACACATCTTAAAAGAAGTCAAGTCATTTGTTGGAAAAAATTTTACAAAAGCCAACTCTAGACATAAAGACGAGATAGAGAATATTTTCGACAAAATATTTTTCAGGACGCTAAAAACACATAGGCTACTAGTGGAAATAAGTAATATAACTGGCATAAAAGGTGAAAATATAAAAATAATAGCCAGGAGTATACTGAGGTTCGCATATAGAGACCACGATAATGACGTTAAAAGAATTGGAAACCAGAATATTCGCCTTCGTTCATGGCTGCGGCAGGCGCAGCAAAAACCTTCGACACATGATACACAACTAGATAAAGAAATAGAATGCGAGTTAAAAACACCAATCAAAAACGTCTCGGAACAAAGAAAAATGCCGAAAAATAAAAAACGTGAAAAAAAATCAGTTAAGGAAATTGTGCTCCCATCAAATGATGATCAGATATCGATCCAAAAAAATACTGGGGCTCAGAGTACAACATCACGTGATATTTTATTTTACGACATACCATCAAGATATAGTGAGGAAGAGGTAGTCAATGCCATAAATCAATTAGGCAAGGTACACAGAATTAGAATCAAAAAACATTACAAATACCAATCAGTAAGAGCGGACATATCATTATTGGAAGATTATGAGACATCCTTTTTAAATGGGGTATGGAAGGAGAAAGTGCTAATAGGAAGCAACGATAAAAATAAAAAAGTCATTGACGTTCGTTGGTTCAAAGGAGATAGGACTGTTAAAGACATAAAAGAAAAATGCAAGTGGAAAGCTTACAAAGTAATATCTACGAATTACTACCAAGATATAGCGAGAAAAAATTATACTTTTGAGTATGGAAAAATTGCTCGCTTTGGAAATAAGACAGTTTTCCTGGCGTATTTTAAAGATGAAGATCAATTGAACAATGCAATCGCTCTGGACGGCGGGATTACAGATCAAGCCTGGATTATTCACAGAAAACGTCAAGATGGCGCGCCGAAGAAGTCAACAAAAGAGGTCCTTCTGAGGGCGCTAATCAGCATGGTCCCGAATAATAAAAAAGAAGAGCTGATAACGACAACCGTGACGTCACCAACAATTATGAAAGATGTAACCACGGAAGAGGTAGTCGATACCGTTAATAAATATAGGAAAAACCTGCTGAGTGAAAAGCAAGTAAAAACGATATCGCATCCAATAAAAGATTATACTTCACCAGATAACGTGGTTAAAGTAATTGAAGAGTACTGAGAAGAGATAATGGTTGAATATAATAAAGTGACGTTACCAGTTGAAGATGACAACATGATAAAAGTCTACGACAAAAACCACCCACTGAGTAAAGCGAGGATTTCTTTATTCAAAAAAAGCGTCAGTGACAAAAAGGGAAGAAGTCAGAGCGTTCTACAAATGGAGAAAAAACTGTGTCTCTGATAGAATTACATGAATACAACAAAGTTAACGCTGATTGTACTAAACGTTTACCATCACAAAACAATAGGTCTTCATTTACCGTTTCAAACTGTAACCCATTTATAATAGGACCAGGTAATGGTTTTTCATCATCATCGGATGATGAAGAACATATAAAAGAAGTCAAGAAGCGTATAAAGAAAAAACAGGGAACGCGAAGTGACACAGAATACAAAGAGACTGGAGATGGCTTTAGAGAAGTCAAAAAAGAAAGAAAACCCTGGGCCAGAAAACCTGGAAGCAGGATGTGCCGTAAAAAGAAGAAAAAGGGTCAAAACAAAAAATAGTTTAGGTTTTTTTTTTTAGTGTAGAATAACGAGATATACCCATGTATGTAGATACTTTGTATATAGGTTGGTGTAGGGGTTAAAGGTGTTGATCGGGGACGGTAGTGGCCTTGACATGGAGAGAGCGAGTAGTTTTAGACTGCTCAATTTCAATGGTATATTGAGGTTATTCTACTGTCTATGTTTGTACTAGTGCGCGAAATACTAACATAGACTCTTTTTAATCAATAAATATGCGTTTGTCATTGTAAAAAAAAAAAAAAAAAATATTTAGAAATTAAAATTCAGCGCTAACCATGATAAATAAATTTCTGTATGGGATTTTTTTAATCTACTGTTTAGAGTTATTGATAAATTTTTTTTATTTATGCAGGTCATACGTTATGACCTCCAATTTTAGGTTAAAGTCAAAATTTTTGCCCGTTTCTTACTAAAAATTTTGCCGATCTTATCCGGATTGACCACACTGGATACACAATAATTAGAGTTCTTTAGTTTATGTCAATACATTATATAAAATATATAATATATATATATGTTTTATATTAACAATTTAATAATTAGGAAAATATATTTGCTTGCTGTAGAAATGAAAAAAGAAATATTTTCATTGAGGATTTTATTCCCTAGGCATAATATTTATTATCATCATAAATATAATATATACAGTATATATATGTTCAAAAGCCTAATTAATTTGGAGTTTTTTTTTGTTAATCCAAATTTTTTAACATTGCATTTTTGTAAGGGACTTCATCTCCAAGCTAATCAAGCATAATGTTTTGTATTTATAATTAAAGAAAAATGGTTAATATCATTGAATTTAAAGGTATGTAAGGTAGCAAAAATGTTCATATTCTTTAACATTGAATAATCTACAGCCTTTTTCTTTATATTCTGATATATACAATAGATAGTGGAATCTTTTTCAAAAAATTAAAGAATAAAGCGTTTTTAAAAAATTTTTATTATAAAAAAATAATTATAAGAACTTCTTTTCAGTTTGTTACTAGGAAAATTAAAAAAAAATTTTTCATTTTGTTTTTATTAGAAAATTTAGAAAGTTGTTTTTTTTTACAATTTTCCAATAAAAAAAAACAAAAAAAAAAATTTTTTTTCTTTATTAGAAAATTAGAAAATAATTCATTTACTTAAATAAAAATGAAAAACGTAGTAAAGTCCAAAATTGGCTTAGAAATATAATTGTTTTTTTTAAAAATAATTTTTTTACTCCAAAACAATCAATTTTTTTTGGTACATTTTTAATTATAATTGATTGACAAATCAACTCAAAATTAAATTTCATCTTGCATAATTGTTTTTAAGAAATATCTGGTCAAGTTACCAACTTTGAGTTTTTTTAATACATTAATTATTATAAAGGACGTATAATTTATTATAACGGACGCATAAATTTATTATAAAGGACATGTGAAAAAATTATTTTTTTGCATACATCGCATAATAGAAATTACTACACTATTATTATTATATAGCTAATTATTGATCCTTTTAAGAAGATTCTCCATTGCAAATATTGATGGCTTGCTCATAGCGGTTAGAATTACTTCATCTGGTGGATTAATAATATCATTCGCATAATTGTTGGTTGGTCGTCTATGTAAAAAGTTATATTCGATTAATGACGAAACTGCTTCATGACCAATTTCATTGATCAAATTATTCTCAAGAATAAATCCTGGACTCCTTATAATGGCATTCATGGTATCAATGAAATCATCTCTATTCCAGGATGGGATAAATTTTCCTGGTAACCTTAGTTTTTTAGGATAAAGACCAGAATTTAACCAATCAAGTTCTTGTCTGTATTCTGAAAAATCTATGAAATAAAATTTTTTTTTTAATCAAGTCATTAAAGTCGTTAAATTTAATGAATATGTATTATAAGGAATATAGACACTTACTTTCAAATTTTCCTCTATGAACTTTATATTCATCAACATAATGATCGATTGTTAGCATGCGAGTACCAGTAATACTGCAGACATTATCAAATTGACCTTCAAGCTCACCACGAACCTCATAATCTTTTTCAAATATCAAAGTATAAGTATCATTATATACAAAAAGGATAAATATATAGTTAATATATGATTATACCATGTTTAGGAAGCACATGAAGTTCGAAGTATTCCTCAGCTTCTTCTCTGCTCAAATCACCAACAATGTATGGAGTTACATATGGAACAAGTAAAACTATTGATAATAAGTGCAAGTATGATGTAGTTAGAATTAGAGAAAAATATAATTATTAATTATAATTGACAAAATAAATATACTTTTTGTAATCCAGTTTATAAAAAATGAATCAGAAGAGGTAAGGACTACATGAAAGAACTTATTTTGTTTTGTACAAGTCACCAGCCAGTTGAGAAATGATATTAGAAGAGATCCTCCTTCTTTTGATTTAGTAAGTTTAGTAAGTTTGGAGAACAAGTGGGCTTCATCAAAGATCAAAAGAGGTGGTGATTCTATTTTATTTTTCCATAAAGAATATGTCTCAATTGTCTCATCAATCTTTTCAAATAATTCAATGACATCTTTATTAGTAATCTTAAAATTATTTTGTTGTTTATATGATAAAGTGTTCAATAATACGCTACAATTTTTAATCAAGTTTGAATTATTTGCGAAGAATTGACGAAATTGTGCAGAAATTGAACAATACAAGTTTTCTGGTGTATCAAATGAACCAGTACGGCAGTCAATAATAAGAGGGTTGACATCACACATTTTTGCTACATCACGAATCAAAGTGGTTTTTCCAGAATTAGGAGGGCCTAAGATGACATGAATTCTTGGAATATTATAGCTAAATGCCTCTTTAAACTTTTTAATTTCTTGATGTCGATAGAAATAAGGCCTCATACAATTATGAGGCGAAGTTGATAGATGTCTTAAAGATCTAGTCACAGACATGATGAAATTTTTTTATTGAATAGCAGTAAAGATAAGTTTACTCTTAAAATATAAATCATGGAGTAAATTCTGATGCATTATCAGTTGTACAAACTGATCAATTAATTGCCGACAAAGCTTAAGCCACAAATCAGTAAATACTCACATAATGGAGATTTCAATAATTGTTATAATAATATTATTATTTTTTTAGTTCAGATTCTTACTTTTCTGCAAAATTTGCAAAATTTACTTTTGAAATTACTAATATCAGTAATATGTATTTTTTTTCGCAAATATGTAACTCAAATATTAATGTAACCTGATTTATTATTTAGTTCGAATAATATATTCTGAAACTTTATACTTTTAGAACATTTATTATATAATGAATTCGCAAAATATTTTTTTCAGGAGTTTAAAATTATTTTTATCAATTACAATATATTGTATTGTATACGTTCACTCACTGCCACAATTAATCAAAGTTTCACAATTTATGGCAAATTATGATTATAATTAACAAGCAATAAGATTTTGTAAAAAAACTGATTTATAAAAAAATATAATTACATAATTTTTTTTATTCGGTACTACAATTTTTTTACATTATATTAAAATCAATGTGTATATATTTATTTTAACAGATTAGTTATAGAAAGTATTTATAAATTTTTATCCCATACTACAACTCTAATGGTAAGTCACCATATTTTTTTACGTACTAATCAATAAATTTATTTGTTAAATATTTAAGTTTGCTCTTTTTAATAAAATAATTAAAGTTCAGAGTTTTTGTTATCATCTTAATTTGCTTAATCATTAAATAACTTCGAGGGTTTAATTTGATAAACGAGGGTTAATGATAATTGTTAAAAATGCAATTACAGTATATAATAATCAAAATGTAATAAATAATTAATAATTTGCTCTTTTATCGAATTCCTCTTTATTAAAATTTAATATCTTTAACTTGCTTTTTGGATTTCTCATCAAAATCTTTCAATTATTCGAAAAGTAGTTAAATAGTAGTTAAATGTGGATAATTCTAAAATCAACAAAATTTATAAATATATCCATAAGTTTGTGATAAAAAATTTATTTTCTTCTTAATTACAAGTAATAATTCGGAAGTTTACCATTAAATTGTATTCGAATTTATAATATTCATACAGTATACTATTAGATAATCATTAAATTGTCTTACATAAAACCGATGTTGCAATATATATTATAATGGGATGTTAATCGGATATTATCAATATAATAATCGATATTGATAATTCTAGTAAATTAATTTTGTAATAAATATTTCATATAGTTCAAATTACAGATCATGTTTATTGTAATTCTATTCTATAATTTCTTATAATTTGAACAAATCACAAATTAGAATAAATGTTAAAAAAATAAACTATTTAAATTACAAACTAAGAAATCTATAAAAATCTGTTACTCTAGTCTTAGTGTTTAAATAATTCTAAATAAAAAAATGTGATAGGAATGAATTAGCCGTAAAAATGTATCATATTTTATCGTTTCGGCTGGATTATCTAACGGATTTTCGTTAATTCAAAATCCATCTATAAAAAAAATAAAATTTATTTGAACAATTAACAATTTATTATTAAAAATTTGATCTTTTAAATATTTTTTAATAATCACCTTCCGGAATTTCTAAATTTTCTTGATCTTCTGAATGAAGGTTTGCATTGTTGGTAATTTCATCTTCTTCCACATCTATTGATGTAAAGTAACAAATAAAAGTTTAGTCAAAATCCTATTAATAATTGACCAAAGACTGATGCAAAATATAATCAACTCCTAATTAAAATGTAACATTTCTTACCATCATTTGCAATATAACGTTTTTGTATATATTGGAATTCTACTTATTATAATTTAATTTTAATAAAATTTATTTATTATAAAACGAAAGATTTTACTAATTTAAAATGATTAATTACCTTTATTATTTGATAATTTTATTTTTTTAGACTTGATATTATGATTTACATCGTCTTTATCGTCATCTGTTTAAATAATTGAAAAAAGTCTTTTTAATGCAAATTTACTTATCATTAATTGAAAATAATATAATATATTTATTACCATTAAAATTATTTCTTTTAGATTTGCCTTTTACTTCTTTATCTATAAAATTAATTTTGAATTACTAAAATATATATGAATAATGTTAATATTTTTAAATTATTATATTAATCTTACTGATTGCTGTAGAATTATTTGGTTCAATTTGATGTTCAGTTTGCTCAGATATAATATCTTCAATTTCTAAAACAAAAATAAGTATAATTATTTGAAAATAAAGTAAATTTCTTAATATACAATGTATAAACTTACTACTTGGAATGCTTAAGTTTTGTTGCATACTATGATAAGCTAGAAATATAAATAATTTAATACCTTCTAATATACCAAATAAATAATAACAATAAATAAATGTAGTACCTTCTTGTTCTTCTATTAATTTAATAAAGAATAAATTACAAAATTATTAGATATAGCTAACATACGAATGAATTTTAATTATAATTTATTTACCTTCAGTAGCATTTTTTGGTTCATGTAAATTTTCAAAAATGTGAAATTTACTAACTTTCCTAACTAATGAATTAATAGAACCAGAATCTGTATAATTATTTGTTGCACATATATCATCTATCTGCTGTTCATTATTTTCATTTTGATAGTGTAATTTTCGAATTTCCGCAATTTCATCCTTGAGATACCAAATGTCGGGTCTTTCTGCTGGATTTGCATTCCAACATTGTTCCATTAATTTTTTATACCTTAAAGGAGTTCCTGGCATTACTTTTGGTCTCATCCCATTTATTATCTTCAATGCTAAATCACAATCGTGTTCAAAATTAATAAAAGGTGGTTGACCAGATGAAACTTCCCACATTAGCATCGCAATACTATAAATATCAGATGCAAAAGTACTTTCTTTTCCACAAATAATTTCTGGTGCTATATAAGGAAGATTTCCATATATACTATTTTCTGGTTTATTGGCTGGTCCACAAAACCCGAGATCACCAACGTGAAAAGTATTTTCAGGTTGTATAGTTAATATATTTCCAGAATGTAAATCTCTATGAATTGTATTCTCTTTATGGATCGAATAAAGTGAACTAATTATATCACACATAATGCCAGCCTTTTCCTTCCATGTAAGTTTATAATGATTTTGTTGTAAATATTTTCTTAAATCAATACCCATTTTCATCATTACAAGCATATAATTTCCATCCGGTTGATCTCTTGTTAAACCATGACATTTTACCAAATTACCCCATCTGTTATTTATATTCAAATGATATTTACACTACAAATTACAAAATTTTCAAAAATATAGTTAACATTGAACTATTATCTTATTAGAGCTTAATTATACCTCATCAAACCAATTTCTGCTAGCACTTTCAACATTTTCTAACTTCTTAAGTATTACTTCAAGCATTCCATATCTTTTTAGTTGTTGCTCTTTATTATCCCATTTATGGTATGGCCCGTTAATCCAATCTGCTGTATAGATTTTAGAGCATCCACCTTCAGTTAAATATTTAACATTCTGTAAACTGTTGTAAGGTATCCATTCTACTATCCTATGTGGAATAGATGTTTCCATTTGACAACTTTGTATTAAATTATCAATATCAACATTTTTAGATGTCCAATTTGAAAATTTTGCTATTAAATAATCTCGAACACAATATTCACAATATAATGTAGCTAAGCATTCTTTTTGACAATTTTCACAAATCCTTATTGTTCCTGAATTATAAAGAATTTTCTCATCATCAAAACAGATGTCTAAGATTTCATTTATTGCATATGACTTTTCATCATCTGTAAGAGATTCATCAGCAAGAATAACTTGTTTTCTGAATTTATGTATTTTTTCTATATGATTATTATAATCTGATAATGATCTTGCTCTATTTACCACAGCATTAACCAATTCTTTTCAAATATTAGACATGTTGAAATGTTAAAATTCGGTTGATTATTTTATAAATGTAAAAAATGTTAACTATCTAGAAGAGGAAAAGAATTAAAATGCATTTTTTTTTAGACTGGAACTTTATTTATAATAGCCAATGATCGGCATAAAATTCTAGGATTCTGATTGTTCTGCAGGTGCAGTGTGACTATACTTGCCGCCCATTTAAAATCCCCTCCCATCCCCTCCCATCCCCTCCCCTCCCCTCCCATATCTCATCCCATCCCAAATCCCAATCCCAAATCCCATCCCATCCCAGATCCCAAATACTTGTGTAACAGTTCTCCCATTGGCCAATTATCACGTGACGTTACACAGACTTCCAAAAAAAGGAAATTTTGCCTCCCGCAAAAAATGGGCGGATTTGGTTTCACAAGTATTCCAAAAAAGGAAATTTCTATGCCGATCACATAATTCCGGCCGTAATATTTTAGTTTTCGAAGTCTAATGTTAATTCAGGTCAGAATTTAGTTTAAATCCTTATCCTACATACCCAAATTTTTAAGAGATTTACCGATCAGATTTTAATGAAATTTATATCATTGGATTTGTCTCGATGCAAGGAATTTAATGGCAGTGAAATTATATTCCTAACATTAATATTGACTAAGTTATTATAAAAAATTTATTTTATAATATATATTATTAAATAACATGTATAAAGCAAGCAATAATTGGTTACTTTTAATATAAAAAGTTTTTAAAATATATTTATTCAATTTATTATTTTATATTTTTTATTACAATTTAACTTTGAATTAACTTAAACCTATCTATTAATTCATCAAAAAAATTTTGATTATTTATTTCTAATATATATAATTTGATAGATATTATTATTATTGCATAAATATTTAATAAAATAATATTTACAAACCAGGAATTAATTTACTGTTAATCTAAAAAAACAATATCAGCAGATATCATCAAAATTATTAATTCAAATAAAATAATCAATATATTACTGAATACTAACTGCTAACATGTTACTTTCAAATAATATATAGTATAAAAATACATTTTTTATAATAAATCAGTCAATATTAATTTTAGAAATATGATTTCACTACCATTTAATTCCTTGCATCAAGACGAATCCAAAGATATAAATTTCATTAAAATCTGATCAGTAAATCTCTTAAAAATTGGGTTTGTAGGATAAGGATTTAAACCTTTATAATTTGTAATTCCGGCCGGAGTTAAAATATAAACTTCGTAAATCTGTTCGGGATCTTAATTTTGCTCATATTCTGGTAATGGATGCAATGCTGGCCAGAATTATATGATCGGCGTAAAAATTTCCTTTTTTGGAATACTTGTGAAACCAAAATCTCTCAATTTTTGCGGGAAGCAAAATTTCCTTTTTTGGAAATTTGTGTAACGTCACGTGATAATTGACCAATGAGATTATTTGGGATAAGGGATGGGATAAGGGATATGGGATATGGGTGGGATTGGGATTTGGGATTGGGATGGGATTTTGGCAAATGGGAGGGGATTTTGGCAAAAGGGATGGGATATGGGATGGGATGGGATAGGGGATTCTCCCATCCCATTTAATATGGGTGGCAAGTATAAGTGTGACACAAAATTTGGAACTTTATTTATAATTCCGTTTATTTTGTGCTAATTAGGCAGTATTGCCGATTATTGTCATAAAATTCTAGAATTATGTCTAGAATTCTGACAAAGAAACTGTTAGTCCGCCGTTTCTGCAAGTGCAGTGTGACACAAAATTTGGAACTTTATTTATAATTCCGTTATTCGTGCTAATTAGGCAATATTGCCGATGATCGGCATAAAATTCTAGAATTATGTCTAAGAATTCTGACAAAGAAACTGTTAGTCCGCCGTTCTGCACTTCTGCAAGTGCAGTGTGACACAAAATTGGATTAAATTTAGTAATCCCTGAATAAATTAAGTTTCACGAATTTTTTAGGATAAATTATCACATAAATTATCACAAAATTTAATTATTTGATCATCCAACCATTACCAGTTTAATCTTTCTTTAATTTAATAAAATAATTTTAATTTATCTATTTTCACCTTTAACATCATTATTTTTTGATCTATATAGAAATAAAAATCCTTTGTTGATAAAATAAAAGAATAAATGAATATTAAATTATAAGGTTTATCTCATTAGAAGTATAATATGATTAGGTATAATGTTCCGAAAGGAACGAGTCAGGTCGGGTTTGAGAATGTACTTGAACTCGACCCGAGTATAAAAACCAAACTCGATAAATATTTGGGTTTACATTTATATAACTCGACCCCTGACCCGACTTGACATAGTTTAACTTCTGAAATAACCTGAGTCAAATAAATTTCAAAACAAGTTCATTTATGATCAGTAAGACAATAGGCCACTCAACTTTTACTAGTAAAATTCGATAAATTTTCATATTTTTATTATAGTAAAACAAAAATATTTTATATTATTTAATAATTTTTGGCGTATATCTACAGCAACATGTTAATAATAATATCCAACTTTTCATATTGTACACGTTATGGACCGAAGTTGGTTCAATGAATGATAAGAATAGTCTCAATAATCGTCATAATTATTTTTAATGTAAAATTTAAATTTTAAAATTTATAATCTCATTAGATGTTTCTTTTCATACCCTACACCATCAAGACTTTCAAGCACATACATGCACAGATTGTATTAGTTTTGAGATTGAATCTTTCATAGCTCATTGTCTTTTTGGAACACAACCTATGTTCACATAAACGTCCACTTTGATTTCTATCAAATCAATTTTAAAAACCATAAACTTCTCAATGAGTCTTTACATTTTTTATATTGGTGATGGAAATTTCTCTTCTTCAAAAGTTCTCTAATAAAAAGTTTGTTTCAAAAGAATTTCGCTTTCCAAGAGAGCTTCACACATCTTAATAATATAATTAAAAATTAGAAATTAAAAATTACGTAATATAAACATAATCTCATTCATTTAATCATCTGATTAAAACCCGAGTCAACCAGGGAAGTAAAGGAATGGCGGGTTGGATCGAATCCAGGACTCATGTCAAAAAATGAAAGAACCGATCTGGAATTTAAACACGAGTTGGGTCAAATAACCCGGGTCTGACCTGACTCTTTGAACACTAAATTTAGGTAATTGAGTCAAAGATTATATATCATTCTCTCTTGAGAAAAAACAATGCAGAATAAATTTTAACATTAAAATTATCTAAAAAAAAAACAATTTAAAATAATTTAAAAATACTCTAGCAATTATTTAATTAGTAATCTAGTAAATACTGTAAATTACAGGAAAATATGACATCTGGAATGGAATTCCAAAGATTTCCATTAATGTCATATTATACGTCCTATAACGAAAATATACATTATTTTTTTAAATATTAGGTAAACCAAACTTTGATGAACATTTTGAGTGTAAAATATATATTAAATTAATTTAAATTAATTTAAATGTGAAATTTCAAAATTTAAAAAATTGAGTCGCCAACTCCTGATTAAATAATTTGTTGTCAATATTCTAATATACTTTTTTTTTTAAAAAAAAAAAAAAAAAATCGGGATTATCTAATTTTAAAATATATGATGCGGTAATTTTTTTTATTTTTTTCGCCAAAAGATTTGAACCTGTATAATATCAAGTTTTATTATTATATATTATTACGGACATTTTTATTGAGGCGTTTGTGTTTTTTTCCTTTTTTCATTGTTGTAAGACCTAAGCCCGTGATAAATCACGTTTCCCACCACCTTATTAATAATAGCTTGGTTTAATAATGCTAAAGAATAATTAAATATTTATCCTAATATTCAAATAAATCTCCAAATTCGTAACCTGATTTTCCACAAGGTCAATATTTACGCCTTTATATATGAATCCGTAAATAACCTCCTAAAGAAACATTCTGCGCCTCTTACCACTATGTTTTACTGCAAAAACCTAAAATTTCCTATCTCATATAATTTCTGCTTATACGAACTACAAGTATTAGTACTTGTTATTTTTCATGTTTTTGAAATTTTCATTTTTCTTCGTCTTGACCCTCAAAACCATTTCCTTAAATGTTGATCTACAAATTAATCACTTGATTTCCTAATCATCTGATAATCATCTGACTCCTACTATAAAATGATCTATTAGTTTAACGTCATCCCGGACGTTACATTTATAACGTCACTAAAAATTTATACCAAATATAATACTACGCCTCATAATTAATAAATTTACTAGGTATATTACGGCATTACATTGTAAAGGCCATTTTTGTTAAGGCGTTATTGTATTTTTTTCCTTTTTCCATTATAAAGGCCATTTTTGTTGAGGTGTTATTGTATTGTTTCCTTTTTTCATTGTAAAGGTTTTTTTTTTTTGAGAACGGAAATTACCGAATTTTATATTCTGATCATCATATTACTTTTCACATGATTGTACTTAGAATATTGAAATCACATGATCAATATTATATTCAGTAAACTTTGTTTTATTTTTTATTTAAACAGAGTTAACAGACTACTAACGCTAACATGTCTTGTTTATCTCATGAACGAAGCTACTTGTTGATAAAACGATAATACTAAAAAAATGCTTATTCTAAAAACTTGCCGAAATTCACGTGATCAGTCGAGACGTACCATTTTTATGACAGGACATCCTATACAAAATTAATAATCCAAAATTCAATATTTAGTTTTTGTATTGATTTGCCCACAACGTAGTCAATCATAAAGGTTATTTTAACCAAAATACAAACTAAAATACTTTAATCAAAGTTAATATAATAAATACAGTATATAAATTAAAAAAAATAATAATTTTCTAATAAGAAAATTTATAAGAAATTCAGCATTTTGGGTCAAACTTTATCTTCTTTTAAACTATATTATTATCATCATTATAGTCATCATCGTTTTTGTCACCTAAAAGCTCTAAATTTTCATTACGAATATTTAAATGTTTTTCATATCTTTTACGTGTTTTTCCTAACTCATTTAGATAATCACTATCAATATAATACTCTTTTAACAAAATTTCTAATACGGCTACTCTATCTTCAATTTTACCGTCTGGTGGCAGTTTACGTGGATCTTCTACTAATGGTATTCCTCCACGAGAGACGTATCTATTTGCTAAATATTTTTTTAACCTCCGACGAAGTGGCCAACAACTTAACAAGTGTGTTTGACAAATTCCCCTTAAAAAAATAAATAATAATAAATTGTTAATAATATTTTTTAAATACTTATTATAAAATATGTTAATAATTACCATGGAGAAAGTTTTGATGCTCCAAATAGTAAAACAAATATCCCGCTTATAACACTATAAAAACCACCAAAGTTTTCTATAAGTTTTTTAACTAAATAAAGAAGGAAAATTTATTATAAAAAATGAATAAATTAATATTCAAATACAAAAAAATTTTAATATTTAAAATTATTAATTACCGTCATTTTTAAATGTCATAATATCATCATCAACTACGAACTTATATTTCTGTGACAATTCTAACACAGTGAAAGCATTCGGTATTTGTGCAAGTATTTTTTCTTTAATTACAATATCCATTCTATCTCTACCTGCATCAAAACCAAGAAATCCAGTAAGATATGAAGAATAATATTTCATACTTTTGTAATAAAAATCATACACATGATATTGTCCTGGAGTAATAAAGTATTGGTTAAGAATTAATTTCATCTCAATAATATCATTATACATCGTAATTTTGGTAAATGATTTAAAACTAATTTCGAAATAATCATAAATTGTCGAATTATCTAAATCAAGAACAAAGAGAAGTTTTTTATTAAATTTATGATTGACGTTTTCATTGTCAGGGGTAAATTTCATGCAACTATTAGTAACATTAGTAAAAAATTCGGTACTTCTAGGAATTGAATTATTGTTGTATAAATCGTTTATCATGTTTGGATAAAATTCCTTCATAGCTGTGAAATTAACAAAATAATTAATTTTAAAAAATCAATCGTCAAATTTTAATATCAATAAACTTACTTTTATTGTCATTATCTTTATCATAGAAAGAATAATTTTTAGGAATATACAATTGTGAACTTATTGCGTATAATTTGTATACCGATATTTTTAATGATGAATTGTTGTCGTAATTGTCTTTTATTATGAAGTTAACAAGTATAATGAATACTACATCTTAAATAATGTTTTTTCGAAAAAAAAAAAAAAAATGTTGCAAACTCTTACTTAAAGTTCTTGAACAAATTTCAAACTCTATTTAAAAGAAAAAAAAAGTTTAAGATTTTATATTATATATAATTTATTGGAAATTGTTAAATACCTGGATATGAAATTGTTATCAATTTTTTAGTATTAATTTCAGAAATGAATTCGCTAAATGAATTCCAACCATAATAAACAAGAACACATGAAAAGACAACAGCAATCAATAATCGCAATATGCTGAAAAATTTAGGTTCTGTTTTTTTAAAATGGAAAGATTCTAAAAAAAACATTTTTAATATGATAAAGTTTTGGTTCCTGACCCAGAAAATATATATAAAAGAGGTTCGAGTATGATCACGTAGATCTTTCCTGTTATCATAATTCCGGCCCTAAAAAATTATGTACCTTACCCCTGCATATCTCATATTTCTGGTCCTACTGATCTACAAGAGAATATAGGTAGAGTATGATATGACCTACATGGTATGGTGCTAAAATTGGCAGGTATGATTATTATGTACAACAGAATGAATATTTTATACAAGAACTTTAGTAGATCTTAATTAATTGGTGTTTTATTTTCGAAATTGTTCTTCAATTATCCTACAATTGTTATTTTGAATGAAACGTATACAAGTTAAAGATTTGTGTTGATACCATAATACTACCAAAGTTTCGTACTACTGTACCTTTACTTAATTAAGTGATTTAAACGTACATTAATAAATAGAATTTTTATCTTGCAAAAATAATTATATCCAAAATATGCAGAAATTTTCTTTTTATTTTAATAACTTCAAAAAATATTTACTAATATTCCTGAAACATTTGCAGAATTTAGAGTTTTTATTTAATGCAATCATTTGTATAAATTCTCTGGTTGCCTTGATTGGAAATTTATTCGTTTGGACTAGTATTGCTAATATGGATTACTATTATAAAGGGGAAGATCTTGTTATTGTGTTTGACTTGTTTTCAATGTCAAGTTTAACGATTATATCAGGAGTTGTTACAGTAATTATAGTAAACTATTTCTTAAATAATGTTAATAATGTTAACTTTTAAAATGATAATTTTATTTTATTGTATTTTATAGGCAACATTAAGAACTCACGATCATACAATAATATATTTTATCACGAATGCAGCATACATTTTATATATATATTACGCATTATTTAACAATATAGATATTCCTGACTATAAGTGGATTATGTATTTACATATAACAATAATGTTACTTTTATTTATTGTATACATTCGGTTACATCGGAAAAGGTAATAAATTAATCTTTATACATTATAAAATTACTCGATAACCCTCTAAAATTCAATTCACGTATTAGGGAAAGGGGTGACAAAGATAAAAGGAATGACGAAAATAAAGGAAACGACGAAGTTCCGAAAATTTCAAGTTAAATTTTCACATTTGTTATATTAAAATTCTTCATATACTTTCCTAATTATTGTTTTTTGTATGTTTATATTAGAAATTTATAAGGGATATAATAGACAAAAAATTTTGTGTCATGCACAAATTTTAGTTGCTTTGTGTTCGCAATTTACTTATATAGCTTTAATGATAGAAGACGAAACTATTGTGGAAAATCCGTTTGATCTCTTGAGATATGTAACTTGGCCAAATGTCCTTTTATGTTTAATTGTTATAATGATGATTAAAGGAGTAAATAATTCAAATTTTTTTTACTTGTATTTNAAAAAAAAAAAAAAAAAAAATGAAAAAAAGTAATTAATTATAATACTTATTTATTTAAGGTTCGCGAAGAATCAGGATGTATAATGCTCTTATTTTACATTGCTAGTTTTATTCTTTATGGATTTTATGTTTATATATCAATAGACGCAATTAAAGTATTAACTTCACAAGACTATTTAGATAACCCTGGATATATATTAGGTACTGTAAATGCGACAAAAATTGTAATACGGTATTTTACTTTCAAGAAATTTAAACTAATCGATTTTATTTATTTATTTATTTCACTTATAGAGAAAAAAATTGATCTTATTGTGAATATAATTTCATTTTGTATAACAACAATTACAATGATAAACTCAATAATTTGCCATAAGAATTTCGGAGCGGAAAAAAAATTTAAAGATCATCGTAAGTAAAAAAAAAAAAATTTATTTTATTTAGAACTTACAAGAAGGATTTACCTATAATATTTATTATTTAGTTTTAAATGATGAACTGAAACATTTTAAGGAATCATATTATTATAAAGATGATATTGATGAATATTATAATAGTAACAACCCTTGAATCATGTATCCTTTGTATAGTAGTATTACAGTGTTTATTTTTTTAAACATTGAATTTTTTAAATGTTTTGAAGTAATTAATAATATTTTCAATAAAAAATTTATAAATAAATAGTAAATTTTATAAATGAAATAAATTCGTGAGAATAAAAAGTCGATAATTAATGAACTCTATTTATTACCTACCTATGTGTTTTGAGCATCAAAAATTGTAATAAAAGGTTCAAATTGGCATTATAAAGTTTTTTTTATATGGCAACTATGGCAACGCACATTTCTTTATTAGATATAAGTATAAATACATTATCTGACAAGAAATTCATAGTAGTATAAAAATACACTATCTACCATACCATATTATGTATGGCTGTATTATGTACTAATATAGTATTCAATACCACTTTTGTTGCTCTATCTAAAAAAAAACTACTACTATTGTATTAATCATTTTATTTTTCTTGTCCTTCTACCTTGTATCTGATTCTTCTGTTTCGACGTTTATACGCTTCTTGCCTTCTTTTATACCGTCGTTTTCCACTTCTTGTGTCTTTTAGTAACCTTGCTGGGCATTTAGCGTTAACTTCATGATGTTCTTTAAAATCTTCATTCAAGACCGACCGTTGGATTTGCTTTACCTTTTTTTTTCTAACCATTGTTTTTGCTAAAACCTTTATTGCGTCAAATTTAAGCTTTTCCCATTCTTTCATGAGAAGACAATCATCTATATTTTTTGCGTCTAAAACATGAAAATTTATATTCATAGCTTTCCTTCTTCAGTTCCACAAATATCAGATTAACGGGGCTTTATCCATTTCTTCTTTTTTTCCCTTCTTAAATCGTTGATGATAAGCATTATCGTAATTTTTGATTAAGCAAATTTTTATAATGGAGAAACTAAGTTCATGATTCATGCGAATTAAAAACCAAACATTCCTTAGTATTTTTTTACTTTTCATTATGATACATAAAAAATAATGAATTTTGTTTTCGATTAACCACAACGTAGTCAACCTATCCGAATAACCATTTCAATCGAAAGTACATAAATTAAAAACAAATAATAATTTCCTGATTAAGGTAGTTTTATAAGAAATATTGTTAAATAATAAAAGTTAAGCCTAAGCCTTTTTTGTTAACCGCAAAAAAAGAAAAAAGAAATAATACAAAAGAAATTTGATCAAATTTTAACTCCTTATAAACTTATATCATGCATTTTCGTCTCCTAATACTCTTATATATTTGTTACGTGTTTTTCTTAACTCATCTAGATAACAATCATCAATATAATATTCTTTTAACAAATTTTCTAATATAGCTACTCTATCTTCGATTCTACCATTCTCTGGTAGATTACATGGATCTTCTACTAATGGTATTCCTGCACGAGAAACATATCTACTTGCCAAACTTTTTTTAAATCTCCGACGACATGGCCAACAACGTAACAAGTGTGTTTGACAAATTCCCCTTAAAATAAATATAATAAAATTATTTATTAATATCATTTTAAATGCATTAAAATATTTTTTATATTTACCATGGAGAAAGTTTTGAAGCGCCAAATAGTAAAACAAATATTCCGCTTATAGCACTATAAAAACCACCAAAATTTTCTATAAGTTTTATAACTAAAAAGAGAAGAGGAAAATTAATTTTAAAATTATTCAAATGCAAAATTAATATGTAAATTATAATTACCATTATTTTTGAATGTCATAATATCATCATTAACTATGAAATCATAATAATGTGACAATTCTAACACAGTATTCACAGTATTAAAAGTATTCGGTATTTGAGCAAGTACGTTATCTTCAATTACAATATTCATATCATCATCATCTGCATCGAAACCAAAAAGACCAAAAATAGGTTTAGAATAATATTTCGTATTTTTGTAATTAAAAGTATAATTGTAATATCGTCCTGGAGTAAGAAAGTGCTTGCTAAACCCTAATTTCAATTTCATCTGTTTTTTAGGACTTAATTCCACCTTCGCCTCATTAAAGTCAAAATTTGTCGCAGTGTAAAATGATTCAAAACCAATTTCGAAGTAATCATAAATTGAAAAATTATCCAAAGTAATAACAAAGAGAAGAGGGTGCCGTTTATAATAGGGATGTTTGACGAATTCATTTCGAGGAATAAATTCCATACAACGATGATTAAGTTGATTAACATAAATGGAAAAATCGGTTCTTTTAGGAATTAAACTATTGTTGTATAAATAATTTATCATGTTCGGATAAAATTTGGGCATCCCTGTCGCTGTGAAATTAACAAAATAATTAATTTTTAAAAATCGATCGTTATATTTTAATATCGATAAACTTACGTTCATAATTGAAATCTACATAGGAAGACTCATTAGCGAAATACACTTGAAAATCTAAGTCATTATAATATAATTTGTATAATGATATTCCTAATGTAGAATTATTGTCGGAATCGCCTTTCATTATGAAATTGATAAATATATTTAATATTAATTTATATTATAACTTTAAAATAATATTTTTAATCTCTTACTTAAAGTTCTTAGGCAAATATTAAACTCTATTTTTTAAAAAAAAAGTCAATTAAGGCTTAAAGATTTTTACATTATATATAATATAAAAATTAGATACCTGGATATGTAATAAACATGAAATTTTCAGTATTAATTTCGGAAATGAATTCGTCAAATGAAATCCAAATATAATAACCAAGAGCAACTGAAAAGAAAAGCGCAGTCAACAATCGTAATATGCTGAAAAATTTAGGTTCTGTTTTTCGAAAACTTTGGTAAGATTCTAAGAGAAACATTTTTATTATAGAGTTTAGTACGACTCAGCTATTTTATAGTCCAATCCTAATTCTTGTCCGCTGATCAGCAGTTGAATTTTTTTTTTTTTTTGGTAGCACGTATTTGTCGATCATCCTACAATGGTTATTTTAAATGATCTGTATTAGTAAGTAGCTGCATTAAAATATACAGTTATTGCATATTAAGGAAATTAGGAAATTTCTGAAATTTCTGCAAAAATAGTCAAATATTAAAGTACATTTTAACCGTAAAGAATATGGATAGTATTTCTAATTACTTTTATGAAATCAAGAGCAATCTACTTCTAAATTTGAGTTCCATAGAGATATTATTTTGTGTCGTCATTCTCGCAATAGACGAACTCACTTTTGCTAGGTTCCTTGTGCTATTTTATAACTCTGTCCACTGATCTGCAGTTGATTTTTTTTTTGGTAACACGTATTCTGTAACAAACCATATATGTAAAAAAAAAATAAAAATAATTGAGGTTTATTTTCGAAAATGTATGTCGATTATCCTAAAATGATTATTTTGAATGAAATCTTTTACGCCATCAAAGCTGTACTACCAGTACAAAATGATTATCAAAATCATAGTTACTATTGGCTAATTTGTTATGTTTAATTATAGATTTTAGGATTTATAACCATGCTTAACTGCAGTTACTGCATAAATAAGGAAGTTTCTGAAAAATAGCCAATTAAAAATAAACCCACAAAACTTAAAGTACATTCTTAACCGTATAGTAACTAAAAAAAAAAAAATTTATCCCTCGAAATAAAAATGAAGAAAATTTCTCAGTATTTTGATGGGCTCAAGAAGAATCTCTTTCTATATTTAAGTTCCATAGAGAATTTATTTTGTGTCGTCCTTCTTGCATATTCTATTGTTGCCTTGATTGAAAACATTTTCGTTTGGATTAGTTCAAGAGATTTTATAAATTCTCTAGACTGTTTTTTTAATTCAGTTTTAGTGATTATATCTGGAATTATTACGGTAATTATAGTGAGTTCCTTTTAAAATTATGTTCTAATTTTAAAATAATGTTATTTCTTGTATTTTTATAGGCAACATTCAGAACTCTTAACCATATATTAATAAATTTTATCGTGAATGTTACACTCATTCTATATACGTATTACCTCTATTATTATAATGTAAAAATTTCCGGCTCTATAACGTTTATAGTTTTACAAGCAATATTTCTGTTACTTATTTTGCTTATAGTTATTATTTGGTTACGTCGAAAAAGGTAAATAAAATTAATAAACATTCTATATATAAAATTATTTAAACAAGAATCCTAACATGTAAAATCTAATTAGTACATTTAAGAAAAGTTTATTTGCGAACAAAGAAATGGATACCGAAAATACCAAAATTAAAGGTTAAATTTTTAATATATATAATTTTAATTGAAGTTAAATTTTCTATATACTTTCTAAAATATCAATATACTTGATAGAAATCTATAAATGGTATCATTTGCAACTAACTTTGTGTCACGCACAGATTTTAGTTGCTATACTTTCGCAGTTTACTTATATGAATATAATGATATCAATAATATACGGTAGTAACGTGGGAAGTCCGTTTGATCTCTTGAAGTATATACCTTGGCCAAGTGTCCTTTTATGTATAATTGCTCTAATAATGATTAAAGGGGTAACTAATTTAAACTTTTTTTTTTTTTTAAAAAAAAAAGGAATTAATTATCTATCATATTTGTTTATTTGCAGGTTCGCGAAGAATCAAAATGTAAAATGATCATATTTTACATTGCTAATTTTACGCTCTATATATACTATATTTGTGTATTAATAATAGAAATTAATATATTAACTTCACAAACTTCACAAGGAAACTCTGAATATATTATATTTATATTAGGTACTGTAAATATGACGAAAATTGTCATATGGTATTTTACTTTAGAAATTAAATAACCGAATTTATTTATCTACAGAAAGAAAAATTGATATTGTTTTGGTCATAATTTCAATTTTTATAACAACATTTACAATAATAAATTCAATAATTTGCCATAAGAATTTTGGACAAGACTTAAAAGATTATCGTAAGTAAAAAATTTTTTTTCTTTTTTATAAATTTTAAAAGAAAAATTTTATCAACTAAAATAATATGTATTGTTTTAGTATTAAAGGAAGAACTGAAACCATTTAGGGAATCATATGATTATAAAGATGATCTTGATGATTATCACGAACGAACGTAACGACTCTTGAAACAAATAACTTATTTATCAGCACATTTTTTTTTAACGTTAAATTTTTTAAATTTTTAAATTAATAATTACAATATGTTTTATATATATATATATATATACACTACATATTTTTTATGAAATGAAATGTATTCGTGAGAATTATTCTTTATTCACGCGAAAATTTTCAAAATGTTACACAAATAAATAATCGACAAAGCTTTTATTTTATTACCTTTACGAAACAGAAGCTACCTCGCAGTAAGAGCTGAAAATTATCGGATAAAGGGATTTTTCTATAAAAAAGGCAAAAAATAAAAAATAAATTAAAACTAAGATATGAGGAAGTTTAATTTTTTATATCAACCACAGCCAGATTGATCCTTCTTGTCTTCCTTTGATGCCTTTTGATCCTTTTGTTCTTACTACCTGTATCCTTATTTTTTTGATATATTCTGAGCAGTAAAATCGTCAACAGAATCTTATCCAGTTTATTTATAATAAATGTCTACACTCTCAATATTTGCATTCACGTGATTTACATTATAGGTTTTGAACTATACAAATGAAATGTTACTTTTTCTATACATATATATATATATTAATATATATAAAGCTCATTCTGTTAAACATTATTTTTACTAGTATGGCGCAGTAAAAGACATTCTTATTATTTAACACCGTTTAACAATAAACACAAGTGCGGATATCTTTCACCTTTTTTTGACACTCCATACCTAATAGTATAAACGTATGGTAAAGGTTTCGGTCTTTAATAGAAATATACAGCCTTATTTTGAGGACAAAGTTTAATATACAACAAAAAACATTTTTTACATATATCACTTTCCAAAGAGTTTTTTTTACTTTTCTGCGTTCATATTTTATCCTTTATTTTACAATACTGGTTTTTTTTAACCTTTATTATATAAATTTCAATATTATACTCTTTCTTACATATACAATATGTCCTTTTCAAAACCAATTTCCTATCCTCCCGCAAAAAATTCGGTCTCCTTGAAAAAATTTCACGTGATTATCAAAAAGTGTTACCACGACAAATACAACAAAAATAAAAATTCTTAATTCAAGACAATATTCTACAAACTGTAACAACAAAACCACAAAAACCTTTTTTAACTTCACATACAAACGATACCGGTTTTATTTCGGAATTTTCATTCCATGTAATCATGAATATACGGATACACTACAAATGTCTCGTACGTGTACTGTACCGAGCCCTTTCATCATGTCACATGACCGACGCGCTTGCGTCCAGCATCAAAAAAATTTTTTGCGTTACATACGTTCAATAACTTCCACCCAAGCTCCAATCTAACGACAAAGTATCTCATGCTAACCTGCTTTGTCAACTAGTGGCTAATGAACCTACGAAAGAAGTTTATTCTTCAGATATATGGCCAGATATCAAGCCAATGACCTCAATTCTTCTTCAATCACGACAAGAAATATATTTATCACAAAAAATATGCAAAGTTTCGTCATGACTACAGTTTAAACCCTCGTACTGCAGAAAGACAACGCGCCCGTTTTCAACAGCATTGTGCTCGCATCATCCATTCCGCTCAATCTAGGACTAAAGATCCAGAGAATATGGACTTAGCTAGCTTCCAAACTGGCTATCGTCAGACGATATAGATTTTTATTTTTGTTATCACAAGTCTTTAATAGACTAATTAAACATTTACGATATCGAAAACTTGATCAATCCCCTAATGAAGCTAATTATAAGTTTTCTTTACCAACAACTTCATTCAGTCACCCAGTCTTTAATTACTTTTCAACAACCCCTGACACACCGTCTAAACCGCAACCTCCGGTTTCGACTTATGATCAAATTCCTTTACAAACAACTTCTACTACACCCACAACTCCTAATTATACCCATGGATTTAATTTCCTATACCAGATATACTGGTGCCTTTTCTACCTCAAATGCCTCTTCATTATCACCGAAGTAGTGGGAAACATATTCCCCTCGAACTAGGCAGCCGACGATGGTTTGATGAACTTTATAACATCAAAAAACGCCATGATGCAAAAGAAAAAGATAAACAACGCGCTCTCGTAAAACAGAATCAAGCCAAGATGTTGGGTACATCTACCAACAAGTTAGAACAACGCGTTGATTTAACGCGCGACCTCACAAAATTCTAAGACAAACATATGACGTTGTTCTCTGAACGTCGTACTAGGTTAGGAAATAAAAACTTAACGATACAAATCGACACATCAATACCGCGAAAGTGGAAAAATTGGAATCTGAATTTAAACAATTTCAAACTTAACTACTTCTCAGTCATCAGTCGTAACCAACTACACTACAATAACAAAGGTGATCCTCGTACGACACCAAAGGTTTAGAATCTCCTCCACGCATTTGAAGTAATGAAAGCAGTCGAAGGACGGGGTTTTTTATCTGGATGAATCAACCTGTGTGAGTCCAGGTTGTGATTGTTATCAACATTTCTTTTGAGTGAAATGACCACTACATCATTAACATTTTTACCAATTTAGAATAGTGTGAACCATTCCATTTATTACAGTATTGACAAGTGGTGGATGCATAGCAATAAACAGATTATGTACCTCAATTAAATAGAAAAATTTGAACTCATTAAAAGCTAAAGTCATTCCATTATATATGATGTTAAATTTATATACTGTATTTATATAGTTTTAATTAAAAATCAAGTTTATTGCAAAATAATATAAAACTGTTATTTAAAATAAATGACAAAATGAATTCAGTTATTTAGACTAGGACCCCGAACAATATATAAATAGGTCATAGGAAATTGGCAAAAATTTACTATTAGCTCCACGCATTTTTTCAGGGCCGGAATTATGATAATGTCAGTCAGTTACTAAATAAAGTAATATATTTCTTACCAACGTTATCAAAATTTATCTAAAAAAGGAAAGATTTTCATGATTATTTTAGCCTATTCTACGCGTTATTTCTTGTTACCTATTTCAGTATTGCTCGGGGTCCTTTTAGACTACTAATAATAAAAAACATGTAAAATAATATAAAGGATTTCACATGACATATCTAACTTTTTTTTTTCAGGTATTTAAACACTAAGTATTTTTATATATCTTCTGGAATTTCTAATTCCTCTTGATCTTCTGAATGAAAATTTGGATTATTTGAAATATCGTCATCTTCCATAACTGGTATAACATAAAAGTTATTAATAGAAAAGTATAAAAAAAATTTACAACATTAAAATCTTACCATTATTATTTGTAACATAATTCATTTGTGAGTATTGGAATTTACCTTAAAATATATTTTTGGAATAAATATTAATTATTATAGAAAGTCAATAGGAATATATTTTGCATTTTACATTATATGTTAATTACCTTTATTCTCACTTAATTTTATTTTTTTAGATTTAATTATATCTTCTTTTTTCTCGTCTGCTTGAAATAATAGAAAAAATATTTTAATATAATTATAATTAATTAAAAAAGTTTTAATATAGAATTATTTAATACCATCAAAATAAATTCTTTTAGATTTACTATTATCTGGCTCTACAAAACATAAAATTAGTTTTAAAATACAAAAGTATCATAAACATCATATTTTATTGATAATCTTACTGATTATTGTCAAGTCATATTGTCCAATTTGATGTTCAGTTCTTTTAAATACAAAATCTTCAATTTCTAAATAAAAAAATATTTACAAAATAAATAAAATAAATTCAATCTTTAATTATTTAATATGTAAATTATTCCTTACCACTCGGAATACTTAAGTTATGTTGTATACTTTGATATTCTAGCGATATAAACAATTTAATAAATTTTTAGAATGCATAAAAGTTTTTTAAATAAATATTAAGATATGCAGTACCTTTTTGTTCTAGTATAAAATTATTATAGTTTATAAAACAGCAATTTAATTAAATATAATTAACAAACGATTAAATGAATAAATATATTCAAATACATTAATTAATTTACCTTCAGCACTAGCATTTCTTGGAACAGGTAAATTTTCAAAAATATGGACTTTACTAAGACTTTCAACTAATGAATTAACAGAGCTAGAATCTGTATAATAATTTGTTATGCATACTTCATTATTTATCTGCTGTTCATCATTTTCGTTTTGATGATATAGTCTTTTCATTTTTTCGATTTCATTTAAAAGGTAATCAATTTTAGGTCTTTTTACTGGATCAGCATCCCAGCATTGTTCCATTAATATTCTATATTCATATGGAGTTCTTGGAATTATTTTTGGTCTCATTCCATTTATTATCCGCAATGCTAAGTCACAATCATGTTCCAAATTAATGAAAGGTGGTTGACCAGATGAAATTTCCCACATTAGCATTGCAATACTATAAATATCAGATGCAAAAGTGGTTTCTTTATTAGCAATAACCTCTGGCGCTATATAAGGCAGATTTCCATATATACCATTTAATGGTTTATTAGCTGGTCCACAAAATCCAAGATCACTAATGTAGAATGCTCTAATTTCTGTAGATAATAATATATTTTTAGAATGCAAATCCCTATGAATTGCATTTTCATTATGAATTCTATAAAGTGCTTCAATTATATTTGACATAATGTTAATTCTTTCTTTCCAGTTAAGTTTATGAAAATTTTGTTGTAAATATTTTCTTAAATCCATATCCATTTGTTTCATTACAAGCATATAATTTCCATCTGATGGATCTTTTGTTAACCCGTAACATTGCACTATACTCGACCATTTGTTGGTTATAGATAAATGAGATTTACACTAAAAAAAATAAATAAATAAATATCTTTAATTATATAAATTCTTATTTCAATCATGAATATAACATATTTTTATTTATTATATACCTCATCAAACCAACTTCTATTAGCACTTTCAACATTTTCTAATTTTTTAAGTATCACTTTAAGCATTCCATATCTTTTTAATCGTTGTTTTTTATTATCCCAATCATGGTAAGCTCCATCAATCCAATTTGCCGTATAAATTTCAGAATATCCACCTTCAGTTAAATATTTAATATTTTGTAAGTTATCATATGAAATCCATTCCACTATATTGTATGGAGCATATGAATCTATTTGACAATTTTGTATTAGATCATCAATGTTAGTATTTCCAGACGCCCAATTTGAAAAATTTTTTTTTAAATGATTCCGAATACAATATTCACAATATGATTTAGCTAAACATTCTTGGTTACAATTTTCACAAATTCTTTTTGTTCCCCTATTAAAAAGAACTTTGTCATTATCAAATTTAATATTTAATAAACATATTAATACTGATTTTTCATTTTTTGTAAGAAATTTATCGGCAAGAATAATTTGTTTTTTAAATTCATATCGTTTTTCTAAAGTATTGTAAATATTATGATCCACCAATGCATACACTCTATTGTATACAGAAGCAATTAATTCGCTAATATCAGTCATATTAAATTGTTTAGTACTAATAGTATAATAATAGCATGTGAGCTCAATTGAAATGAAAGGATTTTTAAGGATTGAGCCTTTATTTATAATTCTTTCGACTCATAAGTCATTGATTATTTTATTGCCAAACATGGAAGGCAAATACATCATAATACCGAGTATATCGTATTCGGCAACAAATTTGCCGTATATTATGAAACGAATAAATCTCTGTAGTCGGTAAATTTTAGCCGTAAGATCTGCAAATCGTTCGTTAATTCGATTTTTCTATAGTACGATTTACAAATATAGTACTAAGATATACTATATGATTATTAAAATTAGTAATTAAGGAATTGCAAAACTTAGTATGTAGTATAATAATACTAGGATTCTAGGAAACGAAAATTGCCGATATACATTGTCACGTACTATACAATTATTATGCATACCGTACGTTGTAAGACTGGGGTCGGTGATCTTACGTAAATATTCCTTTATTTAATAAAATAAAATATTAATTTACACGATTATCTCCCACTATTGGGGGAAATAAATAATAACATTTGTTCAAAAATTAAAATATTCATAAAATAAAAATAAATGAAAAATCATCTATTGATAATTTCCCACAAACTTTAATATATTAAATTTGATTCCAAAGTTCAAAATCGATTGTTGTTATTTTCCGCAGGCCTAAGAAAATATCTTGGTAAATTTTCATAAAGTATTTCCTTATGAATAAGTCTATCTTTTATTACTGCAACATAATTATTTCATCATTTGTGATCGATAATTCGGTATACGTAATTCCGAATAATTATTTAAGTTGATAATCATAATAATTTTCCATAAAAGTGTCCCGCAGTGATAAATATTACATCATCGTTTCCATTTCATCAATCATTATTTCCTTAAGTAATATAATCATAAAAAATAAAATTAAAAAGCAACATGAAACGTTACATAATGAGTCAGTTTATATTCGTGATCCAGGAGATTTTCAACAAATAATATTTTTGATATTTTTATACACTTATAATAAATATAAGACTATTTCTATTTGTACACTACGTGTGTAAACAAGAGTCACGTGATTATTGTCATTTTCCGGTGATCTGCATAAAAAATCCTAATTTGGAAATTTGTGTAACGCAATTTCATTTTTACTGAGAAACAAAATTTCCTTTTTTGGGTTGTGTAACGTTACTCTACTTTCCAAAATTGGAAATTACAGTAATTTTTGGCTGGAATTATTGGAATTATAAAATTTGGCCGAAATTATGGTGTGTGTCATATAATATGTGACAAATAAGGTTTTTCCTACCGAAAAAATTCTCTGTCCCTAGAATAAATAGTAAAAATGGAAAACTATAGGGTGTGACATGGGTGACAAATTATAGTCACGTGATACGTGTTTCGCACATTAAGAAATTATCTAAATATAATACTGCGTCTTTAACTTATAGATAAAAAATTTATCCGCAATTAGTAAGCGAACAATTTTATTCTAATAAATAACATTACATTATTCTAGATACTTAAACACCTTCATATACTTTCATTTCCTAAATTTTTAATAAAAAATATTTTATATTCAAAAATCATCCGATAATTTTAATTATAAATAAGGTTTACAGTTAGTAATAATATGATTTGTGAATAAAAAGATCTTAGCTTTCAAATTTTTAAAAATTACATTACAAAAATCTATGACAAACGAAAATAACTACTATAATAAAATAAATAATCGTAATTATTAACTAAAACAATTTATTACTTTTTCATGTGATATATAATAGTCGGTAATGAATTTTTCTTTCGATTAAAGATGATTTTATTGTCGAATTTGATTGATTTGATCACAACGTAATCATACATATCCAATCATAAAGGACATAATTTTATAAAATACAAATAATTAAAGTTATATAAATTGAAAATAATTAATAATTTCCTAATTAAGGGGTCTGCACAAAAAGAAAAAAGAAATAATATGATACAAAAAAAAAGTTAGAAATTATATCATGCAATTTCGTCTCCTGATATTCTTAAATATTTTTCACGTGTTTTTCTTAACTCAACTAGATAATAATCATCAATATAATACTCTTTTAACAAAATTTCTAATATAGCTACTCTATCTTCGATTCTACCATTCTCTGGTAGATTACATGGATCTTCTACTAATGGTATTCCTACACGAGAAACATATCTATTCGCCAAACTTTCTTTAAATCTCTGACGACATGGCCAACAACGTAACAAGTAAATTTGACAAATTCCCCTTAGAAAAAATATGATAAATTGTTAAGATTTTTTCAATATTATTTCAAATAATTTTTAAATATTTACCATGGAGAAAGTTTTGAAGCGCCAAATAGAAAAACAAATATTCCGCTTATAGCACCATAAAAACCACCAAAATTTTCTATAAGTTTTTTAACTAAAAAAGAGAAGAGGAAAATTAATTATTAAATATGAATAAGGTTAATATTCAATTATGAAAAATACGAAATTAATATATAAAATTACTAGATACCGTTATTTTTAGAAAAATTAATATCTTCTTTAATTATAAAATTATAGTCAAAAGAGATTTCTAATACGGTATTGAAAGTATTCGGTATTTGAGCAAGTACGCCATGTGAAATTACAATACTCATATAATTTTTATCTGCATCAAAACCAAGAAATCCAGAAAGTTGTGAAGAATATCGATTCGTATTTTTGTAATAAATATTATAAATATTATATTTTCCTGGAGTAATAAAGTATGGGTTAGGATTTAATTTCATCTCAGTATCATTTTTCTTAAATGATTGAAAATTAATTTCGAAGTAATCATAAATTGACGAATTATCCACAGTAATAATAAAGAGAAGTGTATTAAATATTTTCAATTGTCGTTTTCCATTAAAATAATTAATTGTTCTGTAGTATTCATCGTTAGGAGTAAATTTCATACAACGATTATCGAGATCGTCATTAACAAAAAATTCGGAGCTTTTAGGAATCGAATTATTGATGTATAAATAGTTTGACATGTATGGATAAAATTTCGTCATAGCTATGAAATTAACAAATAATTAATTTTTAAAAAATCAATCGTCGAATATTAATATCAATAAACTTACTTTTATTGTCATTATCTTTATCATAGAAAGAATAATTTTCAGGAATATACTTTTGTGTTTTATTTAATTTGTATAATTTGTATAACGATATTCTTAATATTGAATTATTGTCGTAATCACCTTTCAATTATGAAATTGATAAGTATATTAAAATTAATTATATTACGCCTTAAAAAAATATTTTTTAGAAATCTTACTTAAAGTTCTTTGGCAAATACTAAAATCTATTTAAAAAAAAAAAGTTTAATTAAAAATTTAAAGATTTTACATAATATATAATGTAAAATTAGTTACTTGGATATGTAAAAGTTATAGAATCTTCAGTCTTAATTTCGGAAACGAATTCGTAAAATGAAAACAAAATATAATAACCAAGAGCACATGAAAAGAAAAGAGCAATCAACAATCGTAATATGCTGAAAAATTTAGGTTCTGTTTTTCGAAAAAGACAACAAGATTCGAAAAGAAACATTTTTGTTATTATAGAGTTTTAATACGACTAAGGTTTCTTTTTAATCTTAATGAAATTTTTTTTTTTTGTAGCACGTATTATTAAATAATTAACTAGATTAGGTTTATATGTAGCGAATTCATCGTCAGACTATTATAAATTATTAGGTTTTATTAATATCAGCAATCTTGAACAATAATAAGTAAGTAAAATCCACCATTCTAAATAATCTTGATTGAATATTTGATGATATTGGTTAGCAATAATAGTCTACACTTAATCCATTATAACCATTCATTTCGAGCTAAATATAGTAAAACAATTCATTAGTAATTAATAATAAATTAGTTAATTCATTAAACAATAATTTCGTCATTTATCAAATTGCCACGTAAACTATTCATTTCGAGATAAGTGTTCTGATCAAAGTTCTTATTTAGCTAGATAAATTAAATAAGTAATAATTACGTCACTTACTAAAGCTTCAAGTCTAAACCTAAAATAGAGGATAATAATAAAAAAGGTTTAATAAATAGAACATTGTCACCTTACTCGTACTGTTCTGTTTTTGATCGGTACCTTCCATTTCTGAAATAGCAAGTAAAGAAACGGAGTTTCCGAAGTTTTAAGTCCAAACCTAAAATAGCAATGAAGAAAAAAATGGGTCGATTAGTAGAATAAAATATTCCATAGTAATTCAAATAAGAAAATGTAATGTGTGATTTGTAATAATAATAATAATAATAAAGGAACGTAATTAATAATAGATAATACGTAAAAAAGATGTAATATTTTTATTATATTTATTTATAATTTCAGATCTATCGATTTTAAGGATAGTCTATTTTCTAATTAGCCTAATTTAGCGGAATCTTATCATAATTTGTTAATACCGATCATCCAATTTTTTTGCTGAATTAGCCCAATTCCCATTAGTCAGCAAGCGATCGGCTACCACAACCTAACCTTTGATACGTAAAAAAACCCTTACAGTCCCCCCCTCAGAATACAGATTACTACAATTTGGTAAACATATATAAGAATACACTAAAAAACCCATTTCAAGGTAACACAGATCTTTGATAGATCCATCCTTTATTATATTGTGAAATCTTTTACGCCATCAAAGCTTTTGTACTACTGATACAAAATGATTATATTAAAATATGCTGTTGCTGTATATTAAGAAAAGTTCTGCAAAAATAGTCAGATAAAGTTTATCCCACAAAAGAAAATTATCCTACGAAATAAACATGAATGATTTCCGTAAATTCAAGAATAATTTCCTTCCAAATTTAAGTCTCATAGAGACTTTGTTTTGTGTCATCATTCTTGCAAATTCTATTGTTGCCTTGATTGAAACCATTGATGTTTGGATTAGAAAAGATTTTATAAGGGTAGCTGTTATAGATTCTCTAGTCTTTTTTTTTTATTCAGTTATAGTTATTACATCTGGAATTATTACGGTAATTATAGTGAGTTCCTTTTAAAATTATGTTCTAATTTTAAAATAATGTTATCTCTTGTATTTTTATAGGCAACATTCAGAACTCTTAATCATATATTAATATATTTTATCGTGAATGTTATATTCATTCTAAAAACGTATTACGGCTATTTTCTTACAAAATTTTCCAGATCTATTGCGTTTATAGTTTTAAAAGCAATATTTCTGTTACTTATTTTGCTTGTAGTTATTATTTGGTTATGTCGAGAGAGGTAAATAAAATTAATAAATATTCTAACATTGACTAACTACATATAAAATTATTTAAACAAGAATCCTAACATGTAAAATCTAATTACATTTAGGAAAAGTTTATTTGTGATTGTCAATTCGAACAGAATAATGAATACCGAAATTAAAGGTTAAATTTTTCATATATATATATATATTAATTTAAGTTGAATTTTTCTATATACTTTCTAAAATATCAATATACTTAATAGAAATCTATAAATGGTATCATTTGCAATTAACTTCGTGTCACTTACAGATTTTAGTTGCTATGTTTTCGGAGTTTACTTATATATCTCTATTGGTAAGAAAATATGGTTATGACGTGGAAAATCCGTTGGAAATCTTGAAGTATTTACCTTGGCCAAATATCCTTTCATGTATAATTGCACTAATAATGATTAAAGGGGTAACTAATTTAAACTTTTTTTTTTTTTTAAAAAAAAAAGGAATTAATTGTCATATTTGTTTATTTACAGGTTCGTGAAGAATCAAACCGTATAATGATTGTTACTTATCTTTTTAGATTAATTCTTTATGTATATTATATTTATGTAATAATAAAAGTATCTAAAGAAATATCTGTTAATCCTAATAACGCAAGAAGGATAATTGATATTGTTTAGAGCATAATTTCAATTTTTCTAATAACAATTACAATGATAAATTCAATAATTTGTCATAATAAGTTTGGAAAAGGCTTAAAAGATTATCGTAAGTAAAAAACAAATTTTTTTTTATAGATTTTAAAAAAAAAAATTTTATCAATTACTACAATTACTAAAATAATTTGTATTATTTTAGTATTAAAAGAAGAACTGGAACCATTTAAGGAATCATATTATTATAAAGATGATCTTGATGATTATTATGAACGAACGTAAAATGACTCTACTTAATTTATCAGCACATTTTTTTTTTTAACGTTAAATTTTTTAAATTTTTAAATTAATAATTACAATATAATTTTATCATATATATATATACAGTACATACATATATATTTTTTATGAAATGAAATGTATTCGTGAGATTATTCTTTATTCACGCGAAAATTTTCAAAATGTTACACAAATAAATATGACCAATAAAATCGATAAAGTTATTATTTTATTACCTTTATCTCTTTGACGAGAGACGGATTGATTGATGCATATTTTATGAGTTTAGCGCTAGTTTAACTTTTGCCTCAGCTACAGCCTCTGATACAAATGGCTGAATGTGACTTTATTAATTCCAGTCAATGGACCCGCTAGGATCGAGTGGAGTATTTAATGTCAATAAAAATATCCAACAAGTTTGAACCAACTTTTTCATCACTTTGCATATTATCAATCTCTTACTGATTAACGTCAAGCATAGGGATGGCAACGGTCATGGTCATTAACCAATTATGACCGGTCAAGACTTCTGACCGACCGTTTGACCGACCAGTTTGACCGACCATTTGACCGACCAAATTTTTTTATGAAAAATTTAATAAAAAACGTGCATAAACGTTTTTTAATTATTTTAATAGAAAACGTTGCGAAAACGTTTTTTATTAATAATTTAATAAACAAAAAACGTTTTTCGCAAACGTTTTTAATTATTTTAACAAAAATGTTGCGAAAACGTTTTTGTTAATAATTTAATTAATAAAAAACGTTTTCGCACGTTATTATTAATAATTTAATTAATAAAAAACGTTTTCGCACATTTTTTTAATTGCCTTAATAAAAACGCTGCGAAAATATAAAAAAAATGATCGGTCAAACAGTCGGTCGGTCGTCGGTCGGTCAAAGGTTCTTGACCGGTTATGACCGACCAATGACCGACCATGACCGACCGTTGCCATCCCTAGTCAAGCATAGTTTAGTTAACCAATCAGAATTCTTTTTGTATTTTTTTGTTCAAATTATAAAATCCTGGAATATAATTTTTAAATATTTTATTAATGAAAATTTGAAATAATACGTTCAAAAAAATATTTGTACGACTTTAATAAATTTAACAAATCTTTTGATTTCAATTGTCGTGATCTTCACCAACAAATTTTCTATTTCGTTTCCATTTTAGAAGATAATCACCATTATATTAAATTTAACTTCCTATCATTTCTTTTCGTCTCCCTATCATTTCTCTTCATCTTCCCATTACTCCTCTTCATCTTTTCATCATTCCTTTTCATCTCCCATCACTCCTCTTCATCTTCTCATCACTCCTTTTCGTCTCCCATCACTCCTCTTCATCTACCATCATGCCCTATTTCTCCTTTTTGTTTCCTATCACTTCTCACTAATTCTTCTCACTACTCTTTTTTACTCCTTTCATCTTCTATTACTTTCCATTACTCCATTGTTATTTCATTTTTTTATTAGCAACTTTCTTCTTGATCATTGTAATTTATTTATCTTTTTATTTATATATTATTGTTATTGTTTCTTTTATTTGTATCACTTCATTAAAAATACGATGATTTTTTTCTTTAAAATCGTAAATGTGTGACTTAAATTTGATATTTGCAAATAAAATTTCATCAGATAAGATTAATTTGAATAAATATGTTTGCAAAAAATTTTTTTTTAAAATATCTTTTGCGATAAAATTTTTAAGTTTAGTCGATCAAAAATTAGGTAAGTTAAAAAAATCCAATTAATAAATTTACTCTATATGTTGTACATCATGTGACATATTTGAAAAAAAAACCCAGGCGACAAACGCCCAGGCAACGTTTAGCAATTCCCTTAAATTTTTACTATTTTACTATTTTAACTTATAATAAACTGAACTCTGCCATTTCTCTATATTTAATTTACTCATTATAAATAAAAAAAAAATCTTTTGTTTATTCATTTTATTTAAGAAAAAACTAGATTTAAAAAATTTATTTATTTTAACGAAGCTTGTTTATAAGGGAGAGATCAACAATTTGTATATTTATAAATTGAAGTCATTTTTTTTTTTTACAATAACTTTCACTTAAAAGATCTTTTAAAAGCATGTCAAGCTCCCCCATGAAAATGACCTCTTGTTATAATTATATTATTTAATTCTATTATTCATCAGATAAACTTATTTATTTTAATGTAATAATATAAATAATAAAAATGTTAAATATAAAATTAAATCTATACTACGTAATAAAATTTATAATTTTCAAATAATTTCTTGCTTTTCCTTTTCTATTAGAAAAAAATACGAATATAAACCTTAATAATAAGTACAATATAAAAATTAGAAAGTATCACATTAAATATTTTAAAAAGAAGTTGTTTCTTATTGGTTCTATGTACATTAAGTGTTATTAAGTATAATAAATAATGAATGTTACCCTTATTTACTACGCTTAAAAAGGTTTTGTAGCATTTATTAATTTAAACAACGGAAAGTAAATTAAGATATAATTTAATATTCAAATACAAATTTTTAGTGCTACATTTCACTTATCAACAAAATTAGTAGACTTTTAATAAATTTTAATTATTGAAATGATCTAGGAAACGGAGTGCTAATTAAAGTTTTATTGTTGTACTTCATCACGTGTCAGACGGACATTTGTATCACCTTCGTTACACTTCGGGTGATACTGTGATGTATCATAATTATGTCAATGACAATTTTGGTTGGAATAATCCTTTTTTATCTTCATTGAGTATAAATATAAAAATAACGCCAATTTTTTTTTTTTGCATAAGATTCTTTCTCACAAATTTGAAACAAACTTAAATTTTAACAGAATATAAATTAAAAATGAATTTTATTAATGAAAACGAAGTAGTAACTAAATTTAATGAATTAAATATTTCCAATAAAAATCCAAATTCATCAAAAATTAATCATGAAAATTGTTATGACCCAGATAATTTTAAATTTTGGGGTAAATAATGTATTCCTCGTTGTATAATTGAAGGATGGACCAGTGGAAATGATGATATTGATAATTTTATGAAGGATACGATCTATAATGCAAGTACTTACTATTATAAGGGTTATTATCCGTCATTTCTTGAATGGGTTCCATTTGATAGATTTGAAGATATGAAACAAATAGGTGAAGGTGGATTTGCAAAAGTGTATTCTGCAACTTGGATTGATGGTATAGCAAAATACATTAAAGATGATGGAAATTGGATAAAAAAAGAACCTAAATCTATGATAGTTGCCTTGAAAAGGCTAAATGGATTACAGAATATGTCAACTGATTTTTTAAATGAGGTATTTTTTTCACATGTACAGTACTTATTTATAATTTTAAAAACTGTTAAAATATATTTAATTTATTTTAATTTGGATAATAGCTTAAAACGCATTGGAAATTAAGTTGTTTACATAGTAATTCTTTAAAATTTTATGGAATAACTAAAGATCCAGAAACTGAAGAAATTATAATGATTATGCAATTTGCAAATGATGGAAATTTGAGAAATATTCTTTCAAGTAATTTTAACAAAATTTTATGGAGAGAGAAAATTAAATATTTATATTGGTCAGCAATGGACCTTAAATATTTACATGAATTGGGATATTTTCATAGAGATTTTCATAGTGGAAATATATTAAGAATTGAAGGAAGTTCTTATATATCAGATTTTGGATTATCCGGACCATCAAATAAACAAAAATCAGATAATAAAATATATGGTGTGTTGCCATATATTGCTCCAGAAGTTTTAAATGGAGAACCATATACATTATCTTCAGATATCTATAGTTTTGGTGTAGTTATGGTTGAATTATCATCTGGAAAACCACCTTTTCATAAAAGAAAACATGAAAATGGCTTAGCATTAGAAATATGTAATGGACTCAGACCAGAATTTGGAAAAGGAACTCCTGAAATTTATAAGAAATTAGCTCATAGATGTATGAATGCTAATCCAAATCAAAGACCAACAGCCAATGAATTATATGAAATATTAGAATGTTGGTATAATTATAATGATAATGAAAAATATGGATATAAAGGAGAAGTAGTTAAAGCTGTATTTAAAGAAGCTGATAAAGAAATACCAAATATTTCAACCTCATATGAAAAGAAACCTGATACTATTTGAGCATTTACATTCAGTAATTTGTCAAAACCCATTAATTCATCTTTTATTGCTACTACATTTCTTAATGAAGAAGATAATGAAGGTATTACATTTTACTATATTATATTTTTAAATTTTATAAAATAATTAAGATAATGATTAATTTTATTTATTATGATAGATTGTCAAGATTCTCAATTAGTTAACTTAGAGGTTCCTAGTTAGGAGGTAAATATAATCTACTATATATTTAGGATATTAATTTTATGATGTAAAATAATAATGTAATGTTTTATTATTTAACAGATGATGATAATGATGACTAAATATATTTATAATTTCACTTATAAATTATTTTAAAAAATATGCACAGTGAAATTCGATAAACCGGATCTATCGGTTCCACTAAAAATATCCGGTTTATCAGGATATCCGGTATAGCGAATATATTAAAAATCTATTATACTGAATTTTTTTGAAAAATTCATGCTAATAAAATTAATACACATTATATTTTAATTTTTTATCTTAGTTTTTAGTCATAGAGGTCATGAAAATGAATATAAAATATTTCAATTGAATATATAAGTAATATATAACTTTGGCCGGAATTAAGATTTTTATAATTCTGGCCAAAATTAAGATTTACCGCATCACGTTACTTAAATTTTATTGGTTAATAATCACGTGATCTGGTTTATCGAATCATTTTTACTATAGCTGGTTAGAAAATTGATCCGTTTTATCAAATATCGAGCTTTTACTAGTAAACTCCGGTATATCGAAACTATTTTAATATACGTGATTTGGTTCCAGCAAAAAAATCCGGTTTAGGCCCAAATCCGGTTTATCGAAGATCCGGTTTATCGAATTTCACTGTGTATATTCATTTATTTATTTAATGGTTTAAATTACGTTTTCTATCATATGGTTTACATAAACAACTTTTGAATGAATTATACGTTCAAATTTTTAATAAAAACAATGGAATACTAGCGATTATTGGAATAAGCTACATAATTTTTTGATTTTCGGAAGTTGAAGGAAAGGACTATACTTTTGCGATTGATATACTATCGTTATGTTAAATTATAAAAATGTATAAATTAGTAAATTAGCCATTTTTTTTAAAAAATAAAGAAAACAAATTACAGAAAATAGAAAATTATTAAAACTTCATAAACTTATTCATAGTTATGATAGTTATGATCAGATATAAGTACTATAATATGTTAATTTTATTAACTTCGTCTTTTGTTTTCGTGAATGGTGATTGATTCATAACTTTTTAAAATAATATTATGTTAAATTTAGCCATATTAATTGAGTTTTTTTATGTAGTTATTATTTATTTTTAAAATTTTAACTTATTTTTATTGTAAATATTTAATAAAAAAATACTCTTGGTAAAAAATAAATAAAAAGAAAGACTAAAAATGAAAGAGTAGTGAATTAGACTAGGCTTCCAAGTTCACTTTTAATCTAGACCTGTGGACCAATTTAGCAATTCCGATAATTTAATTTATTTTATTTTATTTTTACTATTTGAAAATACGAATAACTATCATAAGGGTCCCCCTTTTTTTGATTTCATGTAAAAGTTTTTTACTTTACAAAATATCTTTTCATTATAACATGAATAATATTAGATCAGCTTCAGTAAATGAAATTATTTGCTTCTCATGAAAAAAAAAAAAATCCTAAATTTGACAATTTGACTTGGCCGAACGGAAAAAAATTATTTTTTTTAAAAAAAAATTAGCAAATCACTAAAATGATGTTTTTTTTTGCGCAAGCATGTAGTGATAGTTAAATTTATTTTGTGTGTTACAATACAATATGCTGATTTTTATCGAATTTTGTGATCAGATACCAAATATACCACAAATTACGTAGCAGGTGTACGTAATTCTATTATTGAATAAACTAAAATAAAATCAAATGAAAAAATTGATAAATTATGAGCAGATAATAAATCATTATATTCCTGCTTTTAAGTTAATAAAGAATGGTATCATTTAGTAGTTCCTATCTTATGGGACACTTTAATTGCAAGCAATTAAAAAATTAAATATTTTAATATTATACTTTCCTTCTTACCAACTTCTTCAAAACAACTTTTATTTGATAATAATACTAGATTACTCTCAACAATTATTTCAAAATCCCAGTGTTTAATTATATTAGCCTATGTAAATTTCTAAAAGTTGAACTTATACTAAATAATATTATAAGTTTGGTATTTAAAGAAGAAATGATACATGCTCTTAATTTATATTCAGAAAAAAGAATTATTTTATAGTAAGAAATTTACAAGTTATTCATTAGTCAATGTAAAAACATTAAAGAATTGGAGTAGCATAACTTTTCAACCTTTACAATCATTTCCGAGAGCTATAACATCTTTATATGAGTTTATAGTCTAGATGTTGATCTATGTTATGTAAATTCAAATAATTTTTATGAAATGGCACAGATTTGCAAAGATTTGAACGTATTACACTTTGACAATTATAATAAATAAGGAGGGTCATGTGAGAAACTAAGCAAGACATTAGAAAGATAATACAATTAATCATCTTACTTTATATAACTCGGTTGGCTTTATTCCATTTATAATCATTGTCCAAAATTAGAATATCCTACATATTTTGAATGATTTGATTTATGTTAAATTATATTTATGTCTAATATATGGTCAGTTTTAAAATAATTGTAAATATACCATTGAGACAAGTTGGTAAAAAATGTGCACTTTCATATAATGTACAATATATTATATAACAAACATGTATCAAATTTTTATAAATTTCTTTATTCATTCTATAAAAATTACAAAAATTAAAATAATCCCATAAATTTCACATTTTTTCTCATTTTAGGGAATAGCTTAGAATAATTTACAATTAATCAACCATAAACATTTAAGAATTACCATAAAGATGATTTATGTTTTAAATATTTGATTTGATATCAATTTATTGTACTAAATTATTATTTCTAATTAATACAAAAATAACTGTCATGTTACTAAATATCAATTTTCGCCTAAATTATCATATTTCCAAAGGTAGTAAAGTATAAGTATCATCATGCATTAGGTACTGAATATGGTATGTTAAAAGTTAAAAAAGTAAAATTGGTTAGCTACTCAAATTGCAGCAATTGTGTATGTTATCCTCCGTAGGTTCATAGGTCTTCAAACTCGTCTGAAGGTTTTTAATATCATCTTTAGAAAACATAACTATTATTTAGACACAATATCTGTAAGTGATTTTAGAGAAAGAAACTATGATAAAATATATTTCAGATGAAAGTTTGAATATATATATACCTACTTTTAAAAATCTTTCTAAATGTATCGTTACTATCAGTGACTTGTTATGACGATATAGATACTTTGAAAAAAAAAGCAAAAAAAAATTGACTTATAAATGAAAATTATGCAAAAATGATTGCGCGAAAAAGGTCTCATGAGTATTTATTAAAGAGGAAATTAATACTGCGCAATTTTTCGGTCGTACGTCATTTATACGCCTTTTAGAACGTTGTTATCTTGAGGTGAAGGTAATACGGTTGTTAACAAAGACTAATAAATAATAAGTTAAGCTCGATTGAATTATTGCATCATTATAATGAAAGAGTTATTTTTGATAGTATAAATGTGATGATAACTATCCATAATAAAAAAACGGGCTTTGTGATGTAAGATTTTCTAGACTTTTTAAGGAATCATAATAACTCTTTGCAGGTTAGGTTGTTAATGTCTTTTGTATTTGATATGACCGGAACACTTAACATATGTAATAAATATAAAGTGATCTACCAGTAATAAGAGTCGTATGACATGCAAATTCTTGCCATTTTTCTAAATTATCTGCTAAAATGAAATTTTTAAAAATCTTTTTCAGTGGTTTTGTAAAAATAAAAAATGTGACATTAGAGAAAATAAATCAGAGTTTTCATAACGGAATCCATATTATTATTTCGTTCCGTTGGACAATCGCAGATGATCATCGAATTCTAACAAAGAACTCAAAAATATTATTGTTAGTCCATTTTTGATTGTTTAAAAATTAAGTTTACCGATATAGAATTCCATTATTAGAACGAGCCGCTGTATTACTAGAATTTCAACAACGATTAAGATTACTTATCGAAAATCAACACGTTCTGCTCATATCATTTAAGTCATAAAAAAGTACAACCCATTTCGAAATTTCATATTACAAAGTTTTAAAATAGTTTAGAATTGTCCCAAAAAAATGATTAATTTTCGGAGTTTTTTATATAATATTTTTTTTTCAAGATAAATCGAAATTTCATTTGTGTCTGAATACCTGCAATAACATAAAATTATCTCACAAATAAATTTATTTATTCTAATAAAAAAATAATAGTACATAAAAATTTGTATAATATGTCCGTTATTTTTTATGTTTAGAATATAATAATTTCGTAAAAAAAATTTTTTTTTTACCTGAAATCTTTTTTGACCAACGTTAATAATAAATAAAGACCACGTGACTTGCACGCAAAGATTTTCATTGATTATAAATTTTGTACTCACGTTATTAACCAAAAAAGTCAAAATTTTTGAATTATCTTTCTACTTTTAGTATGTAGTAATAATTATTTATTTATTAAAAGAAACAACGCCTTTATATTAACTATTTCATTCTTTCCTACTCCATAATTTTTTACTTTGTTTTAATATATTAAGATATTTTGTTATGTTTATCATTAGTTGTTAATTTTTGTTTTTATTTTTATTTGTCTTTTTTTAGACTTTATTTATAAAAAAAAAAAAGTTTAGCCATTCCGCAAACCACGTAAGGGCGAAAAATTAGTCATTGATCAGCGGAGCCGTAATGGGAAGATCAAGGCTGATCCATGATATATACCATTCTTATAAAAAAAAAAGAAAAAAATCACTAACTGGGGATTGTGGTATGGTTCTTCCCTTCTTGATATCTTGTCACTATAATATTCAAACACTTGATAATTTATTTATATAAAAAAGTTAATATGTCTTCTATACCATTAGAAGGTAATGATTTAAACTTTCCGGAAATTCAACAACAGCAACAAGAACTTTATACACGAAAAAGTGTTTCAGTTCAAACAAAACCTTCTTTTGCTGAATTATTATCAAAAAGAAATATGAAGAGAGAACAAGTAAAATGTGCTTGTGGTAAATAGTACTTTACGCAACTTTATTTTTTCGTATATTTATTTTTTTGCTAAAATTATAACACTAATTTGTCATTTTTATGTAACGGTTACATTATTATTTCAAATGATTTTAGTTAACTGTAAGAAGTCATGCAAGAAATGTGATGATGAAAGGCCCTGTCAACGCTGTATTAGGCTTAATATCGCCGAAACATGCAGAGATTCCATTAGAAAAGAGAGAAAATTAGGCAAAAAAGTGTTGATCGGCGAAGCTGGAATGAAAAGATCGAGATTGATTCGTGAAATATATCATTCTTCATCGTATGTAAATGTCAGTAGAAAAAATAATAAAAAATCAGTCATTAAGAATCATGGTACTTTAAGCTTTTCTCTTTTTGACATTTCATTGCTACATATTTAAACACTTATCGTAATAATTAAACTAATGTTAGTACCACCAGAAGAAATTAATTTGAATGCTCAAGAAAGTCAACCGCAACAGCAAGAACTTTCTAACCAGGAAAAAAATGAAGTTCAATCACAACCTTCCCTTATTTGGCCAACCACAGAAAGAACTACAAAGAGAGAACAAGTAAAGTGTGCTTGTGGTAAATAGAATTTTACTTATTAATCGTCATTGTAATGTTCTTTTTGACGGTAATTCGCAATTTGACATTTTATTGTAATGGTTATTTATTTAATGTAGTTAACTGTCAAAAGTCGCGCAAAAAATGTGACGATAAAAGGCCTTGTCAACGTTGTATTGATCTTAATATCACTGAAACATGCAAAGACTCTGCTCGAAAAGCGAGAAGAGCAACCAAAAGAGGTCCATATAAGCATCGTGTACAACAAAATTAAAATATCCTAACAAAGTTTCTCTGCTTTAACGAGTTCTGTTTCTTCCGGTATTTTATCGTCTCTGATGGATAGATTGATGAACTGGTGCCGAAGATAATATCAGAATCCCAATCCATTAATGCAATTTTTTATTTCTTAACGCTAATTACATTATTTCTAAATGAAGATTTGAGTAATATAATTTCGTTGAATTTGTAAGTTTATATCGAATTTGTGAAAATCAAAAACGACGCCACCTTAGACAAGTTGACACAAAATCTTGTATTAATTGTACTCCTGCTTTGAAAATAAGTATTATAGGAATTCTAAAATCTGCTGAGATGAATTATTATTTATCTAAATGATATTTTCTAGATATGATTTTAATTGAATTTCGATTTTCTGATTTAGAATCAGTTTTTTCAGTAAAATTACTAAGTTCATAAGGTGGTGGATTTAGTCTTGATATGATTTATTAGTTTAATAATATTATTTATGATAATTTATGCATGTAATATTTGTTATTAAATCTTATAAATTTTCTTTCTGACAAGTTTTCCCATTATTACTATTGTCCGGTTTGCACATAATTCCGATCAAAGTTATCATATTTTCGATCAAAATTGGTGCTATGTTCAGAAAAATAAATTTATCTGTGCTTGGCTAATAATGAAACATTCCGTAAAATGGGAAAAATTACGAATCTCACGTTAATGTTAAATCTATCGGAAATATTCTAATAATTAATTAATTAATTTCTACTATTTTCATATAAAATTCACTACATTTTTCGCAATTACAGACTTATTAACTGTGAATATTCTATTTTAAATAAAAGACATTATAAAATATATAAATTCATTTTTCAGTTATTTATAGCTAAAATTACAGTACTAGTTAATGAATTAAATAGAGCTAGAGCTTGTATAGTAATTTGTTACAATCTGACTCATCTGTTATCCGTTCTGTAATCAATTCTAAAACAACACTTAAACCAAATATTTACATATTTATTTAAGACTGAAGTAAAAGAAAATGCTTGCAAAGGTAAATATGTGAGAATCTTATATCAAAAAAGTCATATAAGAATAAGGAATAAATTATTAAAATTAATAATTTTCAATCTAATACTTCATTTATCTTTTCCTAAAAAAATTATTCAGGCCTTTAATAATATTTTTTCATCTCACTTCCGAACACAAAATCTTCAATCGCAGTTGATGAGAAACTCAAGACATGGAATACTTCGATTATCACCTTCAAGGTCATTTACGAACTCTACATCAAACTCTGCAAACTCCACAACTTCCACCAAAGCTTCTTCCAAAAAGTCTACTTTCTACTCTAACCTGAAAAATATTAAAAAACCTGTTGCAGTATGGCTTCCAGTAAAAGATTTTATTATTATTTAATATATATATTATTTTAGTCAAAAATTTATCATCATCATTTCATTATTTGTAGGCTACGAAATTAATTGTAGCTGGTATTGCTATTTTCTTGTCAGGAGATTTTGCAAATGCGTGGTATCAGAATGAATATAATAAAAATCTTCTCAAAAATACCATTGAAAAAGGCACTCAACCTGTGACTGATATTTTAGATAATGAGTTCATTCCTCGACCTCTACTTATAAAACGTTTCAAAGAAATTCTTCAACCAGATAAAGATCAATCATTTTATCACGTTATTTGTGGAGAAAAAGGAATCGGAAAAACAACATTAGCTACAGTTGCATCAAGAGAAGTTGGACAGGGTGTCATATATGTTGATGTCCCAGAAAATTTTGAATTCTTTGGTGAATCTTTTGGAAAGGCTATTAATTTTACATTTAAGGAAAAAATTTCTTTATTAACACGACTAAAACGGAAATTCTTGAGTGAAACTCAAGGTAATATTTTGATTATTGCTTGTATCATTGATTAATATTTACTATACAATTATGATTTTAACACAATTTTATTTTGATAGAAAAAGAAAATATGAATCTTCCAAAATGGATGAGAGCTAAGAGAGCCTTTGAGGATGTCGCTCAATCATACAAAGTAAATCACAATAAACCTTCCGTTATAATTTTTGATAATGTTGACCGATTGAAAAATCATCCAGAAATTATTGATAGTCTACAGGATTCTGCTATGAAAAATGCCAAACAAAACAAATACATTACCGTATTTATTAGCACAAAAGGTCCTATCCTCGAAAGAATGGAATGTAAGTGTGAAGGTCATTTGTACTCTTGATAAAATAGAATTATTACATAATCTGATTCTCATTTTTAGCACGTGGTACTTTGTCACAAGTACTTGAAAAACTGGAAATTGGTGATCTTAGCGAAAGTGAATCAAAAGATTATTTGATTAAGAAATGCACAGCTGAAAATTTACAATTTGAAGAGACCACAAGAAAATGTATGATCAATGATGATGAAGTAAATAAATTATATAAACTTGCCGGTGGTCGTATTTTGGATTTAAAGAGAGAGGTGAATAAATTTCTGCATGGAAAAATTTTTGAAGGTAGGAATTAGATTCAGATATATTACATCAAAATTCTTTTTATAAATATTTTATTGGATTAAATTCCTTTTTTTTTTTCTACAGAAACTAAAAAGGAAGTAATGGATAATGTTGAAAATGAAGTTAAAGCTGCGCACCTATTCCCAAATCAGAAATACTATAAAATAGGAAAACCTATCATCAAAACTTTATTGAATTCGAAAGAGATGCACTATCTTGATTTTAGGAGTGCTTTCTACACGATAGGGGATGTTGAAAAAGTATTAGAAGAAGTATTAGCATGCAATGTATTTGAATATCATCCAGGGAAACACATCGTGACATTTAAGTCTCCGTCAGTAGAATACTATTTTAAGGAAAAGTCTGATGTATTCATTAAAAATTATGTGTAATGTGTAATAAAATAGGTTTATTATCATATAACAATATAATGGAACAAGTCTTAAGAAAGAAATGTATGTTCAGATTCAGATTTTTGCTTGCCAAAGATAACCACTAATTTAATTAATATCACATGATCCTAACAAGTTAGTTTCAATTTGAAATTTTGAGTTTAAAAATCATACAGGCATACCTTTTCCTTTATCGGTCGTGGTTTAGGATCAGTCTATACTGTATATCTAGAAGTTAGGGACCGTTATTTAATGGGTGATAGATTAAATGTAGGACAAGATCTTTGTATAGATTAAATGTTCTCTTAGATAGTCTTTCCTGCTTCACATAAAATAAATTAATAAATAAAAAAAAATCATACAGGCATAAATAACTATTTATGTAATTATGTCATCTATCACTCCAAACAAAATCAAAGAAAATAATGATACAGAATCAAAAAGAAATGAAAATTTCACACGTCATGGAATTTAATTTCAGCAAAAGTTAAATTATAAATTTGGAAATACTAACACTCTTCATATAGGGATGTAGCAAGCTCCGATCCGTCTTCGTCATCAATGTGCACACACTTAATCACGTGATACAAATAACTGCCTTACTGTGTGACTCATTATAATCATGAATACATTTAATAGTTTGTTTTATACTCGAGTATAGCTACTCTCACACTTGTTCCTTCATTTTTTGTTGTCTCTCATCCTTTCCTCCTCTACCTTCTCACTTTTATCATCTCTCCTCTTCTCACTCTTGTTCCTTCCCTTCTTCCCTCCATTATTTCACTTCCTCTCTTCAACTCGTCTGTATAATTGTCTAAAGAAATATTATAGGTATTCTCAGGTGGTCTTCCGGGCACTTTGTTGGAGCAGCATGATGCTATGCACGGGTGGGAGCATAGCATACTTACTTTGTAAGCCTGTGAGTACCAGCTTTTTCTGCAGTCTCGCAGTAGGGCTGGCTGGGAAATCTTTGGAGCGGTATAGTACTATGCAAAGGGTTGGAGCATAGGCGCTTACTTTTAGTAAGCTCGTGAGTACCAGCTTGCTGCAGTCTCGCGATAGGACCGGTTGGTTGTGGTACGGCATGGTGCTATGCGTAATTTTCATGGGAGGAGCATAGTGCACTTCTTAGGAAGTCCCTTTGTGGTAGGGCCGTAGTACATTGTCATTAATTTCAAATGCAATTAATAAAAATTTCTGATTTTTATAAACAGTTATCTTTTTTATTATAAATTTTTTATTTAAGAATAATTATTTTGTTTTCTTTATGAATCAGGAAGGACTTAATTCATTATTAAAAATGAAGTATTAACTTGTACATACACTATACGATCAATTTAATTGTCCATTAATAATGTTTATTAAAGTCATATAATTTTTTTTAGCTATGATACGATGCATCATGAATCATATTTAATTTTCAATTTCATTTTAAAAATTTGTTATTTCAAAAGTGAATAAATTTAATACTATAATCCATGATAATTGTTTGTTCAGTAGGGTGGTGTGGGATTTTGATGTAATAATTAATAATGATTATGTATTTCAGATTTGCTTTAGTTGATAAGTTATCTTTCTTTCGCTAAATAATTTCTTTGAAAATTCAAAATTTGACACATATAATAAGTTATCTTATTGCTCATAAAGCTTTAATCGAGCTTCTATTATATACAGTAGTACTTGGTTTACATGTACTATACATTACTAGGTTTTAATTTCTAAACACTATATTCTTTTAAAACTTGAATGCTTCAGAAAAGAAGATTTCAATTAGATTACAGCAAACATTATAGAATAGCAATTAGTACTTGTCAAGTCAAGGTAGATGGATGTGAGTCTGAACTTGCAACTAAAATGCTTGAATTGCAGGCTGTCAAAGCTAAATATGGCATGTATAAACAGCATCTAGATAATACAGACATGATTAATCATCTAAGTGAGAGTTACGTGAAGATAGTTTTTATTAATTTTATTGATATTTTCTTTAAGAAATTTTGTGCACAATAGTGCACATTAAATTTTAAAAATTGTGCACATAAAAATTAAAATGTGCACATGAATTTTACACACTGGACTGTTTTATATAAGTATTAAAATAATAATAATAATTTTAAGGTAAGATATAATAATTAAACGTAATAATCTAAAAATGAATCCCTGAAAATAATGAGTGGAAAGATTCTTTATATACTAAATGTTTTAATGAAAAAAAAATATTTAAAGCAGTATATAATCAAATTTAATCTAAATATAAATTAAGTGGGGAGAATTTTTTTGTATAAGTATAATTAAGGTAAATTAAAAAGAAAGTTAAAATTATTAAAAAATATAATATTAAATAGAATATTTTTTATAAAAATTAATTAATCTTAATATATCTATAATTAGTAGTTAATTTTTCATCAACGGATTTCCATATTATTCGACGAAATCCTATTACTACAATAACAAATCCTATCAACTTATTAAGATTTGAATTAATTATCTTAATTCGTTCATCACATACTCCTGTGGAATATTTATTTGCCTGTCCTTTTGCAATTATTCTCATGTACCTTTCTAATTGCTTTGCTCCATTGTTTAATATATCATTTATAGTTGTGCTAATATATTTATTAGTTTTTTTATCATAATATCTATATTGTCTTCTTAACAATATATCTTCATCTTCTCTTTCAATTACTTTATCTAATTCTCCCAATTCATTTGTATCAAAATCTTTTCCATCAGTATTACTCACTAACCCAGTTAGTGGAATATATTTTAATTCAATATTTGTATAGCATTCTCCTAGAACAAAAACATCAAGGAAACCAAATTTACCATTTCCCTTATTTACTGCAGTATTCATTATTAAGCAAAGTTCAGGAACACGATATCTTGATGGTAAAAGAAGTTCTATAGTTACTTGAAGAACTGATTCATTTGCTGAATATAATGACCTTCGTGACCTTGTTAATAATGTTTCCTTTAGAAGTTTAATGAAGCTGATGATATTACCTGAAACAAGATCTTTATATGCCAAACCAATATAATCTTCATTTTGTCTTTGTCTCTTTTTAAGGTCTAATAAATTAATATTTTAATGTATAATAAGTTAATGAATCATATAAAAAAGTAATGCCATTTAATGCTAAAAGTAATGCAATTTAATGATAATAATACTTACTAATAAATGGATCATCACCTGTAACTTCTTCATTATTTCTTTTAATGTTCTTATTAATTTTTTCGTGAGAAGTTTCAGGATTTTCATTTTGCTTTGACAAATAATAATCCTCATTTTGGTTTTGCTTCTCTTTAAGTTCTAATAAATTAATATTTGGATATAATAAAATTGGTAAATAATATAAATATAAAATATTGAGATGATTTAATGATAATATAACTTACCAATAAGTAAATTAGATGTATTATCATCATCATTTTTTTTAATACTCTTATTAATTTTTTTGTTATCAACTTGAGAAGGTTGAGGAGGATCTTCAGTAAGTAATTTAGCCTTAGGTGTTAAATTCTGTTTTTCATGTTCTTTGATTATGATTTTCCAAAATGATTTGAATTCATTCTTATACTCCAAGCGTTCTATATTTAGCTATTATTAGTAAGAAAGCATTATTAGCAGTGTGTAAACTTTTTATTTAGTAGTAAAAGAAGGTACATAGTCAATTTCTCCTCCAAAATTAACAGACTTTTACCAACGACAAAGAAAGGATGCCTGAATATCGAGCTATGGAGTGGTTACTACCAAGCGTCTCCAAACAGTAATTCTCAGAAGCCGAAGCACATGGTCACAAAAATCTCAGTAACCTTGTCATCTTTACATATAGCTCCATAATAGCATATGTTCAAACTCAATCCTGGCTATTGTGCATGTGGCTCGTCTTAAGAGTTACCCCATCTTTGCAAAATAGAAAAAATACACACCTTTTGTTTTAATGTTTCAATAACTTCTTGTTGATCTGTAAAAATCTTTTCTACTTCTCTTATGTAATTACTAGCCCAGGCATTTTCAAGATCATGCCACTTGAGATCTGAAGTTACTGAGGCAACAACAACATTTTTATGTAGAATTAAGAACCTACGATATGATTTATTGCTTTTCTTTTTTAAATAAGAGATTAGAGCTAAAAGCCAAAGATTTAGTTAGTAAAAATGCCGAATAAGAAAAAAAATTACTATAAAAATGAAATATTGTTTATATAAACTTACTATCTTGTCCAGGATATGAATTCATGTTGAAAATTTGAGAGTTTTCAGAAAATTATTTATTTTGAGAGTTTCAGAGAATTTTAGAGGGCTTTTAAATAAAAGAAAAGTTCTTGATTCATATTGTGTCAATCTGACACATTATTTCTATTATTGACATGAAGAATAGAAGGAATAATTAAAAATAATGAGGTTTCTCTTTAATCTATCTACATGTCTAATTTTAAGTCATAATGATATAACTTTAACTTTATATTTTATTATTTAAATTAATAATACTATAATAATTTATATATTGTAATTATGACAGTTAATTTATATTGTTGTGCTCATGTAAAACACAGATACAGTAAGAGTTCATAATGATTAGAATATATAACTTTAACTTAATTATTTTATTATTTAGATTAAAAATACTATAATAATTTGGATGTTGTAATTATGACAGTTAATCTATATTGTTATGCTCATGTAAGACACATATACAGTAAGAATTAAAGAATTAATGATTAAAATATATAACTTTAACTTAATATTTTATCATTTAGATTAATAATACTATAATAATTTGTATGTTGTAATTATGACAGTTAATTTATATTGTAATGCTCATGTAAGTCACAGATACAGTAAGAATTAATGATTAATATATATTTGTATGTAGTAATTATGACAGTTAATTTATATTGTTATGTTCATGTAAAACACAGATATAATGATTAAAATATATTTTAATTATAATATTAGGCGGCGAACATAAACTTTCTTCATCACCTTTTATACTTCCTTGGTTTCTTTAGAATACAATTTAATTAATTATGTTTAATATCTTTAAAGATGGATTACTATATCTTTAGAATATAATTTAAGAATTTTTCTAACTATCACCGGGGGTGATGATCACCGGTGACTGAAATTACGACGATCGACCAGCATTAAAAAACATAGTGCCGGTAAAAATTGATAATTCCGGCCAACGGTGATGATTACCCCGGTGATTTGAAGTAAAAATCATAATTTAATTAATTTAATTAATTATATTATTAATTATGTTTAAAGATGTATTACTGTATTAATTAGTACAATTATTAAAAGTCAATATTGTTGCTTGCGTAATCATGTTTTTCCTGAAAGTTCTAGCATATATTTTTTTATTACGCAACTTTAAATCATTAGTAAAAATGTAAAAAATATTTTTTCTTGGTTAATAAATCATTTATCCGATTTGGTGACGATTTATTAAAGTTTTATTAGACAAATTAAATAATATCTCAACAATATCAAATTGATATCGCAGTGATATTGTTAATGATATCGTTAAGATTATCTTAACGACCTTGTTTTGATATTCACAATAATTTACTATTGAAGATTATCAAAATTGAAACTACTTAACTACTTAGAAAATGATTAGAAACATGTGATGATGAAATAATAAAAAATTTTAAACATTTGTCGTATTGAAAATCACCTAGAAAAAAAAAGAATTGTTAATAACAATTCGTTAAAATAAAAAATTTTCATGAAGAGAACTAGTCTGGAACCCATAAATCTGGTGTTCTCTAAAAAAAAGGAATTAAAGAATGTTAGAAACTAACATTGTTAACAAAAATTTAAAAAAAAATAAAATCCCTCTTCCCCAGCGTATCTTGCATCTACTTTGTTTTAACAGGTCCAGGGAGGTTACTCTAAACAATCCATTCACAATCCCTAATAGTTAATAATATCAACCATCGTAAATTTAAGTTACAAGTAATATTATAAATTTGGTATTTAACAATGAAATTTTAAACTTAAATAATATCAATAATTTAGAAAAAAAGAAAAAAAGAATTAGTCAATGTAAAAGCATTAAAGAATTGAGTGGCAAATTTTTAGGTTGTTCTTTTGGCTCTTAATTTTGGTGAGTTGGTTTTTTTAATTGCTCTTATTTAACGAACTATTAACAGTTCATTTTCCTTTCTGGGTCATGAGATATTGATAAAGTAATTTTATTTTTTTTCTTTTAACAATTTTAATGAATATTACTAACAATTCATTTTTCAGTTTTTCTTGTAGATTTTGCCAATTTTCTCTGGAAGTGAAACTTGTCCAAAGCTGCAGAAACTAGTGTCTGAAATATCTGAGTCAGATCTGCAATCTTTAGTATTTTTCTTTTATTATAACTCGCTGAAATACATTTTGATAATTACATTTACTATCTGTAATATGCCCTAAACTACTTTATCAATTCCTATTTCTATAACTATATATATGATTTATTTTTTTTATCTAACCTAGCATGCTTATTTTGCACATTTTTGTCTTCCTTTTCCTTCTTTTATGAAGTCTTGTATGTCAAACAGCTTTGCATTCCATCCCACTAACCACTCTCCAACCATCTTAATTTTCCTTATCCCAGTTTCCTTTTCTATTTTTTCTTTTAGCAGCCTCTTTCTTCTTTTCTCAACTCATTAATTACCTCCACTACCTTCTTCAGAGTTGTATATTCATTAATTTTTGTTTATTGGATAGACGTGTTGTTAAATTTATTCAATTTAATTATGTATATTGAATTTTATTTTTATATATATTTTTTTTTATTATTTTTTATTTATTTTTTGTGTATCCGAAAACAAGTTTAGAAACTTTTTTGAAAAGTAAGTTTTGGAATTTTTTCTTGTAAAAAATTTGCATTTTTTTCGTTAAGAACGTATACTGACACTCTTTTTAATTTTTTTATAAAAAGTATGGCTCTCTGGTTCTTTTAAGTTTCAAGAAGAAATGGACATAAGGTATGCCAATAAAAGAATATTTTTATATGAATGTTTACTAATATTCTTCTCTATCTTTTTTCTAGGGGTTAGTAGACAGGAAAAAGTATTGGTTTAGAAATTTTTCTTTCCTATAATATAGGAACTATTAAATGACACCACTTCTTATTAACTAAAGAATTGTCCGCTCATAATTCATTGAAAATAAGAATTAAAAATCAATACCTAATTTTATTAAAATTTTAGTTTATTCATAAAAGAGAACAAAAATTTGGAAATAAATTTTATGACACCTACTACGTAATTCGTGAATATTTGACTAATAAAATTTAAGGACGTATGTCATTTTGTTATTCATACCCACTAAGGAAAATTTGGCCAAGCAATATCATGTGTCAGTGCATAATGTTGGCCAGAGTGGTACAAATAACAAAAATGTGGTACGAATGACTATCGCCAACTCTTTTTCCTATAATATGAATCCTCTGGTTTTCATCTCAAATTTTTTATAAGAATATGGGAGGTATTTAACAAATTGCCTGATTCATTTAATATAAAGCGTAATATCTTTAATTAGGTATATGACAGAAAATTTGAGCTCATTTAATAATTAGATTTGAACTTATTATTATCCCTTCTTCATAGTATTTTCTAACAACTTCTATATGTATGGGTGTAATTTTATTTCCATTTAAACAATTAATCATAAACCGAAGTGATTTTTGTTCCCTATAACTTTCAAAATAATTTTCAAAAGAATCAATAGAATACTTCCAATCTCCACTAATCATTATATTAGTTAAACATCTTGGAGAAAATTTAGTTAAAATGTCTAGTAATTCATCTCCTATATTATTGTTATTTTCCCTTAAACTATCAAGATTTAAACTTATTAAATTTCTACAATTAATTAATAATGATTTTACATATTTCAAATCTTCAGGTCCAATATGTGTAGCTAAATTCTTAATCTTTGGACAATGATTAGAAATTGCTTTTAGGAAAATTCCTGTATACTCAGCGGATGAGTTAAAATTAAGAAAAGATAAAGCAGAGATATTTGAAATATTTCCTTCAGTTTTTTTAATTAACTTGGCAAATTCTTTAAGGCATAATAAATTATAATAAATTTCTAGAGATTGAAGTTCTGGGAATATCGAATTTGCTAAATATTCTTGGAATTCTTCAATTTCTTCATATTTTACAAAACAATAGCAAACTTTTAGCTTTTTTAGATTGACAAGTGATGTTAAAAATGAATGTGAAATAAAGCCAAACGAACCAACTAAAGAAAGATTACTAATTGTATGACCTTTTCTTGCTAATACTTTGCTTAGTTCCTGACACAACTCTTTCTTAGCATTAAGTGTTATACTTTTTAAATTTCTTTGTTCATTAATTAAAAAAGTTAATCCACGAACATCTTGAGAAAAGCCACAAATAGTTAATTCACCCAAATCTTTGCAAATATGTGCCATCTCATAAAGATTATTGGAATTTACATGACTTAGATCAACCTGTAGACTATAGAGTCTAGAGAAACATGTCAAAGCTCCCGGAAATGATGGTAAAGGTTGGGAAGTTTGCCATTCCAATTCTTTAATGCCTTTACATTGACTAACAAACAACTTGTAAATTTCTTGTTCCAAAAGATTTCTTTTTTTCGAATAATCTTTAAATACCACATTTGTAATATTATTAATAATTTTAGCTTCTAAAAATTTATAAAGGCTGACATAATTAAATGTTGGGGTTTTTGAAAGAATTGTTTGAGGCAGTTTAATATTATTTTCTAATAAAAGTTGTTTTGAAGATTTTGGTAGACAGGAAAGTATTATATTAGAAAATTTTTCTCTCGATTTTTCACTTATCATTATAAAATAGGTTGGATAATTCTTCCATAACATAGGAATCACCAAATAACACCACTCTTTATTAACTAAAAGACAGGAATATAATGATTTTTTATCTGCTCGTAATTCATCAAAAATAAGAATAAGACAATGAATATTTAATTTTTTCATTTTTATTTATATTATCTATTAAAAAAAGGAATAAGGATTAAGAATATATATATATATGTATATATATAATGAAATAAAATAACTAAATGTATACAAATTATGCAAATTATGTATGTAATCGTAATTTAATGTAAAAAAGTATAACTAAAGGTATGCAAATTATACAAATTATGTATGTAATCGTAATTTTATGTAAAAACTGAATTAATGTGCAATGATCCCAAATTTATTTTGTGCTACAACATGCGGAGTTTACATTATTTTCTTAACATAAAAGATTACACATATTGTGTCAACCATGAATTTTAATAGATAGTGATAAACTTAACCGGCTATCATTTGTTTATATTGTTATATTGTTTATAGCTTACAAACCATTTCAAGAATTCAAATAATACTTTGAAATAATGTTTAACAATAATATCAACAATATTCAAGAATTTTTGATTAAAAAAAATGAAACGAATAAATGATTTAAATTATGTATGAAATAAATTTTTTAGGACACCTTAATATCATATTAATATAAAACTGATTCTATTAAAAATATGAACATGCTTATATTATAGTAAAACTAAAAATTGATTTATTATTTCAAAAATTTTATGATAATTATTATTAATTAAGTCTGTTCTAATATGATATAATCTTAAAGGGATATTTACTTTAAACCAAGTTTTATTGTCAAATTATTGAATGGATGATGGAATAAAATGGAAGAAAATTATGAATTAGATCTGGATGCTTCAATGAATAAGTTTTTGAATTTCAGTACGTACGTTTAATTTGTATTTTAATAATTTATATAATAATATATACATTCCTTCATGAAAAGCTAAATGGACAGCAGAAGTTATTCTTATAAAATATATACTATCATTGATATCATTCTTCTTGAATTCCCAATTTTAAGAAAAAGCATCTTCCTTGGAAGTTAAAAAAAATTTTGGTTGATTTCTAGTTTTTATATAGAAAGTCATACAACTCAGAAAAATACTGATTTGTAGTTTTTATATAGAAAGTTATACAGTTCAGAAAAATATATATATGGCATATATAAAAGAAAACCTATCAACATTAGGATACTACATTTTGAAAGAAATTTTTATCAAAAAATTAAAAGGCTGAAAACATTATTATAGAAGTTTAATAATGTTAAAGTTTATGTTATTAATTTAATACATAAATGGTATAATACATTCAAGTTAGGAACTTCAGTAAACTAATAATTAAAGGAAACTATAATATACTGAGTATAAGATAATTCATGTCATCATTTCAAGTGACTGGAAACAAATAATAATTAATAGTATGCCCAACACATGAAATTTCTAGCAAATTTTGCTTCAACCTTAGTGTTACCAAGCATATAACAATTTATAGATATATAGTATTGCAGTAACTTGTTTTCTTAGGTCTGAATTATTTTATAATATTTTAATTTAAAAGGAATTGTGACATGTAAAAGAATTTTAATAAAAGATAAGTTATAATAAAATAAGTCTTAAAATGAATTTTGCAATAGGAATTAACTTTTATTAGTAGTATTTTACACTTTTATTTTGACTATTTTTAGTAGAAACTTTTACAACAATTTATTTATTTTAAGAAAGAATCATTCACAAAATCTGTTTGATATATCAAGTCAGTTTTCAATTAAATTTGATTGCAAATTTTTTATTAATTCTAATGCAGTATAATTTACTTTATTGACTAATATATAGCATGTAAATTTCTTGTTCTAAAAAGATTTCTTTTTTTAAAATAATTAATTAAAGTTTCTTTAAATACTAAATTATTAACATAAGTTTTATCAAAATCAGAAACTATGACTGTCTTTTTTTGAAGTGATACATTTGGTTGTGAAATTTCAGTAAGTAACCCCTATTAATGGCTTCATATCAAATCTAGTTAATTTTTTTGTATAACATGCTTACCTATTATGAAAAGAAATTGTTAGTAGTGAATTCAATTTTATTTAGTGATGAAAGAAGGTACATAGCCAATTCCTCCTCCAGAATTAGCAGACTTTATCAACGACAAAGTTAGGGCACCTGAAATGAGAGCTTGGGCTGGTTACCAAGGTTGTCAAAACAGTAATTCTCACTAAGTGACCATGGGAAGTATTAGGAGTTACCCACACTTTGCAAAATAAAACAAACTCACCTTAATAAAAGTACTGTATTTGGTTCTAATAATCTTTGTAGATTAATAATTCTAATAATCTTTGTATATTAATAAATCTCAGTCTTCTGCTAGACTAGATCTCTATTTGTAAAAATTCATAGAAAGCAAAAAGGCAAATAATAAATGTTTATTGATAGAAGTTTGAACCTTAAATATAAAAAAATGATATAACTCAAATTGTCACATTAAGTTGAAAAGTACTACATAATACTCAGCTTTTGTCAGTCTAGCTCATTATTACAAAATATTATAAACTTATACACAAATCATGTAAGAATGAAAAACAGTATAGCTTATTACATGAAATTATAAACTATGTATGCAATCCATCTAAGAAAAAAAAATTATTAAAAAATACAGTATGACTCACATTGCATCAATAGAATCGTGATTAACATTTTTTCATATTAAACTAAAATAAACTAATAATATAAAAAAGAAAGTCAAGCATCATAATGTATCTAACATATGATGTATTTGATAAAAAATTTAGAGTCACATATATACCATATATACCAATCTTTGATAAAATATTGAATGTAACACAAACAAATATTTTTATTCTTAATTACTATTCACTTGTGTTAAAGTTAAAATTTTAATTATTGTGGATTTAAACTCGTTACTTTGCACCAAAACTATATAGTAAATTGTGCATGCAAATAATATTATTTTGAAAATAAGCTGTAATCACTTTTGGTGGTAAAATTGTAATAACATTAATAAAAGTAATATTATTTTAGCGAAAAATTGTGATATTAGATATAGCCAATGAAAGTGATTGGACATTCATTACAAATCTGCCTATACGTTACAAAATTCAATTAATTTATACGAGGTAATCTAAATATCACCGAGTTTTTTTAATCACATAATAAAATAATTTTCTAAAAAAAAGTTTGCCAAATATATTAGATATACATTCTTTATAAAATAATAGTAATAATAAAATATAACAGTTTAAATAAAGAAACTTTTGTTTTTTTAAAAAAAAAATGAATAAAATTAAAAAATTGTAAAATAAAAATAATTTCTTTTAAAAAAAACTAAAAAAAAACAGTTTTAAACCATAAAAAAAAATAATTACCATTAACATGATTAACATAATTGATGTAACAACTATAATTTATTATTTAATTAATTCTGATATAATTATTTTAATTTTCTTTACGTATCAATTAAATAATTTTGCATCATTAGTAAATTTATTATGTATACTTTTACCAAAGATTAAGTAGTGCTAAAAAAAATTCATTATAAATCGATATTTTACTGTTTCGGACTTGATGGTAGGAGAATATTCGATATGGGTACAAATTTGTTTATTCTTGGCTGATGATAATTTTTTTCAAAAAAATAGTGATATCAGACTAATACCGAAATTATTAAAGTATAGTTGGTCAAATTTCCAAAAATTCCGTACTACACGGTACTTGTTAAAAAAAATCTCACTAAAGAAAAATATCCATATTACCTGTTAGTTAGGAAACAATATTAACCTATTAAGCTAATATCATCAGTCTAACCAAAAAAAAAAAAAAATAATAATAAATAATTATACCAATCAAAACGCTGTGATACGTAATTATAGCGAAACAAAATTGGTTAGTTTACCAGATATAAATTTAAATTTCTTAACTTTTAATTTTCTGTCGTGTTATTTCCTTCATAACCATTTTGTGTATCTATATTTTTATTTTTGTTTTACCATCATCCAATAGCAAAAGTAAAATAATGTATAAAAAAATGAGCAAACTAATTGAAAAGGTCACGTTTAATATTTTCAAAGAATAAATTATTACTGTTACTACATTTCGTAAAAAGAGCATATTTTGTATGAATATTTTTATAATACCAATCAGAGTTCTATCATATACTAACTGACATTATGCAGATCTAGTCTTTTCACTTAGCGTTTCTGGAATTCACATTGCGAATGAAGTCTCAGGAAATAAATTAAATTTGTTCTTAAGTTATTCATTCCGTATTTACTGGACATTTTATGCATATTTTTAGACATTTCTAAAAAATAATTTTTTAAAAAAAAATTTCATATTCTATAGTAAAAATTGAAAGCGATTAGATTTCTTAAAGTTAATCTTTTTAAACTTTTTAAAAAATATATTTATTGATAAGTCAATCAAATAATCAGTCTTTGAGTAATAAGAAATAGTATTATTCAACTTACTGTAAATATAATTTATTAGTTTCTCGGTTTATATATTTATTTTTTATATTTCAATTTAAAAAAAAAAAAATTAAAAAAAAAAATTAAAAAGAGAACATTTTAAATAATGACACTAAACTGATATAAAATATTTTAATTTCGCATTGTAACAGACTTTAATTTAATAGAATATAATGATTATTTATTTATTATTTAGTTCAAGTTGTTCAAGTTTATTGCAAATTCATATTTGAACAAATTATAAAATATAAAGAAATAAATAAATAATAAAATGAAATGAATTATTTAAATTACGAACTAAGTAACGTGTAAAATTCACTACTCTAGACTTAGTGTTTAAATAATTCTGACAAAAATCATAATAAAAATAGATTTTTAATTTAAAAATTTATAAAATATACCCTATTCAAAACCATCTAATAAAAATGGAAATAAATAAACCGTAAAAAAGTCAACATTTTGTAGCATTATTGAAATAAAATCAAATAATGGTGATAAATTATTAAATTACCTTCTGGAATTTCAAATTCATCTTGATCTTCCGAATGTAAGTTTGGATTATTAGAAATATCATTTTCGTCTATATATATTATAAATATAATTATGTTTAATTCAGTAATGAAAGGAATAAATAATAATCTCTTACCATCATTTGAAATATAATTTCTTTGTATATATTGAAATTTGGCTATAATATTTTATATAAATATTGATTATTATTATTATAGTATTTATATAATAAAATGTTGTATCAAAATAATTAATTACCCTTATTGGATTTATCATTATCAGTTAAATCTTCTTTTTTATCTTCTGTTTAAAATAAACAAAAAGTTTGTTTTTAATATAGTTTATCTTAAATAATAAAAATTTTCCCATCATAATAACCTGAATAAATTCTTTTAGATTTGCCCTTTACTTCATTTTTGTTATCTATAAATTTGTTTTTTGATAAATATTAAATTATATAAATTATTATAATTTTTATACAATTGTTATTTCTTAATATTCTTCCTTACCAATTATTGTAAGATTATTTTGTTCAATTTGGGATACAAGTTGTTCAGATACAAATTCTTCAATCTGCATGTCTAAAATAAAATAAAGAAATTAATAATCATTATTACAATATCAAAAATAGTATTATTATATTTATATATTCTAGTTACCATTAACATGATCAATATGATCTTGTCTTTTAATTTGTTGTTGTGTTGTTTTCTCCTTAAAGTTATCTATAATTTTAATTAAACACTAATATATTTAACAAAATTCTTATACTAACCAATTGTATTTTAAAGATTTTACTCACCATTCTTTGAATTTATTTTTAGTTTCATAAATACTTTAGACAATACTTTATTATTATACATTTTAAAGAATTATGTTAATATTTTATTCAAAGGTTTTGTCAAAAAAAATTTTAATAATAATTACTGCACCTTTTGAAATACTACTTGATTTAGGTGTATTATCATAATTTCGATTAATTGAATTATTAAATTCATTGACTAAAGTAAAAATAAAAATATATTATTATTAATTAAAATATATTACTATTATACGTAAAAATTAAATAAAATATTACTTACTATTATGGGGAATGCTAAATTTATAAGATTTACTGTGAAATGCTATTAAAAATAAAATAAATTTTTAAGTTTTTGATAAAAAATTTTAGCATAAATAAATAAACCCATTAATTTTACATTACCTTCTTGCTCTTCTATTATTAATGAATTTAAAAAAAATATTAGTAAAAATATTAGTAATAAAAAATTTAGTAATAAATATAATACCTTCTGTTGCATTTCTTGGTTCAGGAAAATTTTCAAATTGATGAATTTTGCTTGTAAATAATCTGCTGCTTGTATAATTTGTTTCTAAGTTATTTGTTTCGAAGTTGCTATTTGCATCTAATTCATTTGTTGTATTTTTATATGATGCATTGATTTCGCTTATTTTGTTTCTAAGTGTAAGAATATCAGGCCTTTTTAATGGATCAGCATCCCAACATTGTTTCATTAGATTTTTATATTCTAAAGGAGTTCCTGATACTATTTTTGGTCTTATACCATTGACTATATTCATTGCAAGATAGTAATCATTTTCATAATTATTAAAAGGAGGTCGTCCAGATGAAATTTCCCACATAAGCATTGCAATACTATAAATATCAGATGCAAAAGTATATTTCCTTCCAGAAATAATTTCAGGTGCTATATAAGGGAGATTTCCATATATATTTTTTGGTGATTTATCTGCAGGACCACAAAATCCAAGATCACTAATACACCAAGTTTCATCAAATTGTGAATATAATATATTTCCAGAATGCAAATCTCTATGAATTGAATTCTCTTCATGTATCCAATAAAGTGCATCAGTTATTAAAAAAGCAATTTTAATTCTTTCTTTCCACGTAAGTTGATTATGATTTTGTAGTAAATATTCCCTTAAATCTACATCAAATTTGTTCATTACAAGCATATAATTTCTATTTGATGGATTTTGTGTTAAACCATAACATGGAATAATCCTTGGATATTTATTGCTAATATTTAAATGTAACTTGGCCTATAAAAAAATTTATTGTCAATAATTAAAGAAATTTAAGTACAAATATTTAAAATAGGATTAGATTACAAACCTCTTCAAACCAACTTTGACTTGCGCCTTCAATATTTTCTAATTCTTTAAGTATTACACTTGCTACAAAATTTTGTATTCCAGGCACTTTAGTTCTTTCTAATTGCTGTTTTTTAGAATCCCATTCTTCATATGGTCCATTAATCCATCCTGCTGTATAAATTTTAGAAAATCCGCCTTTAGTCAAATATTCAATATTCTTTAAATTATTATAAGGGATCCATTCAACTATATAATCTGGTCCAAGCGTTTCCGATTGATATTTTTGTATTAAGTTGTCAATATCATTATTTCCAGATGTCCAATTTGAAAATCTTGCTTTTAAATAATCTTGAACACAATATTCGCAATATAATGTAGCTAAACATTCTTTGTTGCAATTTTCACAAATTTTTTTTGTTCCTGAATTATGAATAATTTTATCTCGGTCATATTCTTTATTAATTAATCTTATTGCTGCAGTTTTTTCATCTTCCGTAAGAGAACTATCAGCAAGAATTGTTTGTATCATAAATTCAATTTGGTCGTGAAAGTCCTTGTGAATATTATAGTCAACCAATGCATTTGCGTTTTGAGCTGCTTGATAAACTAGTTCTCTTCGAATGGTAGACATGACTCCAATAGTATAGTCATTTATTTGAATTTTATTTAAACGGTGAGCAATAAAAAGAAAAAAAAAATTTATTTACAAAATTAGTCGTGCAACATCAAACTTTAATATTGTCCATTGATCAACCTTGTGCAACATCACACAATTCACATGTTCTTTGTTTACTGAAAACTTAAAGTATCTTCATAAAATTACTATAAATAAATATTTTCGCATTTAAGTAGCATTTAAAATTTTTTCATTACACGAATAGGACAAAAAGGACACCGAAAAATACTGAAATACCTTTTTTAAAAATTGATAATGTTGGCCAGAATTTTTATTTCCTGTTTTAGTAACTGGCCGACACTATCATAATTCCGGCCCTGAAAAAATACGTACAGCCAATAGTAAATTTTTTTTGCTGGAGTGCTAGACCTTACCTATTTTAATGTTTTTCGGGAGTCCTATACGAATCTAAATAATTTTCACATTTCTTATTGTTTTAAATTTTAATGATTAAATTAGTACACATAACGAAAATAAAAAAAATTATTCTAATTTGTGGTAAAATGTAGAATTTTTAACGAATCTTTACAACATAGTTTATCAGACAATTATGAACTAAATACTCCAAACTTTAAATCTCTTAAATTAGTTAAACCGTATAATATTAAGTGGGAGTGATTGATAATGAATTATTTTGTATAAGTATTCTTGTATTTCAATGACGTATAAAATTGTGAAACTGAATTATATATTAATCTTACGTAATTAGAAAAATTAGAAAATGCAAGGTGATATTCAAATGTTGATCACCGATAAAAAGAGTTAGATCTTAAGCAGGATTTCATTTCAAAAATAATTCTATTACTTTTTACGTCATTTAGAAATTAAATATTAGCTTAATTTGACTTTCAATGACAATAGTTTACTTATTACGGTAATTCATGTAAACCTTTCAAATTTATACCAATTCATAGAAATTTATAGTATGTCAACTTGGGATAAGAACACTTTATACCGTATCAATTTAAAAGAAACTTAACATGTAAAAGAACTCAATATATAGTCAATAATAAAATAGATTATAATAAAAAGTGTTTTTTTTTTGTCTCTTCAAATGAATTTTTGCAATAAAAATCGACTTTATATTTTATTTTGGTTATTTTTATTAAAATATTTTTTGTCATGGAAAATCCAGACATCAATCTTTTACAAAAATTTTATAATGTCAAGCACAAAATTTGTTTTATTATATCAAGTTATAATTTTGCCTCTATATTCAATTATTATTATTATTCTTTTTTGTTTTCAATCAAAAATGATCGTAAACTTTTGAACAATTTCAAAGACTAAAGTAAATCAGCGACAATCAAAATTTTAATATTTATAGTATATTCTTTAAAGGAATTTTTCCTCTATAAATAAAAATATTTAACTATTTTGCAAAATTAGAACAAACATTTAGGGTAAAGATATCATATTTATTATTTTAGCTTTCTCAAGATTATTTAATAAACTTTCTGGTAAGAGTCTTCACAATTTGAGAGAATAATATAATTATTGCAGTTCATATTTCATTTTTTCATTTTATTATAAAACTAGGGTAATTTGGTATTGTTAGTGAGTTATAATATAATTATTGCATTATTCAGTAATTATTTATATATATTTTAAGTAATATAATAGGGTTTATATTAAAAAGTTGATTTGTATTTTGTATTTTTATCAAATAATAAATTTTATGGTTTTTTTTGAGTTTATTAGTTTTATTAAAGAAATATTATATTTAATGATTAAAATGAATTAATCCTGTAACATGTTATATGGTAATAATATAAAGATAAATATAAATATAATAGTTTGTATTGATTTTAATAAAATATTAGATATGATGATAATGTTAAGTATACGTCAAGCAAGGTTGCATGGGATGATCTCCCTCCTGAATATTATCGAAAATTAATTGATAGTATGCCTCAGAGGGTCAATGCTGTTATTTTCGCGAATGGATATAGATTTAATTATTAAATTTTTGTAAAATTCAATAAAGGAAGGCGTAATGAACATGTTAAATTTTTATTTTCATTTTATAAAACATATAAAAATTTTTTAATTTTGAAAAGTGGCCGGATCATTTAGGCCACCATCTGTATGTAACATGATCTGTCCATGTTATTTGATTGGCGGTCGGGTCATATTATACACAATTCTTTATTGCTAATATAATTTTCCGGTTAATGAAATTTTAATCACTTTTTTTACAAAAAAACTTAGTTTGTATTAATAATAATTTTTCTATTCCCATCCTCTTGGAATGAATGATGCAGCTATCCAGTTATTTTCAGTTTTTGTAATTACAAATTTTTTTTAAATGAATATTATTCCTTTTTCAGTCAAAGCCAATTTTTTTTCCATCATTGTAATTCTTTTATTTATTTAGTGTTTTTAATAATTTTTTTATCACTATAAAAATTTGTTTTTAAATTTTCTATTAATAAAACAGTGGCAAAAAAAAAAATAATAAAAATTGATATGAAAATATAGAAACATAATATGGACGAAATTATATTTATTTTGTAAAAGATATTTTGTGATGTGATTTTAACATGATTTATATAAAGAAAAAAACTCCATTAATCCATTTATATTTTGAAACAATAAAATGATATATCTTTTTTTTATACTGTATATTCATACTGTATGCTTATAAAAAAATAAAATCTCCATATTTTTTAATATTCCACATTTTAAAGTACTTAATTAAATTCATATATTTATTATTAAATTCAAATAATAGAATAGCATCTGTTTTTTAATACTAATATATTTCATTAATTTATAATGTTTCATACATTGCATTTATTTATTAAGTTTCATTTATTCACATTTATTGTTAACCTTTTGTATACATGCAATTTACTTTATATATACTGCCTATTATCAGAATAAGTATGTTAATTATGTAATCATTTATGAACTTAATAAATAAACGCGTTAAAAAAAGAATCAGAATAAGTAAAAATTGGCAAAAAATCGGATAGCCAATTTTTGGCTACATCTGTCCAATTTGTGACTTTTACAGCCGATTTCATAGATCGTTAGTGTATTACCAATATAAAAATGTAGATTCCATAATCCATATACAATTTTTTTGTATGGTAAAAAATAAAGAAAAATTTATATTGTAATATTAAATTTAATTTTAAATAATAATGCTTTATTAAGTAATATTAAATAAAAATTTAAATTTTAAAAATACATTAAAGAATGTAAATTTATTTGCAATTCAGTATAGTATGATCATAAAAAATATAAATTACTCCACTGCATTTTCATGAAAATTGGATTTTGACTGCTAAACAACTTTTAATTAATAAAAGAAGTCGATTTCCTTTGACCAAAATGTTCAAAATACGTTCTGAAGTGACAAAACAGAAAAAATAAAATTCATGAATGAGTACCGTTGTGAAAAACGTGAATAACCCTTCAAGTATTAACTGTACCTTCATGAAAATTAATATCCAAGCAGATTATGACCCGCCGAAAAACTTTCAATTAATATAAGAAGTCGATTTACTTTGACTAAACTGCCCAAAATACGCTCTGAAGGTAAAAAAAATTTGTAACTTAGTACTATCATGTAAAAATGTAAATAACTCCAAAAATATTAACTGTGCTTTCATGTAGATTAATATCTTAACAGCTTCAAACTTGCTGAACTACTTTTAATTAAAGAGCAAGATTTACTTTGGCCAAAATGCTCAAACCATAATTTGAAATATGTGTAAACAAACTATAATATTTGTTTATATTTAAATTCTGAGTTATTTAATTTAAATATGTTTGTGTTTATATTTAATTCGTGATCCGCATATAAAGTAGAGAATATCGATATTCCGATGTGGGGTGCCGATCATATATAAATATAGTAAATTAGCCATAATTCAGCTATTTTGGACCGAGCTAGCACCACCATCTTGTACGACCTAAACTTCATATTTTATATTCTAATAATAGAATACTATATGAATAAATTTCTTGCATTTTCTTACTGAATTTGTAAACAAAAAAAAATCTTTTACTAGCCGGGTCGTCAGATTCCTGGCTATAAATATAGTAAGTAAATTCGCAATTTCAATAATTTTTATAAAATTTATGGCAAAAAAACTTAAAAAAATGTTGTTTTAACGTCAAAAATTTTCAAAAATTTACAAAATTTTATTCATTTTTCAAATTCTTTATTTACTAAGATCTGTCAACTAGTGCTAAAGCTTGTTGGGCTTTCAATTTACGATGAGTTTGTGCATATCGAGAAATCCAATTACTAATTGTAGAAATTTTTGGAATTTCCTCTTCTTCTAAAACTCCTTCTTCTACTAAACCTTTCAGTTCATTATGCATCTCTTGAGCTGTATACTTTTCACTTTTATTTATATCTCCGGCCAAGAAATATGCCTCAAGGTATGGAATAACATTTTTGCTTATTTGTTTACCTCCTCCTTTTTTACCAAATTTCTGATTTTCTTTTAAGGCCCATCCACTTGATAATGCAAAATTCGATGTGTGATTCAAAACTTGCCTTGAACCCAAATCAGTATCAATAATTTCAGTATTCAAAACGTCTATTATTCTTTCAGAAAAAAAGAAAATTAGTTTTGAGATAATATAATCACAATTTTATGGTAAGAATGATTTACCTATATTTTGTGGTGATATTTCATCGTTCAATTTATTTTGTAAAATTTCTGCTAATATAACTCTATTATTGCTTACATCTGTGTCAATGCCATATTCCTTCAATTGTTTTTTCAATTCTTCAATAGTAAGACGATTTGTATTGATTTCTAATATAAAAAAAAATCAATGTAAAACAATTGCAAAAAAAGAAAAAAAAATCAATTTATTATATACTTGATCTATGAGGTAATGGAATATTCCAATCGGAAGTTGGAATTGAGTGATCTGAAACTTGTGGATTAGGTTTTTCAAGAGGTCTTTTTTCAAATTGTGCTATTTTAGCCGGCTCAAAATTTTTCCAAGTTCCAATATTAGGCATTGCACGAGCCTGAATAAATCCTGCATATTCACCTTCTGTCGGCCAGGACCACTCATACCAATTGGAATTTCCTGGTATTGAATTTTTCTTTTTTCGTCCTGATTCTATAAATCATAGTAATTGCTTTCAGTAATAAGTATTACATAACTTCAAAATTGTATTCTCACATATACCCTTTTTCCGTTCTGGTTCCAAATGTGCTACTAAAGTACCACAAATCCCTTGAATAGCATTCTCTATATCTACACCTTCATTGATATCAAACCCCAATCGAACATAACGATTTATCGCATGTGAAATCTGTAACCAATGATTCAATAAATAATAATGGTGATTTCCTAAATTATTTGAACAATCAATACACACTTGGGCATGGTGAGAATCAATTGATGTTTTAGCCTCTCCAGCTTCTAAAAAAACCCATTTTTTTACTGAAATATTGTACCATTCATTCCAATGCCCTAGAATTAACATTAGGTCCGCATTGTGATAATGTGGACCATTATCAGAAAGAAAAGTAACCCAATCTGGTTTGACTTCAAGCGATTCAATAACTGCATGTAGTGAAGAAGCTGTGAACCATGCATCTTGGCATGTATCGGCCGACCAGTGATCAAATACTTGAATATCCAATTGATGACTTTCAGATTTTCGTGTATAGACAAGAATTGAATGCAAAGCCCATCCTTTTTTCCCAAAAAAAGCACTTTTTGTTTCTCTTGCGCTCTTGGGTAAGATTTTCATCTTATAATCAACTATTATTATAGCTCCTTTTTCATCTAAATCTAATAGATTTGCGTTAAATTGAGAATTTAGAAATACCTTTCGCGTCTGATGACTCAAATAATAGAAAATTTGATCTCGTAATTCATAAATTTCCTCTTGAATATTATTTGGAGTGTTTTTTTCAATATCAATGAAGAATTGAAAAAGTGCATCACAATCTGAACATGTGTGAGTATGTTGTTCATTACATATACCAAAAGCAAAAGGAAGGCAATGGTTTATACATTGGTTATGTGCTGTTGTACCATCAGAATTTACAGTCAAATGTGACTCATATTCCCTTTTCAGATATCGTTTTAACTTCTCTCCTTGATCTAATAATTGATTCTAAATGAAATTATTAGAAATTAATATTATATAATTATTTTTTATCAATTATAGGAATAAAAATATTACCTGGATATGAAGATTACTAACATGATTTTGAATGAGTTTGGTAAGTTCATCAAATGTTTCATAGCCATATGTGTTGCATATTGAACACAAACCACCAAGATTCTCACGATAAATATATCTATTGCCCTGCAAATGCTTATAAAAAGTTGTTCGTTTTACTCCACTTGGATATTTTTCATGAAACTTTTCCCACAGATCTTGTTTTGTATTTTTGAGGTAATGAACTGGTTCTTGCGTAATGGTGTCTGTTTTGTATGAACTCATTATTACATTAGCCTTATCAGAAAAGAATTGTTCTAAATTTTCTTTTTTTTCCCGTCCTAATTTGTCTTTGACAATAATAGGTTTTTTTGCTTGAGGTGCACCTGGTCCATTAATACGTGCATATTGGTGGGCTCTTGATACTGTATTTGCAGCTACCTGTAAGTTTATATTTTTATTAGTTCAATTATTTTGATAACATGCATTGTAGTAGTATACACTAACAGTACACTTACCCCTAATTTTGATCTGAGTTCTTGATAGGTAAATTTTGTAGCAATAATTGAAAGAATTCGTCTTTGACCATTTGGACCTCTATTTGTATTTTCCAATGCGTTACGAAATGCTTGCCAAAATGTAAGAGATTGATTTTCTTGATAATATGGATTTTGTTGGAGGAATCCTGATTCATAAAGTATTTGTAATGTTGTACTATCTTTTTGAACGTTATCTGATTTCGTCCAAAATTCAAACTAAATTAAAAAAATTATTTGTCAATAATAAATAAAAAAGTCAACTCATTTTTTTGCATAATTACTAACTTTAGATTCTCCATTTTTGAAGGGGGTGATATTAGTACATCCTGCATTTTGAACAAATGCTCTCCAAGCACGCCATTCTCGTTCATTAATTTCATAACCAGATGGATATGAATCTAAAATAGCTTTCCGTAATTCTAAAATATCACTTTTCTGATTTAACCATTTATTAAATAAATCATGCCATTTGATCTCACATGAAATTCTTCTTTTCAAATGATATTTATAAAGATTTTCTAACACTCCCTCTAAAGTCCAGTCCAATACCGTGCAAGAAGGAATTTGTGCTTGTTGAATACAAATTTGCGTATACGGATTTTCTAACCCAAAAATTTTTTTTCCAGAATAATTTGAAAGTCTGCCAATACATAACCAAACTTCATTAGGATCAATAGCATTATACGTTTTTATCAAAGTATCATTAGTATATATTTGAACTACACACTCTTCATCTTCTATTTCTTGAATAAAAGCTGATTTTATACCATTGTAATGTGATTGAAAGACGGATTTATATCCTTCTCCTGCATAATTCCATTCTGGTTTTTTTGATTTTCCCATTCCCAGCACAATTACGTTCAATTTTTCAAGACTAATCATATATGGACGAAATATAATATCATCAAGTAATTGTTGTATAATATTTGAATTGTCAAAACCCATAACTTGTGGACCAGGGAACTTTGCATTTGAACGAAAAACTTTTTCATAGCAGGTGTTAATAGCTTCTGTTGGTGAACTGCACACACCTGACCTATATTCTTCAGAAAAACACAAAAATCCAGGAGAATTTGGATGTTGAGTATCTTTTACAACGGTAATTATGAAGTCACATTTTTTTAAAACTGTATGAGTTTTCATTCCTAAACGAATCTGAAGGAGAGGAGTATGCGTAGGATTCTTATTTATTGGTCGCGCAATCCACCAGTTATGACAAAATGGACCAAAATGTAAATTTTCTACAATTTTGCCTGGGGAAATAAGTGTTGTAATGTATTCTTTACTTTTACTCATATGTTTTGACTTTAAAAAAGAAGTTGGGTATGTAAAAAACGCGAGATTCTAAAAGACGCAAAATCGCATATGCGTATTATCCCCGGATTTTATATATGTCGATCACTACTTTATATACGGATCACGAATTAAGGAAAAAAAATAAAATTTTACTTCTATTTTATTAGGTTTTTGTATATGAAAAGACAAAAAAATAATCAGCTGAAAAAATAAAAAAATTCTTTGTTAATAACCGTAATACATGATCACATGTTGTTGCAATATTAAAATCAGAAATCCTATATTTAAATTGGTAATACGTATTACATATATGACCGATAGACCAAATTATATCTCCTGCTATTACAATTGTAAAATAATATTAAAATTATGAATAAATTAAAAGTTTTTCTAATTTGAAAAATGCAAATCTTTCTGAATTACTCAAATTTTCAAATCTGTTTATTATATAATATAATCAATAGTTAATTTTCACTGCAAAATTTCCTAGGAATGGATAAATAAATACATATAAAATTTACTACCCAGTAAGGTTTTTTTGGATGGTTTTAACCTCTACTTATTATTTATTTTATTTATTTTATTTTTTTTATAGAGAGAAATTGTCATAATACATGTATTATTTTAAAATTAACATTTTAAAAATTAAATTGAAAAACTATAATTTATTAATTAACAATAAAATGTTTTTTGTTAAAATTATTTAAAAATTTTTTAAATTATAGCGAAAATGCTACAACAGTAAATAATATTATAATAGTAAAATTGATCAGCAAACAAATGAAAACATGCAAATATTGAATGATGTCTCAATTTAACAGGTATTTTCAGTGGCACAGGAAGAGTTTTTGTGAAAAGTTGGCATTAGAAGTTTTTTTCATTGTCATTGTCATTGACATTGACATTGACATTGACATTGACATTGACATTGACATTGACATTGACATTAACATTGACATTGTCACTGACATTGACATTGTCATTGTCATTTACATAAAGTTATATAAGATTAATTTGAGAGTTTTTTACCAAAAAGGAAATTTTTTTATAAAAAGAGAAATGATTTTCAATTTCGAGGCAATTCAGCAGGTGTTTTAATAACAAATTGAGAAATGATTTCCATAGAAAATCTCGTGACAAAATTTATAATAAATTTAAAAATAAAAGTATCAACAAATGATCAACAAAATTGTTACTAGTTTTATAAAAAACGCCCAATAATATCTTTTTATTGTTTTAAAAAGGAATAATCATTTACAAATAAATGATAGAGAATTTGCATAATTTGATTAATACACAAATAATATAAAATGTCAGTGTTCCTTTGTGTAATGAAACAACAAACACTAGTAGTTCAATAACAATTATTAGCTTATATAATGAATAAACTTAGTCATATTCCTTGCAATATAATTAAAATGAAGAATCCTCTGATTTTTATTTGAAAACTTGCTATTAAACAAATCAAAACATTAAAATGATATTTGAACCTGTTATTATACCTTCTTCATAATATTTTTTAAAAATATCTTTATATTTTTCTATAATAGTACGTTTTCCATTGATATTAAAATAAAGTAATTTACGTCCCCTACAACTTTCAAAAAATTTTTCAAAAGCATCAATAGAATACACCAAATTTCCATTGATTGTTATATGAGTTAAAGTTTTTAGAGAAAATTTAGTTAATATATCTAATAATTCATCTCCTATACCATAATTTTCATTGCAACTACCAAGACTATCAAGAGATAGTCTTACTAAAATTTTGCAATTCATTAATAATGATCTAACATAAATCAAATCGTTAGGTCCAAGATGTGTAGTTAATTGCTCTATCTTTGGACAATGATTAGAAATTGCTTTTAGTAACATTCCTGTATTCTCAACTGATATATCCAAAGTTTTAATAGATACATCCGAAATATTTCCTTTGGTTTTTTCAATTAACATTGCCAATTCCTTAAAGCATGATGAATCATCATTAATAATGAGAGACCGAAGATCTGGGAATATTGTATTTGCTAAATATTTTTTGAATTCTTCAATTCCTTCATAACTTTTAAGTTTATAGCAAATTGATAACCTTTTTAGATTGACAAGTGATGTTAAAAATGAATGTGAAATAACACCAACCGAACAAAATAAAGTAATATTATTGATTGTACATCATTTTCTTGCTAATGCTTCATCTAATTCCTCACATAACCTTTCCTTAGTACGAAACTTAAGTATTATTTCTTTTAAATTTCTTTGTGCATTAATTAAAGAAGTTAATCCAGGAATACCCTGAGAATAACAGTCAACATATAATACGTTCAAATTTTTACAAATCTGTGCCATATCATTAATATTATTGGAAGTTACATAAGAGAGATCAATATATAGATCATGGAGTTGAGAAAAACATTTTGTCGAAGCTTCTGAAAATGATGACAAAGGTAGAAAAATTTTCCACTATAATCTTTTAATACCTTCACATTGTCTAATGAATAACTTGTAAATTTCTTGACTTAAAAGATAATTTTTTGAAAAATTAACATTTAAAGCTTGTCCTTCAAATACAAAATTCATAATCTTATCTATAATATCATTACTTAGAAATTTACAAAAGCCGACATAATTAAATGTTAAGGGTTCTGAAAGAATCGTTGAAGGTAAACTAATATAATTATCAATCAAAAGTTGTTTTGAAGATGTTGGTAGGCAGGAAAGTATTGTATTACAATATTTTTCTTGTGATTCTTCGCAATTAGAGTATGGATATCGTTCCCACAAGATAGGTACTACTAAACGACACCATTCTTTATTAATTAAAAGGCAGGAATATAATGATTTATTATCTGTTCGTAATTCATTAAAAATATAAGTAAGACCTTCAATACTTAATTTTTCCATTTTATTTTATTTTAGTTTATTCAAAAGCCAGATAAATAAAAATGAGCAAAAAAATGAATTTATTAATATTAAGTAAATGATCGTATGTGACCAATCTTGGTTAATACATGAAATTGATAGTATGTGGGATGTTACATGGTTATTCATTAGTTATGTAACACTTGTAAAATTATTTAATAATCTATCACCAATTATATTGATATAATCACCTTTTAATAAATTTTAAATTATTTGTTTATCTATATTACTATTATTTTACTCGTTTTAATCCACTTCCTTTCTCAGGGATATGTATGAAATGGGAAACTTTCTATGTATTGTATAGAATAAATTTGAACATACTTGTAACAAAAATATTTTTATCCTTTTGATTTCATTTTAGAGATTATGTAGTTATACTTGAACAGAATTAATTAACAATAATGATTATAAATCATTAAATAAATAAAATATGGAATGAGACGGAATCTTATTGGAGATTACAAATTGAAAGGATGTTTAGATTGACAAATGAGAAAGTACTTTTTAAATTCAAATTGGAACAAATTGGATTACCTTAAGGCATTTGTATTTTTGGTATTACATAGACCATATATAGTTACTATTCCAAAGAATTAGATCTCATTGAATAAAGGTGTGTATTTTGTGATATAAATTGTGAAAGAAAATTATCTTGAGAATAATTGCAAACCATTTTATTTAGGAAAATTTAAATAATTTTGAATAAAACTGATGATAATTTAAATTTTAAATTCCAATGATAATCATGTAATAAAATATTAACGGTTAAACTACAAGAAATAGAAAAATGGTAATGACCATTTAATAATTTTTTATTTGAAGGTGCAGATTCAGGTAAATTATATCTTTCAGATAAATTTTTTAATAAAAAATTTTCAGCAAAGAATAAAATGCTGATAAATAACCTTAAATATATACATTGGGAAGACCTTTTCATATTATTTCAGAAAATTTGTGTCAGTGATTTTTTATTATTTTAATACTTATAATATGTTTAATTCAAATTTGAATTTGATAAAATATTTAATGAATTTGAAGATATATTATAATTAAAGATGATAGAAAGTATCCTAATTTACAATCAAGAGAAGTTTTGATGAGAAGATATCAAAAACTGAATTTATAAAATATAAATTTTAAGAAAGTTAAAGCTAAATGATAATATTACTAAAGAAAATCAGATGTAGAATGGTATGTTTTAAACTGTATTTGTTTGTTATATATAGTAATTTTTTAATATTACAATATACTTTTTAGTGAAGCAAAATAAGTGATTTAAATTTAGAATATTTTCTAAGTGTATTTCTTATAAAAAGAAAATTAAAGACAATGGTATTTATAAAATTTGTATTAATTGTCATAATATATGAAAAGATTATGTTTTTATCCTGATAGTTCCTGATGCTAATCAAGGTGACAAAAAATAAGGCCCTTTAATTCTTCTTTTTTTTTTATTCCCAAAATTTGTGAATTAAGTCAGGAACATCCTCCTCCAACTGGTCAGCAGGTTCCCAAGTAGCCTCAGTGTCTGGATATCGCTCCCACTTGACCAAGTACTGATGTTGACCTTTCTTAATGCGATGCTGAAGTCTGCTCAGAAACAAATCTTTCAGGTTGTCCTCTTATCACAGAGTCAGGTGGAAGACGTTCATTTTTAGGAACAATCTGCAGCTCTTTTCGGGTGTATGCACATCTGGTTACACCTAATCATCCATGTGGTCCATCAAGAAGGTATGTAGGAGGCTGTTCAGGTGAGAGTATCATTTTTTTGATAACACATATGTTTGGATTCCATCTTATGTCTCCTGTACAGAATTTTCCATGGAGTTTATTACCAAGCACTGAGATAGGTTCATCTAACTTGACTCTGACATGTGTTCCTTCAGAGAGGAGGTCTGTCTTTTTTGACACTTTGGGTGACACTGTTGGAATGTCTGGAGGATTTCTTTGCCAGAGTTTATCTATTTTACTAACTACATCACGGAAATCTTCTGACCATTCCACAGATGTGACCCCGATTTTCAACTCCTGTGCCACCATTTATTTGAGAAGGGGTTCTTGGATGGCTTGGATAGCTCTTTCAGCATATGATTGCTGTTTATGTCTACCTGGCTCTCCGAACCTTATCATCACCCCTAGGCTGTTTAGGAAAAAATCACGTACCTGATCATTGGTGAATTCTGATCCAGAGTCTGTCTCCAGTCAATGTGTTGGTGGCTTAATACAATTTCTTCTGTAGATTTTAACAAATCCATTTAGGACTCTATTTGCAGTCTTATCCTTTAGGGGTTCTACATCAACTCTCTTTCCTGCAACTTCCACCACTACGAGAAAATAGTAGAATCCATGGGTCAACTGGCATCTCTGCAAGATCTGCCTGATGTGTTGCATTTGGTTTCCATACAATTACCTTTGGGTGTTCTGTTGACTTTTCCTTTAGGGCTTTTTGTATAGGTTGTAGTGCTCTTCACTTTTTAGAATTCGTGCTGGACTGCTGGTACTCCGCATAGACTGTAGTATTTGTAGTAATTCTCTAATTGTGTCATATTATGACAAATTAAAAGAAAGATTTCAGACTTCAAATCTTAAGATGACACAATTTTACTGTCTAAAGTATAAAAAGGAAACTGAGAATGCTAGTGAAATACAAGATATGACCACAAATGGCCACTATCGTTTACATGGTAATTGTACAGTTTGTGGGATGCATAAGTCTCAAATTAATCTAATATAACTTTATGTCAATGACAATGATAATGTCAATGTCAGTGACAATGTCAATGTCAATGTCAATGTCAATGAAAAAAACTTCTAATGCCAACTTTTCGCAAAAACTCTTCCTGTGCCACTGAAAATACCTGTTAAATTGAGACATCATTCAATATTTGCATGTTTTCATTTGTTTGCTGATTAATTTCGCTATTATAATATTATTACTGTTGCAGCATTTTCGCTATAATTTAAAAAATTTTTAAATAATTTTAACAAAAAACATTTTATTGTTAATTAATAAATTATAGTTTTTCAATTTAATTTTTAAAATATTAATTTTAAAATAATACATGTATTATGACAATTTCTCTCTATAAAAAAAATAAATTAATAAAATAAATAATAAGTAGAGGTCAGAACCATCCAAAAAACCTTACTGGGTAGTAAATTTTATATGTATTTCACAGGTAAAATGCTGACCAATCGGGTACCTACCCGATTGGTAACTTTTTTTTTGATCGGTCACCTGATTTATTCAATAGTTAAAAATTAGTGTACACTTCAATCAGGTATCAATCAGGTTAATACCCGATTGATAACTATCGTTCAGTTTAAATTTACCAATTAATTTCTATTGTTTCAATTAGACTATTGATAAACTATTTTTCTTTAACTAAAATTAAACTATTTTATACTATTGAAATTTACACTAACATTTTTTTTCAAACATTTACTTTTGAAACTTTTAAAAAAATTTTTTTTTAGGAAATTGGTTCCGATTTGGATACCGGAATCCCACAAAAGTTTCAAACATTTTACTTTCGAAACTTTATTAAACTGAAAAAACCATTTATTTGAAGATATTAATAAACGATTTTTAACATTTTTTTTAACATTTTATTGTAGGAATCGGTTATAACAAATCCCATAGGTGAGTTTCGAAAAATAATTTTTTGAAACTCACTTTTTTTTTTAATATTCAATTNTTTAGTCAAAGTAAATTGACTTCTTATACTAATTGAAAGTTTTTCAGTGGGTCATAATCTGCTTGGATATTAATTTTTATAAAGGTACAGTTAATACTAGGGATAGCAATGGTTATAATCATAACTGTTTAACCGACTGTTTAACCACATTTAACTGACCATTTGACTGACCATTTAAACATTTGACTGACCATTTTTAACCGTTTAACTGACCATTTGACTAATTATTTAAGTAAAATCTGTCTCTTATACACATCTAGATGTGTATAAGAGACAGCCATAGATGAGTTTCGAAAAATACTTTTTCGAAACTATTAAAAAACGTTTTTAACATTTTTTTTCTAATAAGCTATTATAGGGAATTGGTTAAAACGAATCCCATAGGTGAGTTTCGAAAAAATTTTTTGAAACTCACTTTTTTTTAATATTTAATTATAGGGAATTGGTTATAACGAATCCCATAGGTGAGTTTTGAAAAATAATTTTTTGAAACTCATTTTTTTTATTATTCAATTGTAGGGAATCGGTTATAATGAATCCCATAGGTGAGTTTCGAAAAATTTTTTTTCAAAACTATTAAAAAACGTTTTTAACATTTTTTTTCTAATACACTATTATAGGGAATCGGTTACAACGAATCCTATAGGTGAGTTTCAATTTTTAATATACAATTATAGGGAATCAGTTACAACGAATCCCATAGGTTAGTTTCGAAAAATAATTTTTCAAAACTATTAAAACGTTTTTTTTTAATATTTAATTATAGGGACGAATCCCATAGGTAAGTTTCGAAAAATAATTTTTTGAAACTATTAAAAAACGTTTTTAACATTTTTTTTCTAATACACTATGATTATAGGGAATCGGTTACAACGAATCCCATAGGTGAGTTTTGAAAAATTTTTTAAAACTCTTTTTTTTTAATATACAATTATATATAGGGAATCGGTTATAATGAATCCCATAGATTAGTTTTGAAAAATAATTTTTCAAAACTATTAAAAAATGTTTTAACATTTTTTTAAAATGTTTTTTTTAACATTCAATTATAGGGACGAATCCCATAGGTAAGTTTCAAAAAATATTTTTTCGAAACTATTAAAAAAATGTTTTTAACATTTTTTTTTAAATGTTCTATTATAGGGAATCAGTATAATGAATCCCATAAAATCCCATAAATAATAAGTTTCAGAAATTTTTTTTCAAAACTATTAAAAAAATGGTAATAAATGTTTTTTTATTATTTTATTATAGGGAATCGGCTCTGATAAATGTATATACCGGAATCCTATAAGTAAGTTTTAACTTTTGAAACTTTTTTTAATGTTTTTTTATTTCTTTTGTAGGGTATTTGCTCCAACCTGGACACCGGATTCTAGATAAAATTTCAGTATTAGTAGTATTTCTGATTTTGTATTTTTAATAATTAATAAATTTAAATTATTAAATGTAATTATTGTAAAATATCAAATAAATTTAAATAAAAATGTATGCAATCGGCAGATTTCTTATTGTTATAAATTTATCAAAAAGTTATTAATCGGTATACTGATATGTCAAATAGTAAATATCCAGTAAATA